TCCTTCTTTTCCTTCTTTTCCTTCTTTTCCTTCTTTTCCTTCTTTTCCTTCTTTTCCTTCTTCTCTTTCTTCTTATTCTTCTTGCTGCCGCCGTTGTCGTCGTACCTGTTTCCCGTGGCAGGGTCGGTGTCGAGAAAGAGCGCGACGGGGTAGTTCGGGTCGTCGTCAGACAGCAGGATGCGCTGCCAGAGGCGCCAGAAGTCGCGGCGCGTGGCGGGCAGGAAGCTCGCCTTCCAGGGATAGATCACGGCCGTCATGTCGGGATTGACTGCGCGGACCATGTCGTTCAGAGCAGCCGTCGAGGCAGCCATGTCGGCAAAGGGGACCAAGGCATGAAATTCGAGCGTGTTTTTGTCGTTTTTCAAAAGGATGGGAGCTTCGGTGAGAGACTCGAGCGGTTCGGGGGCATCCAGTTCGGCTCTGATGGCGTTGATGATCTCGGCGGGGAGCGAGGGCTTGAGGGAAAGGACGCGGTCAACCGTCTTGGCGTATGCGTGCGAGCGGACGGAGTCGTTTTGAAAGAGAGGAAGGTTCCAATCATGCAGGGTGATGCTGAAGCGGGAATAGAGGTCTGTGTAATAGCTATAGATGCTTTGACACTCGGAACGCGTAATGCTCGGTCTGACGGCGATTTGTTTGCCACTCCTCAGGATATACAGAGCTGTTGGTAGTGGGAAGCGGGTCGCTTTGATCTCGGCGTTTTCGACTGTCTGCAGAACGACCATTGAAGTCTCCATGGGGTTCTCGCCAGGCAGATACTGGCCGCATAGTACCCGGTAGGTAAGGTTATCGACGATGCCCACACTGGCCCACCCCTTCTCTCTTGCCATTCGCCCCGCAGCAAAAAGCTCAGCCATGGACGCTGTGATGATCAGATTAGCCCACAGATGTGCAAGTGGAAAGGGGGCTAATGACCGTCGCTCTGCGCTTTGTCTAGCCTTGTCTGCCCGTTGCAACTGATGACGGACACAACTTCTAGACCGGGTATCTTTTTGGTCTTCCGCTCCCGCTTCCCGAAATAGCGCTGCAGCTCATCATCGAGCCGTTTCCGGCCATCATCGGCCGTCGGCAGGCATAGGCAGACGATGAGAACAGATCCTGGCACGTAGTCAGGGAGCTCTGGAAGGTAAGACATCTCTGGTGGAGCTGTAAAGAGAAGGGCCGAAGGTCCGTAGCGGCGCGACGTGGTGAGCGTGCTTGCCGACGCATATATAGCTAGAGTTTTGTTGATTTCTCAGATCCTCATTAGGCTTAGCGTAAACAACCTATGCTTTCTTTTGCCTGCTTGAAACCAGGGGTCCCAGCAATCAAACAAGCGGCTTGCAAGCGGGCATTTTGGGCTTGCTTGATCGATTTCCCAAGATCAAGCGCTTGCACTTGTAAACGGCGAAAAGCGCAAGCAGGCTTGCTTGATTGATCGATTTCGAAAACCCCCCGTGCTTGCAAACGATCCCCAAGACCCCGCTTGCAAGCGCAAAAGCGGGTTCAACTGGGACCCCTGCTTGAAACGCGGGATCGTGTGATTTCGCGTTGGCCTCGTAATTGCCGTCACCACCATCACTACCAGGCGGATCTACAAGCAGCGAAACTACGAGCAGCGGAGAATCCCGTAGAGGCATTCTGTCGTCTCTCACCCGTTATACAAAAATTCCCAGCTACGCAGCTTCGCTAGAGGTAAACTTTGATGGATCCGACTGTTGTCCCAATCCATCAACAGAACATATTATGAGGTGTTTATGAAATAATGCGGTGTGCAAATTTGACAGGCGGCAGTGACGTCAGCATGGGAGCCGTGCTGCTGCCTTACTTGATCAATTTCAAGACGGGCCATTCACCTTCAAACTGGTGATCACGAGTGGCCCTTTTTTTTTTATCCGAAATGGAGCTTCAGTGAGTCTTAAGCAGGCCTCAACTCAAGATCTCTAATCTGCGCTACTTTCTACTGGTAGCCTGTTTTCCATCTTTGCCAACATTGAGACCGAGGCTTTCAATATTTCAAATTTCCGTGCTGCATCGACCTGGCCGAATTCATATCAATGCCAATTCGTCGTCGAAAGGGCGAACCCGTCATTCCCTTCGACCTCCAGCGGCGCCGGCCGCTTCCGATACGTGCCCGGCACAGCGACGCTCTCAGGCGGAAAGTCCAAGCCATCCACAACGAGCGCCGCCTCGGAGGGCGATCGCGCAGACCTGTCGGAACGGCCATCGTCGTCCTCGTCCACCTGCACCGCCACGGGGGCCAGCTGTACTACCACCTCCGGCCGCGGCACGACAGGCACCTTGCGCGCCTGGAACTCCGGGTGGAAATTCACAAGGTGTTGCTTGAGCGCGCGCGCCGACGCGAAGCCCAGCTTGTTGTACTCGCAGCTGATGTCGGTGCACGTGTATTTCAGTACGTGGCCGGTAGACTCATGTTCGGCCAGCTCGGCGGCGGTGCTGAAGCCGTGCACGGCACGCGGACAGCTGCGGAAGCGGCAGGTGAAAGCGCTGGCGCCGTAGACGCTTTTGAAGTGGTTGAGAGATGCGGGTGCGAGACCAGGGATGGAGTCGGGGGAGGCTGAGAGGAGGTGCTGGGCGATGGTGTTGTAGGTGTGGAGCATGCGAGAGAAGACTGTATCGTCATGCTGTTGTTCTGGGTCTAAGAAGTGAGTGTGAGTGGAATTTTTCTTTTGGAATGGAGCATTGACAGTGTTGGATTGTGGAAAGCAAGCGTAATGTGCTTACCTGCGGTGTGTGGTTTGCGTCTGCCGCGATGAATCGCTTTTCGCATCTCGGATATGGACTCTGTAACTTGAAGGATGTCTTCGCCTGTCTGCAAAGCGTGCACCAGACTCTTCAGCTGGTTCTTCATCAGAGAGTCAAGCCTCTCAGGCTCACCCGCCCCTGGGTCTGTATCCGCGGCAAGTTTCTCGTAAGCCTTCTGCAACAGTACAATCTGGGTAAGCAAAGGCTCCGCTATGAGCACCTTTCCAGATCTGGAGATAGCTTGTATGTATTCGAACAGATGGTCAACCCAGTGGTCGTTTGCGTAGAGTTGCAGCCAGTGGAAGCCTTTCGCCACTTCAACCCTGCGTTGCTCTTCAGGAAAATCCGGATCCAGCAATGAGAGACCCGATACCAGATAGCTCATGCAGGCGAAAGTGATGTCAAACTGAGGTGTTACAGCGTCTATGAATGGTGGACGATGTGTCATGAGGTACCTATTATGTATCAGCGATTGATCGCGTAAGATTGATCATGTACGTAAGCTGACTCTTTGACGGAAGAGTGAACGAATCTGATGGTGTTGTTCGGCCCATCTTCCAAAAGCGGTTTGCAAAGATTGAACACTTCTCTGCTTTGCTTGGTTGCGTCATTGATACATTCGTTCCCCGGTCGTATGGCTATTCCGTGCTGAATCTCGAATGACTTTAATGGCCGATGACCGAAGGCGACCCATTCAAAGATCCGCTGGGTTTTGTCTCTACCTCGATCGCCAAGTTGGTTCTCAATCTTGGTAAAGATTCGGTGGTATCTACAAATAGTGGTTAGTGGGCTCCTTGTTGGTAATGTTTAAACCTTACACTTCATCCAATCCCTCCGGGAGAGACTCCACAGACTCTAGCATCTCAGCGACGCTATAGGCCGTCTCCAAGGTTTTAACAACAAGGATTACCCAGAGGAACATGCCTAAAAATGTTATCAGACATTCTCAACGAGGCAGCGTGGAGGGGCAACCGTACCATCAGCTTTCTCCACTAGAGCTTTTTCCAATTTGGACATAGAGTCATCTTCCGTGGAGATATCAGGGACATCCTCTCGCAGCTGCTCTACCTTGAAGCGAACAAAGCCTTGTATGGCTCCGCTGATAGAACGCTGCTCTTCATTCAAGTATATGGTGGCCTTCTTGAAAAGAAGCTTGGAGATTGAGGTGATGTCCCGAGAAGAGAAGAGAACCTTTGCCGAGGAGCTCTTCCCAGTCAGACCCAAGACTTCGGTGATCAAGGATTTCTGAACGTCCGGTTTTAGTTCATCCAAGCCATCGAGGACTATCCTGGTCGACGGAACAGCCGCTAGCAGCTGTTGCAAAACCGATTTCATGACGGTCGAAGCCGGCAGTAGACTTTTGCTGATGTAGTCATCGTAGATCAAAGGCGTTAGATCCATATTCTTCCGAAGGATCTGTGCAGCGAGCGCTTTTAGGATTGCGCAGCTTCCAACCTCTGCGGAGGCTTGGTTGCAGAAGTAGTAGAGAACGAGCAAGTCCGTTTCTGATTTCAGAGTGCCAACGATGCTCGAGCACAAGATGCTTTTGCCTATACAATTCTTGCCGTCAGCCTGTGCATTTACACGGGACTAGAGCAGGCCATTTTACCTGAACCTGGTTTTCCCTTGAGCCAAATGGCTGCAGTGGACGGGCCTTGGCGCTTCCAAACCAACATTTTCTGGTTCTTGAATATCCAATCGCAGCTGTGTTCGTGACAGAGTTCTGAGAGGCCGCTCAGCCCTTCTTCTTGCTCGAATTCGGACTTGGCGACATCCAACCACTTGAGGACGTCATTGGCCTGAGATAGAAACCGCTCAGCTTCCTGTTCTTCAGTCTTCTGGAGCCAGTCTTTCCTCATCTCTCTGGCGTCGACGACTGCGATCGATGTTGCTTCTCTGTCTACTAGTTCAGTGTGCGTCGCAAGATCATCGAGAATGCCTTTGAAGCGAGTTTCGAAGCGCGTCCATGACGACTTGAAGAAAAACGACCACCCTGCATAATTGTTAGTGAGGCACGTTAAGAGTTGTGGATCTAGGCTCATGCATGTATGTACCTCGTCGTCTTACAAACTTGTATACGCGCCGGTGGAACTCAAGAAGGTCTGCGTAGAATATGGCGAGAACATGCTGAAAGTCGGTGTTGTCCTTGAATGCTTGAGAGAGCCGGTCAAAGCGCGGCAAGGTCTGCGCGATCTTCTTGTAGGCGTCAATCAGTTGGTTGAAAGGGGTAACGTAACCGGAGGTCAGCTTCGCAGCGTCAGCCACTTGCAAACTAATTGGACAGTGGAGAACACACCTCTATTATGAGCTTCACCGGAGCCTGTCCAGGGCGTCAGTTGCTCAACTGAGTACCAGAAAGTATGGAGATGTGACTTACCCATAGATAAGGCAGGTAAGGCGTTCCATTGCATAAAGTATCTACAACCTTTGAATACCGTTCAAGCCCGTCCAAGAAGGGCATAATGCGGCTAAGATTGCACAAGGTTCTGCTCGTACTCTGACGCCGCTCAAGGTCTCGCATTGCATTCTCTACGTCCTTGAGCGAGAGACTCTGGAATAGCTGAGCATCCTCCGGAGAAACCGAGTCTTTGAACCGTTGGTATGCGTCCTGGAACACCAAGCGCACTTTTGGTGCTGTGTTTGCTTGTGCGTCCTTCTGCATGAGGCTGTGGAGACGCTGATAAGATAAACAGCGCCTGGGGGTTAGCAGCGAAGCTGGCCTGTCACAAATCCGCTCCAATTTCTCACGGATAAAAGAAGAATGGAACCAGAGCTTGCAGGCGAGGCTTTTTCAAGGCAGACTGGAAGCACAGCCTCCGGCGTGTACAGCAAGGCGCAGCTGAGCTGAGCGCGAGATGTTGCATGAGCCCCGCATGCACTGTTACCCGCTTTGGGGGCGGTGCCACTGGGTAGCTCCCATGAACACTCCGGCTTTACTGCTACAAACTCCATTTGCAATTGCTACTCTGTAGGTGGCGGAAGCTGCGACGAAGTAGCTTTCGGTGATAGAGACCATGGCGCTTCTAACGCCGCGCACTCCCGGTGTGTATACATTTGCCTCCACAGCGTCCCCCGGACAGGCCTATTCAAGGGCGGTAGGGCTGACAGAATGACGAAGATTTCGTCGACCCCAAGGCTGATAGCTACGGAACGCCCTTCGCCCTTCCATCGCCTCTGAGTCCCGCGTTATCGCCCATCGGGCTCCCAACTCCGACCTCCCCTGTGGGACTTGACTACGATGATCCTTGCGAGCGTCCATCAAAGCGCCGCCGTCTGGACGACCCGGACCTTGACCAGGTTTGGCAAAGCATCGAATCGGAAATCGACACTGAGGAGGACCCCACTGTGCCAGCGATACATGTATGGCCGGCTGATGAAGATTGCCTTCAAAGATGGGACATAGGCTCTCTCTGCAATGACGTGGCATCGCAAGGATGCGGTCATACAGCGCTGGACGAGCCGACGCTATGTCCACTCTTTGACTTGGACGACCCTGCGGCCCAGTACGAATTTGAGAAGGAAGAGAGTGCGACAGATCAAGTCTGTTTCGGCATGGTAGGTCGAGTCCGGTTCTTGATAGCTAGGCCGTTAGGCTCATTTGTCGCAGATCGACGAGTGCCGTATTACCATGCTCGAGCCTCTCAGCATCCGCGCCACATGCACCTCACTGCCGGCCACACTGGGCTCCGAATGCATGATCATATCAAAAATTGAAGATTGCAAGCTTGGAACTATTGAAGAGACGGCGGCTCGCGCTCTTTACGATTTGGTTAGTAGAGGGTGTGAGCTTCAGATCGATTGCCACATCAATCTTATCCGCCGGCCAGCTAAGCGAAGAGGGCTTGGAAAACCTGCACCGCAGTACAGTACCTCATTGTCCATTGTCATCTACGGCCCTCTCGGAGAGTTCGACTACGTAGGCGATGTCCTCGACACGCATGAACTGTATCTGCAAGACCCCGCCGGGTGCAACCGAAATGTCCGTTACCGCAACCCTCATCGAATATCAGGAAAAGATCCAGATGCGCCCATGACCATTGAGCAGCAGATGGAACTGAGCTCCTCACGTTGCGAGATACTCGAGCAGTCAACTAACTACCTTTCTGACTTGGAGTCACACATGGATCTACCTTTGACCGGCGGTCCAAGCATCTTGGACACGCAACTGTATCCTCACCAGAAGCAGGCTCTTACGTTCATGCAGAGAAGGGAGCGTGGATGGGCTCTGACCGGCGACCAGCCCGACGTATGGAAAGCGCTTGGCGGGGACCGTTTCCTGAACACCGTTGCAGACCATGTGCAAGCGGGGGCCCCGCCTGATTTTCGCGGTGGCATCCTTGCCGATGCCATGGGCCTTGGAAAATCTCTTTCGATGATCTCACTCATCGCGTCGGATGATACTCTTGCTCAGTCTTCTGGTTCGCAAGCAACACAACATTCGCAGTGCACTCTGCTTGTGGTCCCCTCGAGCTTGATTCAAACATGGGACGGCCAACTGACCAGGCACATACGCCCGGGGCATTTCAGTTGGAGCAAACATCATGAGAAGCAAAAAATTTGTCACAGGGATGACGTGGACCATTTCAATATCGTCATCACAACCTACCAGACCATCGCTTCCGAATGGAGGAGGAGACATGCTCGCAGTAGCCCCATTTTCTCCATTTACTGGCATAGGATAGTACTGGACGAAGCTCACTGCATCCGAGATCGCACCAGTCTTACTGCAGAAGCCATCTGTGCTCTCAATGCCGACCGTCGGTGGGCAATGACTGGTACCCCGATACAAAATCGACTCTCCGATCTTTCGTCTCTGCTGCAGTTCCTGCGTGTCTACCCGTACAGCAACCCGGACCAATTCAACGAGGATATTATTCATCTCTGGAAAGACCATGCCGAGGAAGAAGCCATTGATAGGGCAAAAAAGCTCTTTCACCTTATCGGCATTCGAAGATCGAATAGTACAATCGACCTGCCAAAACGGACTGATGAACTCCATCGGCTTGAATTCAGTCCATCAGAACGCATGATGTACGAGTCGGCAAGGACGGAGACACTGGAGACAATTGAGAGGGCCATTTTTTCTGATTCTCCTCCGCGCGGCTCCTTTCTCAACGCTCTGCACCGATTCCATTCGCTACGAATGATGTGTAATCTTGGTACATGTAGTCTAATCACTGAAACTTCCGCTTCGACCACCGATTACCAGCATTGGAATTCTGCTTCGGCGTCGAAGGCTTTTGCAATGCTTCTCACTGCCGGCCAGGCCGTTTGCAAGAGCTGTGCAACCAATCTGGATGGAATGACGCCTGATGACCTGAAAGCCGGCAGCACAAAGGCACCCTATGTCTGCCAGGGTGGCAGCATCATCTGCCATCCGTGCGCAAAGAAACATGAACATGAGCATGCTCCAGAAAGATTGTGGTGCGATCACAGCTCACCATGTGCGTACGCTGCTGTCGAAGAGAGCGAATCACCGAACACGTCGGCACCCCCGCACCTGATGTCGGGCCAGTCCTCCACCAAGGTCCAGGAACTCATCAAAGACATCAAAAGCCATCCGACCGAGAAATGCGTCGTGTTCTCTCTGTGGACGTCTACTCTGGACCTGGCTCAAAAGGCCCTGGAGGCCGAAGGATTGAGGTTCGCAAGGGTGGACGGTAGCGTGCACGAGAAGAACCGCAAAAAGATTCTGAACAGCTTCCGGCAGGACCCGTGCATCTCGGTGATTCTGTTTACCATCTCCTGTGGCGCCGTCGGCCTGGACCTAACGGCGGCCTCTCGAGCGTACATCATGGAGCCGCAGTGGAACCCGACGGTCGAAGAGCAAGCGCTCGCCCGCATTCACCGGTTAGGCCAGGTCAGGGAGGTGACGACGGTGCGCTTCGTCGTGAAGGACTCGTGCGAGGAGCATGTGAGAAGAGTGCAGAACAGGAAGACTCTCATGGCGGACGTAGTCTTGTCTCAAAAAAAGAGTTCGGGGTCCAATAAGGCCGCGGGGAAACTGGATAGCTTGCGCTCACTTTTGAGTTGAATGATAATGAAGCTTAGTCAGACTTCGGCCATTCTGCAGGGTCGTGATTGTGCTGTGCAGCATTCGTTTCATGTACCTTGCTCATGAGCTAACAGTATGTTGCTGAAAAAGATCGTTTGATTCGCTGGGTAGGAAATCCGCCTAGTAGGGGTAGGTTGAGTGGCCAGCCGCACCACGCAGACATTGACCGAGCCCAATTCGTGTTACTGACATACATGATCTAGCAATGCGAATAGTGACCCACTTACTCCACCACACCCGATTGAATCCCTCTCGCTTATCAGATTCAAAGCTCGGGCTCCACATCAGATATCTAGGCAGGATAGAATTTTCGCTTCCTAGAGCAAAGGGAATTACCGCAGTCGAAAAGGGGGCGCGACACAGGCCGGCGGGTCTCAAGGGAGTCCCGAAGCTGGCGGTATTGTTGGCCATTCTCCTTCAAACTGGCACTCATGGGTGGCACTTTTTCAATGTATATCCCAAATGGGCCCCAAGTGAGTCTGAGCAAACCCAGATTCGGGATTTCTGATTTGAGCTATTCTACGGGTGGTCTGTCTTTCATTCTTTCCAACATATGAGACCAAGTGAGGGCGCCCCATTGGATGGTTGCAAGAGCCGAATACTGCCTTAGTAATGCCAAACAGAACCTAGGAGGCTCTATTGTGGGCATCCCGCTGCTCTTGACTTGGTGAGTCTGCTAACTCTCCGTGCAGAAGTTGCGGCGCTATTGCGCTCTCGTCAGGTGCTGGACTCTTCGGAGCAGCTTGTTCAAGTAAGGGTTTCATGCACGCATGGCCAGCTTCACTCCCAAAATGTTCAGCCAGAGCATCCACACTAGCAAAATGGCTGCCGCAGCCCCATTCTCCGTTCTCCAATACGCCGTGACACACAAGTTGATTGCCTTCATCGTACGCCTTGATACACTCCCGACCGACCTCGCTCTGGAAATGTTTTCTCAACGCGTCCGGTCGAGTGAATCGCCTTTCACAGCCCCATCGTTTTCCACTTTTCAAAAGTCCACCACAAATGACATCCCTTTCTTCACCGTGTATCCTCTCATGACGCTTCCGGTCATTTTGCCTGTGAAAAGCTTTTCCACAAATGGTACAGGAAAATGGGCGTTCATCCGTGTGCGTTCGAAGATGTGATCTCAGCGTGTAAGCTCGGGTAAACCTTTTTGGACATTCAGGACATTGATGTGTTGCCGGATGCTTCAAGTTCCGCTGACTTGGCTGAGCCCTCTCGTCTTTTGGAAACCGGGAACCGTTTGGGTCCGTGTCATGGAATTTTAGCATGTGCTTTTCCAACTCCTTTGCTGTTGTGCAACCGAGAATTGATTGAGGGCATCCTTCTTCTACACATGTGAAAGCCCGTTCATGCTTAAAAATATGACGGCTGCGATAGGATGCGGTCCAAAACCCCTCATGGAAAAATTGGCAGTTGATTCTTGGGCATTTGAACCACTTTGGACCGTAGAGTTTGGTGATCGTCTCTTTTCGTCTTTGCACCATGGTGGGATGGGCTGCAATCCCTTCCAGTACGTTTCGGATTCGGCAAAGCGCCTGTGAAACTCCGAGGACGTCATCATCCGAGAGCCCTTTACTGGCTGACCTTGAATGCTTTTCGAAAGCTGTGATGGCCTGGCACGCCTTCGCATAGAAGTGGCATCCTTGAAGCGGAAGTAATTTCCTTAGATAGTCTTTGATATATCGTGGTCTTGCAGTAAACTGCTCCAGCGGGTCTTCAAAAACTGCTCCAGAGCATCGCTAAGGTCTTGGAATCTGTTGCGGTCATTTTCGTTGAGTCCCTGGATGCCTGCTTCCAAGTGGGTTGCCCAAAAAGAAACAGCGTAATCGCAAAACGCATAGAATCCTGAAAAGAGCTCCTCTTCTACTGCCTCGGATGACATATCAATGTCGAATTGAGGGCATGTTAGATACTCTAGACAGAGAATTGCGAGGTCGCATTCTACGTATAGCTGATCTACGTAGGATTCTTTCGTTAGATACCTACACATATCTGTTAGCCAGCAGAAGCAAGCGAGATAGCTTTTGAAATACTTTTTAGCCGTGGCATGCACAAGAATAACTGTGTCATCGGAGTTGATCTCCACTAAAGATGCACAAGTGCTTTTACAATCCTCCTTGAATGAACGCTTCAGATTGCACGTTTGCCTTTCAAGGTCTATTGACATAGCCCCTTGAATCTCGTACCATTTCAGTGGCCGCCTGGCACAGACAAGCCACCCAAGAAGCTTCTTTATGTCGTTCTCTCCAGATTGCGTCAAACTTGCCGGCTCGAGGATTCGTTTTAGTATCCGTTCGTATCTGCGGTATGGGTCAGAAGTTGTACCCACCACCATGCGAGAAAATAAAAGTGCACATACGCTTGTTCAAGCCCTTTCGGAAATGTGTCTTCGTGTAATTCCTTTTCGAGGTCATTTCTGCTTGCTTGTTCAAAGAGATTCAGGGTTACCAGCCGGGCGAAAAGGAACATGCCTGTAGAAAGTGAGTCAGAACTCTGCCCAAATATTCGGTTCAGAAGGTCATACCATCAGCCGCGCCCACCACAATACGGGTAATGTCATGTTCTTCTTTATCCAAACGACCAAATTTGACCTCAATTTCTCGGTGCCAATGCCTGCAAAACGTTTGAATGTCCGTTATGTTCTCCACAGCTCCAACTTTGATCCATAGCAGATCACCAAGATCCTTGCGAGCGCATCCATCGTCTTAGCTAACGAAAAAGCATCGAATCGAATCACAATCCGCTCTAAACAAAGACTAAACAAGAAAACGAAACCAAGACACGATCTCCTTTCTATCATCGCGGGCGTATTCGTCAAGGCCATCAAGAACGATGTAAATCCTGTCGCAGCTTTTAAGCCCAATTTCCAGCAGCTTCTTTGCATGATCTGCTGCTGAAAGTAATACTTGCCCGCTCGTTGAGGCTTGTTCGAATAGGTGGTTTACGAAGCAATCGTTTTCCCTACAATCTGAGACAGCAACGCTCTAGCAACGGAGACGAATCCATTCCGGTGTTCATCATGATGCTTGCAGTAGAAAAATACGACCATCGAGTTTGTAAATGCGCGTATTTTTTCAACGACAAGTGATGCAAGGAAAGTTTTCCCTGCGATGGGTCAGTCCAAGCTTCAATAAACAATGTAGATGCCCACGGACCAGCGCCCGGTTTTCCGTTGAGCCAGAGTAATGGATTAGCACAATAATCCAGGCTCGACCACTGTTGAAAAGTATGGTCTCGTAGAAGCCATTCGCCGGTTCCAGGATATATAATTTGCATAATGTCTTTGTGCCGCAGTTCGGAATCTATGGGACAAAGCCATTGTTGGACTTGAGTACGCCGAATGTGCAGTTGCTCCTCCTGTGAATCTTGATGCTCGTTTCTCAAGTTTTGTCGAAAAGCCTGCACATCTGTAACCGCATCATGCTTGGGTCCGTCGCGTTGGGACGTCAATTGTTTGTGCAGCATTTCACACAAGCCCGAGAACTCCAGCTCCAGATATCTTCGGTTGGCTTGAAACATCTCCCTCCATGCTAGGGTCTTATTGTCAGTGTAAGGGCGTTCCACGAGGGCGAGCAAAATTGACCAACTTCTCTGCTTGAAATATGCGACAAGCCTGCCGTGGGTTTCTAGTATATCTTCCAGAACTGCAGGTAGAACAACCAGCATGTACTGATCTGACTCTAAGAGTATCGAGGACTCGTGTAGCTGACCGAGTCTTTCGCCAACTACCAAGTAACCGTTTAGTAGCAAATTGAAGGCTTCTGGATGGACAGAAGTTGTCTGGTATGGTTAGCGGCAAAATATGCAGGCTTCTGATCTAAACTTACAAGGAGTAAGAATCTCGTTGACGCCTGCAGCAATGTTACCCGAGTAGCACCAATTTCGGAACATTACCCACCCATAACAGCCCCGAGAATTCAGAAATGCCCGTGAGACTCCGAGTATTATGGATATGCTGCCCCATAGAGTCTAGAAATGGACGGAGCCTTTTCATGTACATCATCGTCCGGGAATTCTGCTGCTGATTCTGAAGGCAGAACAGAGACCTCTGTAAGTCTAGGAAGGAGGTGGTTTTGAATTCGTTTAACTCTTTTTTGCTGAGGGTTACATTTTCTTCGAACCATTGGACGGATCTGTGCAGCGCAGTAGCCATTGATGGTAAATCCGCGGTCATAGTGACTGAATGATACGAAGAAGGGCGCAACCAGGTACCAGAATAGCCGCGAAATTAGAAAAGTGATGTGATCGAACACGAAATAAGTTTTCACTTTTCTGTAGATAACATGGGATTAGGCAACGGTGGCGAGGCTGAAAAAAGCTGGCAGGATGTTGTTATGGCACGTCGCTTGTGTAACATTGCTGACTAGACATCCAGGCTTGTTCCGGGCTGACTGCATATTGAACTTCATCTCAGACTTCGCATCTGACAACTCATCAGCTGTACATAACATCGTACTTAGGCGCCTAGTGTTGCCGAGATTCTCTCAACGCTCTCTCAGAGTCTTTAATCTACTCTTTCCAGCGTCAAAACCCGCTGAACATACCCACCTACACACGATGGACCCATTAGGCCCGACACCAACTCGGAAGAGACCACGAAGTCCACACGACAGCATTGAATATTCTTACCCTGATAAACGCAGGCTTCCGCATCGACTTGTTTCGCCAACTGCCGACAATGGCAAATCACCAGCTTTGGCTATGGTATCAGATCCCCTACTGAGCGGCCACCAATTCATAACAAACTCATATCATGCTAACTTCTCTGGTTACTACAAGAGTCAATACTCAGGTCACGTTCAGGACTCTGGCGGCGAAAGCAATCTCAGGAACCCCCAGCAATGTAATTCAGCTCAAGGCGACATGTATATTTCCGGATGCAACTCGGAAGATGAAACTACTTTCGACATCACGCCGCCGTGGGATGCCGGGGAAGGTGATGTCTGTTATGGAATGGTGGGTTAATGCAAATTTTCCTGCCAGTACAGACTCTTACGAGCCAGATATGCAATGTCCATGTGCGTTTCCGACAAAATCCAGGCGAGCTGTCCTCGACTATGCTGCAGCCAATGGCTCCTACACCACTCAAGATCTTTCAGATTTCTCTTTGCAGTAATCGTATGAGTGTGGTCTCAAAGGCAGGCGAGGAAGTTGCGATTTTGAACATCAAAGTGTCTCAGTCACTTCAACAACTGTCTGAATCCAGCCAGGTACGATTTGAGGCCATTATCCCTATTCAGGAAAACAAGTCTCAGGAGACCTCTTCGAGTCGAAAAGAAAGCCTGCAGAATGAAAAAATAGGAATCAACGTATATGGACAGCGCGAGACTTCAGAACGTGTTGCCTCGGACCTTGGTCACGCAGGCCTTTTCCTCCAAGATCCGTATTGGAGACCTGTAAATGTTCCCTATGAGAATCCTCAATATCTCGAGCTTCCTGGCTGTCTGTCGCAAGAAGAGATGTCTCCCCAGAGCCTCAGTTCCACGGAACAGGAGAACGTAACGACTCAGGATACGCTGATGGATTCCTTCGAATTGGACTTCGACCTACTCATGAATAGCCTCCTGTCCCTAGAAGATCTCATACAGGCGACAGCAGACCAAAGAGTCAGAACTCCTTTGGAAGAGTATGTGAGGTTTCATTCTTTGTAGAGTCTACATAGACTAACGTCTCTCACTCCAAAAGACATCAGAAAAAAGGGCTCGATTTCATCATGAAAAGAGAGCGCACTTCCCCGACCCATCCGTCAAGCCTCTGGAAGGCTGAAGAAACCGAGACTGGCCGGATGTGGTAAGTAGAGTACCGATTGTCTATTTGAAATTATTTCTGATTCTATAAAATGACTAAGATACCACCATGTTATTACTGGTGCCAAAAGCCCAACTGCCCCAGATGCACTCGGTGGTATTCTAGCTGATGATATGGGGCTGGGGAAGTCTTTGACCATGCTAGCAGCTGTTGCAGGTACAACAACAAATGCATGGCAATATGCACGTGAAAACACCACCTGGTCCGTTGGAAATGGGAATGGTCTTATTGCGGCAAAGACAACGCTTCTCATTGTACCATCTGCATGTAGGGACATTCATCCGTGCAATTATTCACTGCACACGCTAACAAATCATCTAACGTAGTGTTGATGGATGGCTGGATTAAGGAAATTGAGAAGTTGAACTCTCCTGGTCCATCTTTATTTGACATAACTGATCATTTACCCAGGCATCTTCTCCCCGGAAGCTTGAGCTGTTTGAAGTATCACGGGCAGAATAGGACAACAGAACCGCTCATGCTTCTTCAGCACGACATAGTCCTTACTACGTATGGTACCGTTGCAGCCGACATCAGCCGCGGGAGAACTATGCTGCATCGAATAAATTGGTTTAGAGTTGTGTTGGATGAGGGTAATAATCTCATCGCCTTGTTTTCACCGGTTGATGTGCCTCGAAAACTGACCAAATTTAAAGCTCACGTAATACGCAACGTTTCTACAAATCAATTCAGCGCCATCCTCACTCTACAAGCCCATATTCGGTGGTGTCTGACTGGAACTCCGATACAGAATTCCCTCGAAGACCTTGGATCATTGATCAAATTCTTGAGGATACCAAGCTTGGATGATGCCTCGCAATTTCGAGCTCACATTACCAACAAGGCCCAGCCTTCGAAGACGAACCCAAAGCCCGACTTTGAAAACTTGCGTGTTTTGTTAGGTGCAGTCTGCTTGAGACGAAACAACACGATCCTTCCTCTTCATCAGCCAAAGGAGCATACTCACGAGCTGGACTTCTCTTCAAACGAGCGAAGAGACTATAACGAGATCTTGCACGCCTTCAAGGAAGCCATTAGAGCAGCAGTCAATGAGAACAAGAGCGCAAAAGCACACCAGACTGTTCTTGACGGGCTACTTCGCCTGCGCATGTTTTGCAACAACAGTAATATGCGCGGCACGTCTACAGAGGAAGTAGGGAGCCTTCTCCAGCAGAACAGAAAATCTTTCTGCTTGTTGTGTTTCTGTGACGTACTTTCTTACAGTTCGTACACCGATACCCGGTCTGGATGCATCACACAGTGTCGTCGTGTGATCTGCAGCGACTGTGTCGAGAGCTACGAGGAGGACCGCGAAATTAAGTCTCGGTGTCCATTGTGCCACACAGCTCATGGTGGGTTGATGTCGGGAACGTTGGATGAGGATGCAAATTACGATATGTCCGGCTCAGAATTTCCGTCAAAGCTTATCGTGTTATGCAAAGATATCCAGGAACACAAGCATGAAGGCAAATGGTAGAGTTTTCATAGAGCTGCTGAAGCATATCAACTTGCTGATAACACTTCCAGCATCGTCTTCTCGTTCTGGAAAAGCTCGCTCGATATTGTCGGACGTGTCCTGGACAAAGGGGGCATTGTCCACGCCCGGGTTGATGGATCATTACCGGTCAGCAAGAGGAGGCAGATATTGAACCAATTCCATACGAGCCAAGATTTCGGGGTGCTTTTGATGACTTTGGGAACCGGCGCTGTTGGGTAAGCCTTCGTTCTGGGGAGTCGAAGACAATGTCTGCTCACCGATGTAGGTTGAATGATCTCACAGTTGCCCATCGCGTCCACATTCTTGAACCGCAATGGAATCCATCAGTGGAGAGCCAAGCAATTGGGCGAGTTGTAAGACTTGGGCAAATGAAACCAGTGCAAGTCATCCGCTATGTAATGCGGAATAAAATAGAGAAGGTACTAGTCCTTGTAATATGACACGCAAGTAGCTAATACTCTTAGAACGTCCAGAATCGTCAGCAGAGAAAAATTCAATTGGCCAAGGGCGGATTCAATCAGGCATTAAGAGTAAGCGTGTATACGATGGTGCCATAGCTTAAATTTTTGTCTGACCTTCAATAGGACATGATCTGTGACGCTGAAGAATAGGATGCAGCTCAAACTAGAGTTAATCAGAATAGAAGACCGTTCTGGCTACTTATCGTGCTCATTTTTGTTCCTTGATCCCTCCTCCTAACGTGCTGCCCTAGGATATAATTCAGTGATGGAGCAGCGTGGCTTGAGTTATAGTTCGTAAAAGCATTGCGACGAAAATCGAGTTTATTCAGTAATTTTGCGAAAAACTCGTCTGAATGTGCCAAGCAAAATGCGTAAATGCAGCTGGCGAACCACCTATTTGTACTTGAGTGTCGGCTATTTATTGAGAAAAACGAACAAGTTATCGGTCGGTACGAGGGTGAACTTCATAGAGAGGACTAGTTCGCTTTGGCAGATTAATCTGGCCAGTCGTTTTGCAGTGGTTAATGTAATTGCGCACAGCTGTTTCAGTACCGAAGCCGATTTGTCGAGCAATCTCGCGCCCTGACTGGCCACCTTCGTGCATTTTGCTAATGGAAAGTCTTTAATCATGCGAGAGCTCATACCTGCAACTGGCATTGCCCGAGATTTCGCTTCCAAGAACCCGCTGCATGGTGGTGTTGGTGGTGGTGTTTCTTGTCATGGTACGGGACCCAGGCAGGTCAGTGAAATGGACACAAGGTTCTGCGAGGAGCGGAGGAGCGACGATAGTAGCGGCGAAGATATCGCCAGGCGATGCGAAGCCGGCGAAACGAGGACCCGGGGTCAGGATCGTGACATGAGGGGCACGTTACTTGCGCGAAGGGTTGCCTCTTCTCAGAGGCCGAAGTCACGTCGGACCCCGCCCATAAACCGAAACCTTGCGGTCCCTATATGACGTAGTCGGCTCTTGGGTAGCAGCACTGCCAGCGAGAGAGCAATCCGAAAATTTGAGGAAAGCTAGGGCGCCATTCCTCATTCGGTATAGACCATTATTGGATTCGACGTGCGCCTGGAACACGCACAACCAACCCACCAACCGAACTTCACTAACTAGCGCCCCGCCACCCCAACTCGCACTCTCTATGCTTACTACTAAACACGTGATTTAAATCCATGCAAAAACTTCCTTATAGCTAATAATCTCTGCTTAACGCTCCTAAGGCTATTTAGTCGATTTTATACTAAATCTACATATCTTGCAGTACTCCATAGGATTGGAAGTATGCAACTTAAAATTCCCCCTGTTGACTTGTAGACCTCGCAAGGCTGCGCTTAATAAAGACTATGGGGCTAGGTTTAAATTCGAGTGAGCCAGCCGTTTCCTCTCTTAGTTTTAATCACGTCCATTCGCGCAAGAGCTGAAAAGGTATACTTTGCCATTTCCTTTCCTCAACTAGTCCCTAAAAGGCGAGAATCAGATAACGCTGTTATCAAAACTGGCGAGGCTGAATATGAGTTCCGCTGTGGATAGCATGGGCAACGGTCCGTTGAGAAACGAGAGCTATACGGTTGGGTGGATTGCAGCGCTCGCACATGAAGCAGCGGCCGCAAAAGCCGCCCTGGATGACTTTCACGGACGAGCACCGCTAACCCAGAATTTACAAGATCAGAATTTGTACGTTCTCGGCAGGATTCGTGGCCACAATGTTGTCATTGCATCTCTCCCCGCCGGCGTCATCGGAACGATCGCTGCCACTACAACCGCAATGCACATGCTCGCAAGCTTCCCGGCTATTAAAATAGGTCTCATGGTGGGCATCGGCGCCGGGATCCCTCGGATAAAGAAAGACCGCAAGACTAGCAGGTATCGCGACCTCCGCAACATACGACTAGGCGACGTTGTTGTCAGCCAGCCTGGCGGCACGCACGGTGGCGTGAAACAATATGATCTCGGCAAGGCGCATGCTACCGGCGATTTCGAGCCTTCGGGCTTTCTGAACGGCCCGCCGCGAACTCTTCTCAATGCCGTCGGAGTTCTGCGGCAGTTACACGAAAGTGGGGAGAGCGACATGCCCAACATCCTGAATCAGATCCTGCTGAATCTCAGCAATGCACCGCATTCGTATGCGTATCCGGGACAAGAATTCGATCGGCTGTTTGAAGCCGAATACCACCATCCTCAGGACGAAGAGACCTGCGATGATTGTGATGAGGATAAAGAGGTTGTCCGAACGGATCGCAGGTCCACGAATCCAGTATTACACTGTGGTGTCATCGCATCGGGAAACCAGGTCATCAAATCCCCTGCCATTCGGGATCGTCTCGGGAGCGGTTGTATTTGCTTTGAGATGGAAGCGGCTGGCCTCATGAATGATTTCCCATGTCTGGTCATTCGTGGAATATGCGACTATGCAGATTCCCACAAGAACGACGCTTGGCAGAGATACGCTGCAGCTACAGCCGCAGCATGTGCCAAGGAAATTCTGCTCAATATCCCTGAGGTTGAAGTTGAAAATGAGCGGTTGGCGAAAGAGGTAGTGCAGGCTGCACAGATGGGTTAGTCTTCGTACGGTGCATGAACTGGAACTGCTACTCACTTTTCCATCCGAGTTTAGTAATGGAAGATGTCCGTGAAAACATAAGGCCACTTCAGGAAGGTACATCAAGCCCCCTTGTATATTTCAAGGGCTCGGTTAATCCCCAACCCAGAATTGCATCAAAAGCGCAAATCAGAAATTCTCAGCTGGCTGAGCGAAGTTAGCTACATCGCTTTGAAAGCCGACTTCCTGAGTAGATGGTGCGAGGGGACCGGCCAGTGGATACTGGTGCATCCCACCTTTCAAACTTGGATTAATGATGAGAATCCAACGCTCTTCTGCACTGGTATCCCTGGCGCAGGCAAGACAATTACGTCGTCCATCGTAATTCAACATTTAACTTCCAGATACGCAAACGATAATGTCATGGTTGCATTCTTGTACTGCAACTACAAAATGAAAAGCAAGCAGACAGCCAACGATCTCCTCGCCGCATTGCTGAGGCAATTCGCCGAAAGGCCAGGCGAATTTCATCACTCGATCAAGAGCTTGGATGAAAAGTGTGAAAGGAAAAGAAGACCAACCCGAGAGGAGCTCGTCGAGGCACTTTTATCTATAGTAGAAAGCTTTGACCGAACCTTCGTTGTGGTAGATGGATTGAACGAATGTCCGCAATGGGATGACGACATCCGCGGAGGACTCGTGGGCACAATACGTCACCTTCAGCAGCGAGCACCAGTCAGCTTTCTAGCCACCTCACGAGACATCCCAATCATCCTTGAAGAATTTCAGAATGACATGACATTGAAAATCACGGCCCGGACGGAAGATGTCATAAAATATCTGCAGAGCCGGAAAGACGCGCCGAGGATGATCCAAAAGAACATCGATCTACAGCTGAAAGTCGTTAGAGATATTGCAGATGCTGTTGACGGCATGTACGTGTTGATAAATCATATATGTAGGCTGGGAGACACTCTGACCGATCAACTTGCAGGTTCCTCCTTGCGCAGCTCTACTTTGACTCATTAAAGTCGAAGAGAACAGAGGCAGATATTGAAGAAGCATTAGGAAAATTCAGAGGAGGCCCCGGAGGTCTGAAAGCCTTGACACAAGCATATGATGCAGCAATTGCAAGAATCGGCGACCAGGAAGAAGAAGACCGCAATTGGGCCTACAAAGTCATCCGCTGGGTCAGCAATGCCAAGAGACCTTTGTCCCCAACAGAAATCCAGCATGCACTTGCCATCCGGCACGGTGACCGTCAGATCAACCCGAAGAACTTTCCCGACTGCGCCGAAATTGTCTCGCTTTGCGCAGGACTGGTGTCGATAAACAGGGAGAGCAATACCATCCAGCTCGTTCATCACACGACAGGAGAGTACTTTGATAGTAACACACTCAGCTGGATGGTTTCTGCTCCACTCGATCTGGCCGCTTCTTGTCTCATGTATCTTGCATTCGCAGAATTTGCCTCCGGCATGGCCCCTGACGATAAGAATTTCGAAGAGAGGATCGGCAGGAACAAGTTTCTTCGATACGCCGCCAGCAACTGGGGGCACCACGCGCGGGAATTAGAAAAAGACCTCCTGGAAAACCACATGACGCTGCTCCAGAATTTTCTGCGAAACCGGCATTTGACCTTCGCAGCCAGTCAAGCCAGGAGTGCAAGGGGATACTGGACCGGATACAGCCAGGGCTCTCCTCGTTGGCTATGGTCACACACTCTGGCCTTCTTCGGACTCGGAGAGATATTTCAGCACATGCTCTGCTTCAGTGAGAACGAAGTTGATTTTGCGGATGGGGAAAGCAGCTTGACCCCCCTTGCACTAGCAGCGAGCGAAGGACATGAAGCCGTGGTCAAATTACTGCTTGAACTTGGACCGGAGAGAGTAGAGCTGAACTCCGGAATCAGATTTGGTCACCGCACTCCATTCGGTCAAGCTGTCAGCAACGGACATTATGCCGTGACGAAGTTATTCACCGATCTCGGACCGGAAGCGATAGATCTGAATTCCAAACAGCATTGCCGCCGACAGTCGCCAATTTCTGTAGCCGCTCAGAATGGGTCATACGAAATTGTTCAGCTGCTCATAAACCTCGGGCCAGAGCGTGTAGAGATCGACTCAAGGGACGGCTTTACCAAGCAAACTCCACTCGCGCATGCTGTTCAGCATGGCCATGTCAAGATAGCCGAGCTTCTTCTCAGCCTTGGGCGGCAGAGAGTGGATCCTAACAGCAAGGACAAATTCGGCAATACTCCGCTCATCTGGGCAGCCAGAAATGGGCACACGGAGCTGGTGAGCTTGCTTATGGATCTTGGGCCTGAGCAGGTGGATGCCAACCACACCAATCGCGAAGGCCGTACCGCTCTGCAGGAAGCTGTAATGCACAACCACTGCGACGTGGTTCGGAGGCTTGTCAACTACCCATAATGGAGAGTGGATGTGAACATATCCACGCCAAAATTCACCCAGACAGCCCTTGCCTGTGCCGCAGAAAATGGGCTCGACACTGCCGTGAAAGTGCTTATCGGACTTGGACCAGGCAGAGTCGACCTTGACGCTCGGGGATGGCGAAACATGACTCCACTCTTGTGGGCAGCAAAAGAGGGCCACGTCGAAATCATCAGGCTGCTGGCGAATCTCGAGCCGGGAAGTGTCGATATGAACGCGGTTGATGTCGATGGTTTCACGCCGTTGATATGGGCTGTGGTGAACGAGCACTATGACGCTGCACAATTCCTCGTTGGTCTTGGCTTGGAGAGAGTAGATACGAATATCGCCGACAAAAAAACGTTTACTGCTTTGGACTATGCTGCCCGTCGAGGGAGGCGATTTGAGAATCTCCTGCGATCCGGAGAGAATGGGGAGATAAACCAGCGAGCCAGTGCTGAAGAAGGACACTCAAAACCCGGATTGATGAGTGGGCTGTTCTGGACCAACTCGAGTCCAACTCAACGCTAATGTAGCAAAAGAGGCTGTTGGTGTTGATGCAGTACCGAGGATCGCACTAGGCTGCTTTTGGATGGGCGGATTCAGCCTGCCTTCCTGGTTGCCCCCAACCCTCGCCATCTTTTTTTTAATTCATTCTCTACCTACCATTGAATTCAACCCCGGCCAACGAAGTACCTTCCTGTATCTTGTCGCCCCGTTAAGCGGCGCGAGAGCGCAATTGGGCCCAGAAAGCACCGCAATCCGTCTCATCGCTTCAACAGATCCCGCCGACGCTCCCTTTGCATGATATCAACATAAGGACAAACTACGATGGAGCTTTGGTTCAGGGAAAAGCACCGGGTATTCGATGTCGGCTCCGCGATTGCCGACGCTTCGCCGTTGTCCTTCGGAATTGCTCAAATCAGCCAAGCCGAGTTGTAGGACTTACCCGAAACGGTAACCAACCTCTCCCAGGAATCGTGCAGGGCGCAGATCACCATATTTCTTATATCTACGTTATTTTTCCCGAACTCGTTGCCAGACAGAGGTTTCTCCAGTAACACGCTGGTAGCTGGATTTTTACATGAGCGCTTTTGATGGCAACATACTGCGAATCACCCAATTAGCACCTGATCGAGTGAACTTTTGGTTTTGGCCAAGGATATCAGGATATGATCATGATTTTCTTTCGCAGGTTTCCCTTGCTTTAGCAGATCGGCCACAGAGTCTGTGGAGCATTGTGATGATCACGCATGAGCAAAGTGTGCCGCGGGGCATCCAAAGATGTGCTACAAAGAGATCTGTGTGATTTCTTATGGTAGCTGATTCGACACATCAGTATGTCTTGAACATGAAAGATTGTGACGGTTACTAGTAAAAATTGTTGCGTGCTACAGAAGACCAATGCTGACTGAAACTCTTGCCACTCCCAATCGCTTCGATATCCGCCTTTTCTGTGCGGCAACACAATGCAACCACGCTCCGCACGCGGTAAAAATCTTAGAAAACACGGGCCATTCTGGCTAGAAATATCAAGAGAAAGCCATAGGAGTTCCCTTTGAGCCATTCAAGCGGTGAGCATGGAAGCAGCCAAAAGACCCAAAAGTTGAAACAAAGCAGTGCCGTCTGACCAGGACCTCCTCAACCTGATGCGGCTCTGCAGAGATCTACAATCCCTTCTGTGCTCCCACACTCCCGTGATAACAGTTGGTGAACGGCAACCGGGCCAATCGAGGCATGCACTTAAGCGAGACAAGGGATGCTCAAAAGGGTAGCACTGTCTCACTTCCGCTTCCAACCTCTTTGTATCTCCACGTGGACTTTTGAGCAAACGCATTAGGTAGCTACGGCCCCTGTCAATTCCAGGGAAAAGAGAAACAAAAAATGACCCGGAAAATCAGGCTATCGTTGTCGCCTGCAACCGGAACCCTGCGGCGCCCATATATGTTGTTGATGCATTCTTACGCACGGACAAAACCCATCCATATTTCTGCGGCGGTATATCCACCACACTCTGCTTGGTCTTCGATCTTCGTCCGTACCGGCTATGAGGGGGTTCGCAGTGTTGTTGTTGGCTTTCGTGCCGTCCGCCATAACCGCCGCCGTTGTTCCAGGGAAAACAATTCGTCGACAGGGGGAGAGTAATACTACTGTTGCTTTGTCTGACCCTTTTTCAGCATTTTTTAGGATGTATGTATGCTTTCCATTTCTATTCTTGTCGAAAGTCACGTCCCCATATTTTATGATAGCTGCGTCTATGCTCGAACGCTATTCTCATAATACAAACCTATTTTCAATACCCATAAGATCACATTCGTTATGCATTCCATAGCTTCTATGTATATTCTTAACAAGTCTAAACGTTCATACTCTTCAGATCCACCGCCCCCACCGAAGAAGGACCATCATCTCCCACCCCATCCAAACACTCCAGGCCAAAATACCCACCCAAGGCAGCCTCTCTCCACTACGAAGACCAACCCCCCTCCTCCCCCAACCCTCGGACCTGCACCCCTCTGCGCCCCACCTACCCTTCAACCTGGTGGTACGCCGACCTCCTCGCCTCCACCCCCGACGGCACCACGCCCTTCCTCGGCGCGCCGCTCAACACGACCTACCCGGTGCACCGCAACGTGCTCAACTACGGCGCCGACCCGAGCGGCACGCACTCCTCCACCGGCGCCATCCAAGCCGCCATCAACGCCGGCGGGACGTTCAATGGCGACGACGGCACGGCATACTACTACCCGAACCTGCGCAACACCAGCACGCGCGGCGCCGCCTTCAGCAGCACGCTGACGCCGGCCGTCGTCTACCTGCCGCCGGGGACGTACCTGCTCGACGGGCCCGTGCAGCTGTGGATCGGGACGGTGCTGGTCGGCGACGCCGTGAGCCCGCCCGTGCTCAAGGTCTCGCCGGATTTTGCGGGCAACGGGTACGTCCTGTACGGCAAGGATCCGGGGTTGCCGGGGACGAATGGGTTCTTCGTCGGGCTGCGCGACGTGGTTGTGGATTCGAGGGCGTATGCGAGTGAGGAGAAGCTGGTGCTGTTGGACTGGACGCTGAGCCAGGGGACGCAGTTGAAGGGAGTGAGGTTCGAGATGCCGCAGGGTGGGAAGCATGTTGGGTTGAGGTAAGTGGTATTCTTTTTCTGTCTACCATTTCCCTGTGTCTTTGTATGGATGGGTAAGTTAGGAAACTTAAGCTGACTTTGCCTTTTTGTGAAGCACAAAGTTTGGTTACAACAGCAATATCATATTGAACGATCTTTCGTTCAATGGTGGCGCGGTAGGGATGGATTTGAGTGGACAGCAGTGGTTGGTCAAATCGGTGACGTTTAATCGATGTGGCATCGGAGCGATTGTAGATTGTAAGTCGCCCAGAGATACCAAAAGTCTTGAACTGGATCCGTTCTGACAATCATGCTCTAGGTTTCGATTGTGTGTTCCTGGATATCAGCGTAAGTGCTTCATTGAAATTTAGAACATGTCTGACTAGTCCTCAAGTGCATTAGAGTCGGTATATGCCTCGACGGCAGCCAGACATCAGGCAGCCTGACGGTTATTGACAGCTACACTGCCAGGTCAGGCACATTCGTGTCCAGCTACCAGTCCGTGAACGGTTACAACCAGCTCGTGCTCGAGAACATCAGAAGCGACGGCGATACTGTCACTCTGAGTGGTGATATCGTCGTAAGAGGCAGTGTGCCATTTACCTGGATTCGTGGTCAAATGGTGAGTGGACTCATTCTCATCCGCGGACGACCTGGCTGACGGGTGAGCAGTACACGCAGGGCAACCCTCATCCCTCACATCAGCAGAACGCCATGATCCACACACCTCGCACTTCAGCTCTGCTCAGCCGTAGAGAATACTTCGTAATGAGGCCACCGACCTTCCGCGAGTACGATGCCTCGCAGATCCTCAACATCAAGTCAGTCCCTGAATATCCCGTCTACGGCGATGGCGACGCCGACGATACGAACTCAATCAACGCGATCCTGGCGCAATATGCCGGGTGCAAGGTCATATACATCCCCGCGGGAACGTACGTAGTCCGCAACACAATCTTCGTTCCTCGCGGCACCCGCATCTACGGTGATGCCTATGCCTCCGTTATCAGCGCCAAGGGACCCACCTTCTCCAACCCCAGCGCCCCTATGCCGATGGTTCAGATCGGGGCGCCGGGCGATGTCGGCGTGGCGCAGATTGTCGACATGATGTTCACGGTGGGGGAGGTGTTGCCGGGCTGCAAGCTCGTTGAAGTGAACATGGCAGGCGACAAGCCCGGCAGCGTCGCGCTGGTCAATTCGCACATGCGGGTTGGCGGCGGCGCTGGGTCTGCGGTCCAGACCAGCTGCGATAGCGGTTCGCCGTGCCGGGCCGCGTGGGGCCTGATCCACCTAACGGCGTCGTCCAGCGCGTACGTCGAGAACATGTGGGGCTGGACGGCCGACCACGACCTGGACAATGTGTACACGCAGAACATTGCCACAGGCAGGGGGATGCTGGTCGAGGCCACACAGGGGACGTGGCTGATTGGCACGTCGATGGAACACAACACGCTCTACCAATACAACTTTAATGGCGCGCGCAACGTCTTCACCGCATTGCAGCAGTCGGAGACGCCGTATTGGCAGGGGGTGAATTCCGGGACCGTTGCGCCGTATCCGTGGACGGACTACTTACAGCCTAGTGACCCGGACTTTTCGCGGTGCGGCGCGTCAAGTGGAGGATATTGCGGGGCGGCGTTGTTCGAAAGAATAGCGCAGAGCAAGAATCTTTTTTTGTATGGGGGCTGCCTTTGGACCTTTTACACCGGCGGAAACGGAAGCGAGAAGTGCGACTTCGACTGTCAGCAGGAGGCGATTGACATAGATAACGCTTCGAGCGGGATCTACCTGTACGGCACTAATGTGCATAAAGTGACGAACATGGTTAGCAGCGGCGGATGGAGCATTGCGGGTCAGAGCACAAACGAAGGCGGTTGGGGTGGCGTGGTCGCTGCTTACCTGTACAACTCTTGAGTCAATATTTCGGTTGTGAAATTTTTGTTGGGATTAGTAACGATTCGGATCTACGCTTTGCTCCTTCACCACCGTACCGCTCAAATTGCAACCGCTGTCTTGAAACGAAAAGTGGAGAAAGACGAAGTGTAGAGAACAACAATCTGGTTAGTCTCCGCTGGTAAGTTGTCTAACTGCGTAGCTGCAAGCCACTCCTCGGCAGCGAACCGGAGTTTCCAGGAGCATACAGTCCAAGAGACCCATCACTGTCATTCTCTGAGAAGCCCGGTTGGTTGGATGAACACGGAAGAGGGCTGCCCGAATTGGCAAATAGGTCATCAGTTCTGACACGGCGTAGTCTATGGTGCGCAGTTGCTGGGCTGCATTGCGGGCACACCAGTAGACGAAGTGAAGTTTAAGTATGGTTTGTGGTCAGACGATACGGCTTGCCTAGGTCAGGTGAGAACCGTTTCTGACTGACAGGGTTCTCTCTCCAGGTTCTCCGCATAGGCGGGAGTCATACCACGGGCGGGAGAGGGCACAGACTGCTGCCTTTAAGCGCCTCGATTAAAAGCTTGTCTGCTCAGACGTAGATCATTAGAGGCACCACGCTCTGCCCCAGACGCATCTAGAAGGAGGGCACGTGATGTAAAAATGGGTTTGTCTCCTGACCCGAGACCGATAGGGCGGACGGCAGATGACGTGCCTGGGGAAAGACTCAGATCCAGAAAGCTTCCAGATCTCGAGTAATGTTTGGGTCGGGGTCGCACAACTTCTGGCAGCGGAGCGCGTGCGTGCCCTGCGTTGGGTGCAGGCGCATGGTGCAGCACGCCGCGGCTGACTTGAGCGCCATGGTCGCTGACGGCGTCAGCCTCGCGCTAGCAGCCCCTATACGGTGAGGCAGTGACGTCGGGACGAATTCCAGGGCCTCGAAAATTTTTGGCGGCTGCGGTTCTGCAAGCGTCGCATGTGCCTCGGGAGGGTCTGGCGTCTAGCGGCGGGCGCAGAGAATTGCGGGCGGTGCGGGAGAAAACCGGGGCCGAGGCGCTTGGGCGCGTTTTATCCGGGAAGGACACGCGGGCTGGATGGAGGGTCGGCAAGCACTCTGGCGGGCGTGGGGGCAGCGCCGCCCTGCTGCGCGGCTCTGGACTGCAGCCCTGCCCTGGGCGAGTCCAATTGGCAGCGGCATTGCGAGGGTTGCATCGGCGTCTGCCCCCAGCATGGTCCAGGAGGCGTGCGGGTCGGCGGGGGCAGCAGCAGCTGGAGTGGATGGACGGCCGGCAGCTGCGACGCTGGAGGGCACCCGTGTAAACCCGAATCTTGGCGCGCTAGCCGCTTGCGCAATAGTGCACTCAAGCGAAGTTTTCGCCGTCGACCGCCGCCCTTATTTATGCTCTCAATCCTTTCGAACCTCTTCTTCTCCATCCATCTCCCCTCATCCCTTTCCGATTGGTTTCATTGATCAACCGGCACAATGGCTAAGGACGGCGAAGTTGTTCAGGCTGACAAGGTACGTCCGTCGGATTCCGCAGTCGCAAGTCGACGATGCGCGCCTGTAAACCCGAAGAAGAGCTGCGGCTAACCATGATAACAGAGCGTTTTCGGCATGCCCGTAAGTCATCACCGACGAAGTCCTCGCATCAACGCTCGCCTTGGACGGGCCTGTATCATCCGCCTCACCGCTCGCAGCGGCTGTTGAGCCGCTTGCGATGACGGGGCTGCGGATGCTGCAACCTGTCCAAGTTGTTGCGGAGTTGGCTCCTCGATAAACCTTACTAACACAATCACAACAGGGATTCGTGGTCGACTTCTTGAGTACGTCCCGCCATTGGGCTTCCATCTGAGATGCGTTACCGGTGCCATTGGCACTGGCGATGGATTCGTGATGGAAGCTGCAAATTTTGCGTTTAGACCTCGGTCACTGACTGCTTATCTACAGTGGGTGGTGTTTCCGCCGCCGTCTCGAAGACCGCCGCCGCTCCCATCGAGCGTGTCAAGCTCCTCATCCAGAACCAGGTATGCCATAACCGTCGTCACGGCCTGCGTCGGCCGCCTTGCCGTTGGCTCTCAGCTACTCCCGCTACGCCGACGTCATCTCTCGAGCGTACGCTAATCTGCTTCTTCAATAGGATGAGATGCTTCGCGCCGGTCGTCTCGACCGCAAGTACAACGGCATCATGGACTGCTTCCGCCGTACCACCGCCTCTGAGGGTGTCGTCTCCCTGTGGCGTGGTAACACCGCCAACGTCATCCGTTACTTCCCTACCCAGGCCCTGAACTTCGCTTTCCGTGACACCTACAAGTCGATGTTCGCCTTCAAGAAGGATCGTGATGGCTACGCCAAGTGGATGATGGGTAACCTTGCCTCCGGTGGTGCTGCTGGTGCCACTTCCCTCCTCTTCGTCTACTCTCTCGACTACGCCCGTACCCGTCTTGCCAACGACGCCAAGTCCGCCAAGGGCGGTGGTGACCGCCAGTTCAACGGTCTCGTCGACGTCTACAAGAAGACTCTTGCTTCCGATGGTATTGCCGGTCTCTACCGTGGTTTCGGTCCCTCCGTTGCTGGTATCGTCGTCTACCGTGGTCTGTACTTCGGCATGTACGACTCGATCAAGCCCGTCGTCCTCGTTGGTCCTCTTGAGGGTAACTTCCTTGCTTCCTTCCTTCTCGGCTGGACTGTCACCACCGGTGCCGGTATCGCTTCCTACCCTCTTGACACCGTCCGTCGTCGTATGATGATGACTTCTGGTGAGGTACGTATCAACAGCGCTCCACGATGATAACGTTGATTCTAACCAACTTCGCAGGCCGTCAAGTACAAGTCTTCTCTCGATGCCGCCAAGCAGATCATCGCCAAGGAGGGCGTCAAGTCCCTCTTCAAGGGTGCTGGTGCCAACATCCTCCGTGGTGTTGCCGGCGCTGGTGTCCTGTCCATCTACGACCAGGTCCAGCTCATCCTCTTCGGCAAGAAGTTCAAGGGTGGTTCCGGCTAAATGCCGTCTCGTTCGATTCCGACCGAGAAAAGCATACCGTAATACAGGGGAGGGGACGTGGCGTGGAGGATGGAGTGGATAGAGTAAGATCAAGCCTGAGCTTGTTCTGGTCACGAAAGAAAACAAAGCTGGGAGCGGTTTCTGATATCCCTGCTTTCAAGCATTTTGTACTTTACCCGGCAAATTTTCTTCTTTGTACCTTGCGCATCTCGCTGGCTTGACCTGCTCTGATTTTCTTTGATTTCCAATTTGGTTCCTGAGCACTTCCGTCGTTAGATAGTGCATTCTCATCGGCAGGAGGTGTTCAGAGGTTGGGAGCGGGAGAAAATATGGGCATAGAATTCAGTTGTCTTTTTCATCAATGCTCGTACTATCACGATGCTATGTGCAGGTGTTGAACTAGCCAGATTCCAACCATAAGCAGGGTCTCGAGCCTCAACCGTGGATCATGACTCCATCGCCACCCGACAGGGTGGTTGAGGCACGGTAAGTTGCGCAATCCCATTGTCGAGCTGCCTGAATGGTCTTCTCCTTGCATGCGCCTCCTTTATGATGTGCTGGGGTAGATGCGGCGGCCCTAGGATCGGCGGCCCGTTAAGGGAAAGCTTCACGTGACGTCATCAGGCTTGTAAAGGCAACGAGCTCAACTTGCGGTTCTGCTGCGCCAAACATCTGTCCTTGCATCCTTGCCGCGCGTCCTGCACGTACAAAAAGCAGAAAACGTCCTCCTTTGTCCTATAAATTCACTCAGTACCTCCTCCAGCTCTCAACATCACACCACCATCCCAACCTACAACATCTACCATGCCTCCAATCCCCATCTACTCGGACGCACCGATCAAGCCGCCTGCCGCCGCCGCAAAGGCAGAAGGCGTAACACCGCAAACGGCTGCAGCAAACGGTCACCAGCAACCCGCACCGACCCGCACCACTGCCACAACCACCGCCGCCTTCGACCCTTCCGCGCCTCCACCGCCGCAACCAGGCGCCGCGCCTGTTCCTCCTCCAACCTCCCAATTCTCCGCCTCTTCTTCCCCGCCACGGCCGCAGCCGGGCGCCGCGCCCGTCCCCGCACCCACGGGTAGCAGCAACAATGATAGCACGGTCACGAAGACGGTGACGGAGACGGTGACAACGCTAGGCGGCCCGCCACCGCAGTTCGGCATACCGGCACCAGGCGCGAACGCGGCTGCCACACGCTCGACCGACGCTGGTATTCCTCAGCATAGCGCGAATAATGGCCCGACGACGATAAATTTCGGTGCGGTGGAAGGCGGTGCGACGAGGGCTCGTGGGTCGAGTACGGCGTCGTTGGAGCACCCGCCAGGCTATGTACAGTATGTGAAGCTTTCTCTCTTTCTTCTTTTCTTTCTTTTTCTCTCTCGCTACTTGGATTCTTTCATCATGAGTGGTGATCAATCATGCTAACACGGAATTCTTCTTTGCCTTTAGGAATCCATACGTTGACGGAACCGCGGCACAGCGAGCGGCTATGGAGGATGCGGCAGCGAGGGAGAGAGAAGAAGGTGGCATGTGGGGAACCGTCAAGGGCTTCGCAGCCAGCGTGGGCCAGCAGTTGAAGAAGGCGGATCAGGAAGCTTGGAAGTTGGTTGGGAATGCAGGAAAATAGAAGGGTTGGTTTTGGAAATGCGGAAATGGTACACGCAAGAAGAGTTCCTTGGGTTTAAGGTTATTTGAGATGGGATACACACAGAGCATGAGGCTCGATTGATGGAATGAAAACGATGATTGGGGGCTCATTTGGAAGGGAATTGGCGTTTTAGGTCAACTTTGTACTGGACAACAGGCTTTCGTGTATGAATAGTAGGAACCGGAAGCAATGAATTCTTGAGAGATATCTTTGCAGGTAATCTCAAGGCCGATCGATCTTCCTCGGCATATTCGTCGAGGCAAGCTGTAGCATCGCTACTCATTTTTCCATGCATGAGGTATCACATCGCGACTTTTTAGCTTGCAGCAGTGCAGCCAGTAAGCCGAAACGGAGCTGCGGAACACGACAACCGCTTCCAACTGATCTCGCAGCACCGGGCGTGCGGAACAAGAAAACCGGCTAAGTCACGAGCTAATGCTCAACCGCCGCCGTCTGATTCGGTCCCAGCTCTAACCAGCCAGGAAACTTTTATTGCTTCCACATCTTGATCCTTCCCGTGTCCCCAAAGGTGAGGATTTTTTTGATCCTCTCCCGCATCACTAAGCATACCATTGTCGTCACCGCCAGAATGGAGCATAGCAACAGCCTACGGGCCGTCCAATCTATCACGAAGTCATCGACTCGCAGAACTCACTCCCATCTCCATAAGCTCAGTCGTGGAAGATTTGCTCCTGGTGTACTGCACGTACGTGCAGCACAGAATAATCAGGCCGCGGTAATATAATCCGCCAACGGATGCCCTGGAGAGCTACCGAATTTCCCTCCGGATATCACGAGTCATTCCCGCCTTTCGTCTTGCACGGAGTAGTAAAAGCGAGTGAGCGGGCTCCCTAAGCCAAGAAGCCGCCGAGCGAATCGGATGTACATGCCGACGTCGCGAAATGAAGATGCAAAAGGGGGGTTGGGGGAAGAGAGAGTAAGTCGAACATGATAGGCCGTGTCGAGCGCGGAATACAACTCCGCTTCGTTCGAACTTGCAAACACGAAGAGGCTTACTACCGCTTCGAGCTGTCCGCGTAATCTGTCAGGTTACATCGGAGGGAAGAAAAGAGCAGAGTCGAGGAGGGACTTGGCGGATCGCCCTTGTGCACATTCTATCACACCACAGTCCCGGGCGGCCCTATGGCCGCTCCTCACCTTGATTCGTCCGGATCCTGCCTCCGCTTTTTGACGCTTTCTATTCTTGTCGATCGGACCTTTCTCCGGTATCGATTGTGGTACCAATCGCATTATGATTTCATAGGAACATCAGATGCGGAGGAAATTCAACACCGGATCTTCATCGTAGCTCAGGAAGAAAATCGTTCATGGTGCTCATCGCCCTCTACAGCAACCTCAATAGCAAAGAAAGAACCGGAAAGAATAATTACACCACCTCAGTCAGTTGATAATCCGCCGAGCAGTAGCGAAAGCAAGGTTCAAAAGCAAAAAGAAGAGATCAAAAGAAGCCGCCCATTTTGCCCATTCCATCCGTTAATATCCACCGAGAAAATCCATGATTTTCAGCCGCCAAAACGCCACAGAACCACCGCTGGAGGACACCCAGTATTGCCGGTCGCGCCAAGCAAAAGTTCTTTACGAGGGTTTGTTGACCGTTGGTTGCGTAGTTCGAAGCAAAGTGCTTACAAAGCTGGGAGGTGCGATCTGCACAATCAAGAAAGCAAGAATCCGAGAGAAGTCAATGCGACTCGGAACTTCTCGACTCGAAAAGAAAAACCCAGCAAGAGGAGAGGCGGTTCTTGGTGTATATGCCTCGTGAAACTTCGCACGTGTGATTCGAAAAAACTGAGCCACAGCCCAATGCGCCGGCACCTTTCCTGCGGTGATACAGCCCAATTCAAATGTTGTCGCTGAGAGACTGGAGGACAGCAGTCTCTGCAGTGGCAGTGTTAGAGCTCAGTGTCTGGGTGCCAGCTTTGTGGGAACGAATCTCGGAGTTCTCCTTCTCTTCAGATCCGGTCCTCGTCAGAACGTCATTCGTATTGCGGTGCGCTGGGGTGTTCAAACCACGGCTTGGACTTTCGTTCACCCGATCCTCGTACACCTGATTTTCGCTCTCCGGAACCCGTGCGGTAGACGCTGCTTCTGTCTGCTCCTGCATCGCTTGGCTCGTATCGTCCATCTCACTCTTGACAGGTTGACTATCAAGAGCTACGTCCTGGTCGGGTCCGTCACCAGCGTCCTCCTCCACACCCTCAACAAGACGACGGAAATCCTCTTCACCGCGCTCCAGGATATCTGCAACTTCGCTCTTGAGCTTAAGTTCGCCCGGTGGCGGAGCCTCGACTGTTCCAATGTTGCCAAGAACCATGACATAATCCCTTTGGGCGTTTGAATGGACGGTATGAGCACGCTTAGCTAGTTCCTGCTTTATTACTCCTGTCAGCTGGGTCAGCCGATCCCTGACAGCATCACATGCGTCCTGGAACATCGTTGTACGGTTCTGAGACACATGCGAAGACATGTGTCCTTTCATCCTCATGTAGCATCCGCCCCCACGCTCTCCGTTGCATAACTCGTACGCATGCTCCATCGCAGCAGCAATGACGGGTGTGAACTCTCTGTTCACCTCCCTCTGAGCCTCTGTCATCATCGTCTTGATCGCCTCAATCTGTGCTGTGAGGAAAGGTTGGGTGTTGTTGAGCTGCCTACTGAGTCCTGCAACGATAGCCGGACTGACACCCAAGTCGCTGGCTCGCTTGGTTACGGTGTTATGGAACTTGGTCAAGACCTCCAACGTGTTGGTCTTGAACTTGTCCAGCTGCGCAGGAAGAGCACGTTGGAACGCCCGTTCCCAGCCCGTAGCAATTTGCTTTATCATTGGCTCAGCGCTGGGGAAAGGTCAGCAAACTTGACTCGACTTTATGGAACTAGAGCAACTTACAGTTCGCCGTTGAAATCGCGAGGACCAGAAGCTCCTGAGAATACACCGTTCCGCCTAGTAGTTGCGCGGTATGTTCCAAAGTGAAGCCCACCCTGGTTCCGAGGCTTGCCCCATCCTTCGGCTGTCGAAATGCTAGCATCAGAAGCGTTTGCAATAGCTCGGTCATATTTGTCGTAAATGTTCTCAGTAAGAGCTTCAGACAAACCAGAGAGTGTCTCATTGACAACTCTACAAAGCTCATGATCGGCCTCCCTCAACTTGGTCTGTAGAAATTGAGCTTCTTTCTGCCGCTGTGAGGCAGTAAGTTGAGAGGTGGTTCTGGTGTTGAATGCCCACATGGACAGAGAATTGAGGAGCTGAGAAACATTGTTAAGATATCTACGACCGGCTGCGGCACGACCGGATTCGGTAAGCTTTTTGCAGTGTGCTTGAAGCTGTGACAACTCCGTTTCGTCGGCATTGCTGAATCCGGACACATCCTTGTCCCTCTTGAACCGACCGCTGAGTTTCTGGAAGGCTCTCGCGCTTATGCAGAAGACCGGAAGCGAGCGGGCAACTTCGTCGTAGTCACGGATCTCCTTGTTGGGGTCGAAGTTCTCCTCGTCTTCTTCCTGCGCGGTCTCTTGGTCTAGCTCCTTGATTCCAGCTGCGAAGTCCTGCTGGATTGCTCCTCGAGAGTAGTCGTTTCTGCCTCTGATGCACAGAGAGTTGATCTCGTGGTCAATAGCCGCAATCCTCTCATTAAGAGCCTTGATCTCTCTCCTGAGTGCTTTCTGCTGTGCGTCTATTGATTCTCGCTCAGCCTTGGCATTCCTTTTCTGGGATCGAAGCTCCTGGACCTTTGAATCGATTTCCTCACTAGTTAGTGGGAGTCGATCCTCTCGATCATCCTCGCTGTCAACCTCAGCGTCCGACGCTTCAGACGCATCAGAGACTTCGTCAGCAGAATCGTCGTCCGAGCCGGTAGTGCGGCGCTGCCTTTTCTGCGGACGGGACTTGGCTGATGATCTCTTCCGTTTCTTGGTCGGCGCATAAACCGTCGTGCCATCTTGCAGGTCATCTTTCAGCTTCTCCCAGGTTTCGAGTTGATCATCACACTCGTCTATGACGCCGAGGTAAGTTTCTTTGGCATCGGCATGCTCTTTCAACTGGTCTTTGAGCGCTTTGACTTGGTTCCTCAATCGGTCCGCCTCTTGCCAGGACTCTTCAGCGGTCTCGCTCAGGTCGAGACTTTGTACAGCTTCCTGGTTAGAGATGTCGTCCGTCTTGGAGCAAATGAAGGTTACGTTTCCGTAAGTCCCGTCCAGTTTGAGCTGTCGCTTGAAGGAGTCACCGAGTAGCGATTTGGCTGCCTTGTCATCGACAGCGCGTGTTATCGGTGCCACTATCCAAAGACCTGTGCATTTCTTCATGTATCCATCGGCGACAGCAGCACGTGCTGCATTTGAGTCGTGAACTCCGGGAAGATCAACAAGGACAGCACCGGTCGATAACGCTTGCGCCTTAGTGTAGATCTTGACAACCTTGATGAGAGGCCAGTACTCCATGGTCTTCGTATCAGCCTTCTTGTCCTTCTTCTCTTTTCCCGTGTTCTTCTCCTGACTGTCCACGTAAGTTTGGAGCTTCTTGTAGAAGTTGCAGTTCTCACTGTCGGCGATGTGCTTCACGGTTCCGAGGATGTTGTTCACTTTCGCATCGCGCTTCAAACCCTCAAGTCCACCACTCGCAAGCTGTTCCCTCGTCCTGCTCGGATAGACAGCACGAATCTTTGCAAGAGCTATACCAGCCTCACTGTCCGGGTTACTAGTGGCCTCCTTAGATATATTGCCACCGCCGTCCAAGATATCATCAAAGAGGGTCTTGAGCTCTTTGTACCAGTCGTCGGGGCTGATGAATTCGACATCCGCCCGGTACCGTTTTCCTTCGTCGTTGCTATCGTTCCAGGAGAGCTCTGTGACTACAGCTGTACAAGCACGCATGCAGTTGGTAGGAACGAGACGCTCCTCATCAAGTAGGGCGTTGATGACGCTGCTTTTACCGGCACCGGTATTTCCGACGACACCAATGACTGTACGACTACGGACAGCTTCCTTCTTCAGGTCCGCGATCTGTTGTAGCCACTGTGCCGCGTCACGACTCCTGGCTTGGCCACTATCCATGGATGTCTGGAGCATCTCGAGCAACTCCATAGCTTTCTCGACGCCCTTCTCCAATGTCTCAGGATTCGTCTCAGATGACAATTGTTGTAGGAAGGGATTCTGCGGTGCAGCATCGACATCATCCGACGGGTTAGGGTGGTCGTGGTCCTCCTGCTGACTGATAACAGACCCACTCAATGTAGGTGACGGTGACGGTGACACGCTGGGGTTTAGTGCGGGCAACTGGGGATGAGCAAAATGAAATGGACTCGCAGCATTCTGAGCTGGTTGTCCAAGTAGGCTTAGATAATTTACGCATCCGGCAGGGCCAGCAGAGCCGGCAGGGCCAGCAGAGCTATACTGAGACCGCAGATGTTGGTGGTTCTGAGTAGCACGATAAGCCTCGGCGCTGCTGAAGGTAGCATATGGTGAGGGATGGTTCGGCTGAGGTTGCTGCTAGGGAACCGGAGGAGTCCATGGCACGCCAAAATTCGCAGATGCAGAAGACGACGGAACATGCGGGCGTGGAGGCCAGTCATGACGATTGGCGGCAGTAGCTGGGGATGCACTTGACACAGGCGGGTGGCTGAACCGGTAAGCTGGAAGTACATAACCAGCGTTGGTAAGCGGTGGCGCTGACGCTGCTGGCCGTTGACGAGAACCTGTCAAAGTCGGCGGAGTAGTAGCAGCGGTAGTGTGTTGCAACCGTTCAGTCCTAGCCGAGGCAGGTGGTGCAGATGCTGTTGGTTGTTGATGAGAACCTGTTGAAGCCAACGGGGTAGCAGAGGTAGTGGCCTGCACCGATTGAGTCCTGGCCGAGACGGGCGGCGAGTGTGGCAACGGTGGCGGAGTGGCAGTCGTCCTCGGCTCAGCCTTGACTTGGCCAACCGCCGGAGTGCTCGTGACATCAGCAGGTGCCCGGGCGGCAGAAGCGGACGAGGGGCGCACGGGTATCAAGACGACTATCTTGTCCTCGCTGCCATAAACGGTTATTCATGTCTCGACAGTGAAATTTTGTTTAGTACTCACTATTTGTTGAGGTCGGTCAGTTTGTCCGTCTTTTTTGTTACCATCGGTCCAAGGTGCAGCTCGAAATCGTCGGGCTCATTTTCGTACCTGGTGCGGTACACTTTGTGGATAGCCTCGATTGTCGTCTTGCCATTTCCCTTGATCCATAGGAAATCACTCTGCTCGGTAGCTTCCGAAGGGTTTCGGTCTTGGAATAGGACAGCCACCCAATATCTCGTCGCTTTATGACTTCGTCGGGCTTGACGGCCTTGGCGAGCTCGCGAAACGCATCGTAAGCCGATGGTGTGAGGTCCATGTTGACTTCACCAGCCAATCACAGGTGTTGCGAGATGACTCAGCGACGTTGGCCGAGCGACTGGCAGACAATGACGGTTTTGTGTGTCGTTGAACAATGTTACTTGTGGCGCATTCCACAGCCGGTAAGGTGGAGAACACGCGTGGATCGGCCCAAGCGGAGAGGGCTGGCACCCTTGCCGGCTTTAATCCTTCGAAAGCTTGGTCTGATGCAAGCGCTGGGCTTCAAGCGATGCAGGCCACAGCGCAAGCGTCGTGGGATGCAGGCACACTGTTGGGTGTGGAGTTTTGGTCGCGGGTGCGCGTGTCACGAAGCAAACGCGCTAGATGGTTCATCACGTGTAAGGCGCTCGGACCACCATATAACAAGTGGGGCAGGTGCGGTTTGACAACAGAGCAAGAAGATCACACTCCCGAGCTGGGGAAATCTTCGGACTGGCAGTCTTGGTGGGTGGGACTGACGCGAAGCGACCTACAATCATGTCTTCCGGATTACTGGCCTGTCTACTACCCGCCTTGTTTGTCTGCTATGAGCTTGTATGTCCCTGGTCTTCAGATTGCGGATCGGACGGCAATCGTGCAGACAAAAGCCCAATATGCCTCTTGGACTCACTGAATGAGGCCATCGATATGGTCTGTTCTATGTCAAGCTTTCAGCGCGCTCGAGTCCTTTTCACGTGTCTAGCTTGCGCTGTATACGTCCACAACGTCATCGATCCATGATTGATCCAGAACCTCGGTCTCGTTGGCGAAAGCTAAATCCTCGATGTATTTGAAAATCCCCCTGCCCCCGCATTAGACGCTTTGCAGCTCCTTCACTCTACGTGAACCATCAGCAACCTTAATCAATCCTCTTCATCAGCAGAATGGCACCTCCGTCTCCTCTCTCGAAGCATCAGACCCAGCCTCCTCTGCGTCAGCTTGCCGCCGAGAAGCTGCACGGAAAGGGCAGCAATCCGTCTCAGCTGGGAGACCCGGTATCTCTCAAAGCCGAAACCTCAAACTCTTGGCCCACCGGGCGAGAATTCGGGCCCCGTGGAAGCGGGACACCTTGGTTCCATCTCAGCAACTCAGCCAGGAGGACGATGCTGGGAGATCCGATCAGCCTGAAGGTGGAGACAGTGGATACAGAGCCCGTCGACCATGACAATGGGCCATCTGGAAGCGCTGGAAGTGTACAGAGGAAGCCAAAGCTCTGAGGTCCGGTCAGCGCGCTGTCGCCCGGCCGATAGCTCTCAAGCATGTGGTCAACAATTCCCTGAAGCTTGCTTGTAATCATGTACACGCGGCTTGTCTTTCCTTTCCCTTATCTGGCTTACTGTATGTTTGGATTAAAAGCAATTCCATTCCCTTATCGATTGATTCTGAGCATCTGGTGGAGCTTTTTGTGTCGCACCCCGCGGACTGGTCTTGGTCGCAAATGCATGGCCCGGTGCATCCATAGCAGCGCTAGCGAGCGATATGTGCGCTACAAGCCGCCTAGTTGTACAATAGCGGAATGGCTCGTAAAAAGGAAGGTCCTAGATCTATACGCGCGTATTTTCGTATTCGTGTCGATACGAGTCAGGAGAGGGGTCTCCGGGCGTTATCCGTGTGTAGGTTTAGATGAAGAGCGTGTATGAGAAGGCGCAGGGGGACAGTCTCAGGCAGAGATCTGGTCCCTGAAAGCGTGGAAGTGGAGCGAAGTAGTTGTATGCGCTGATCAATGCGCGTGGGCGCAGATACCGGTTTTCCCGCGGAATTAACAGGGCGGCGATGAGCGGCGGTGGACGACAGTCGAATTGCGCAGAAACAGGCGAAGCACACGCTCTAAGAGCGCCGGTGCAAGATTCGATCTGGCGCGGATGGCAGTTCGCTGGTCGGCCGGCAGGCTGTGGCGCAAGCTTGGGGCTGGTCCGTGGGGCTTGACGGTGACGTCGCGGCGCGAGCATGGATTCCCCATCATGCAAGCTACGTCGCCTTAGGCTGATTAGTTCAAAAGACCCTATACGCCCGGCCCCCGAGCTCCTCTCCTGTTGTGCGACGCGCTGCACTGCGATTTCTTAATTTGGCCGTGATCCGTCCATGGCGTGAACAGCCGATTACCTGACATTTGCCCCCGCCATGCCGCCCTCGCACGAGCGGTAGAAATACATCCTCCGACCCCGATTCCTTCCTTATCCGCGCCGCGCCAGACCTAGGCCTAGCCGGAGCACACGGAGTTTGAACATTCCGAGCCCCCCTCGCTCATTACATCATCGTCTCCCGGTGCTGTCGCTCAAGAGCCTCACCTCGCCCGCCTTCCGTAGCGCCCGGCGCAACCGCAGTACTAAGCATGGCGAGCTCGCAACTACACGACGCCCTCAAATGCCTGAGGCCAAAGAACTTCACCGATGACGTCCCCCTCGACGACCTCCAAACCTGGATGCGCGACATCTTTGCAAATGCCGAGACCATTGTCAACTCCGTTCCTCAGGTCCCCGGCGGCACCGACTTCCTCTCCTCCAAGCGCAAGCGGACAGACGTCAACGGCGCCCACAATGCCTCCGAGATGACCATAGCAGACGCTCGCGCCCCGCCTTTCGACCCTTCGTACGAGCCTCTCCAGAAGGCATGGGGCAAGCCGATCAAAGTCAACAACAATCCTCTATCGATCTCGACGTACAAAATGGCGGGCGCGGACAGATACGGCTCATGGTTTGCGAGGAGAAGCGTACACGAGGGTTTGGGGTTTGCCAAATGGAAGCGGGCGCTCCAGCAGGAGTTTGCTGAGAGCTTGGCCGTTGACGGTGGTCCTGGAGTTGGCAGTATCAGAGGCATTGGTGGAGACAAGATGCTTGAGCGAAAGGTTGTTGGCAGCCTTGGGAAATTAGAAGGTGCGTTTGAGCAAAGCCATGTCACAGGCCGACTGCTAACCATTTGACGACAGTGCTACAACTATCCGCAAAGTTCCCGGCACCAACAGCGCCTCGAGAATTTATCACCATGCTTCTGACGTCTGACAATGCGTTGAGCGAGAAGTCCAAGCCGCATGTGGACGACCATCCCGCCGCGGATCAAATCCCCCGGCATTATATAGTTGTGTCCATACCATGCGACCACCCAGAAGCACCTATTAGAGACGGCCTCGTACGAGGCAACTACGAGTCTGTTGAGATGATTCGAGAGATACCCCTTACACCTGCAAAGTCTAGAGATGGAGGAGATATAACAAGGAAAGAAGAAGGCAGCCCAGACGATCCGGAAACCAACCCGGTGGAGTGGATAATGATCACGCGGAGTGACCCAGGTGGCGGAATACCCAGATTTTTGATCGACCGCGGAACACCAGGCTCTATTGTCGCAGACACGAGTAAATTCCTAGACTGGGCTTGCGCCAAGGAAGATATTCCAGACCCAGAACAGATTGAACAAGAGGCCTCAGCATCAGCGGTAGACAACGAGACACTGCAGGCAGAAGAGGAGGCACAGCCAAGGGCAAGCTTTTCTGCAGCAGCCCGAAACGTACAACTCACTGGCGTCGGCACAAGCATTGCAGACCTACCGCTCACCGAGCCCTCTACCATCAAACATGGTAAGAACAACAGCAGTTTCTTCTCAACCCTCTCGAATGCCATGGAGACAGGGATTCAAAACTATGCTCCCGCATCCGTGGCCTCGTATCTCCAACCTAGTTCCCAAAACTCATCGTTATCGTATCCAGGATCCGACAGTGCTAGCGACACCTCGAGCATCAACTCATTCGCTTCCGCCGAGCAATGGACTACCGCCAACGGAGGTCCTAATGATGAGGATGAAAACGCTCCTCCATTGCCTCCCAGGCGGCGCATTTCGGACGGAAGCGTTGGAAGCGATCTGGCAAAAAGTCAGTCGAATCAAAATCGCTACGAAAGGGAGATGCAGAAGCTGGACTCTAAGCGAGCAGCGCTGGACGAGAAGATGCGGAAGATGAAGGAGAAGGAGCAAGCACGCACACAGCAGGCTTCGGAACGTGAGGAGCGAGAGAAGCGCAAGGCTGTGGAGAAGTACCAGCGAGAGATGGAGAAGCTGGCCGCGAAACGAGACAAGGAGGCCCAGAAACGGGAACAGCGGAAGAAGAAGGAAGAAGAGAAGAACGTCATCACGCGTCTGCAGCGTGAGCGTGACGAGTTCAAGACGCGTGCAGAAATGGCTGAACATGAGAACAGGTTGCTTAAAGAACAAATTGGCGAACTACAGCACCAAAACACGCGGCTCGTCCAGAACCTGGGCAAGAGCGAGCAGGGCAAGCAGGTGCTCAAGGCCATCGAAGATGAGATGGGTAGGGGAAGGAGCTCAAGTGCTACATCGAGCGTTAAGAGCAAGAGCAGCAAGAGGAGTATCGATGAGAAGCCAGCTGCATGAGCATGGAGTACATTGATGCTGTCGAGTTGTTTGCTGTCCTTTCAGATTTTTGCATCAGTTTTTACTAGGCAAGGGGCGGCGACAGGCTGGTGGGACGGATCATTCGTAGTTCTTTGGGCATATCAGCCACGTTTGTGTTTACCATCATTACTGGACTGCTGGCGGGGCATTTGGAATACCAAGGATTGAGGTTACATTCGGTAGTGGTAGAGCATAGACAGCATCAGTCTATGCAGGAGAATCAAGCATGGAGTTTCCCTTCAGCTGAATTTGACAAGCTCATTAATCTCCACATATCATGAGATACGTGGAGTCGTAGGTGCCCTTTCAATGGAGGTGGCTACAGCCATGTCGTACCTCATACCCCACAGACAAGGGTCATGGGCTTCGGAAATTTTATTTACATGGATACAAGTTCTCGACCATGCCCCATTGGTTCCAGGAACACCCGTCGGGACGGATGTCTCATCTCCGAGCAAAGAGCTATCATCATATTTTCTGTAGGAGCGCAGGGGAGAACAGTGCAAGCCCTGCAGACTCCAACATGCAGGGCTCGTACCTCATCCATCCTCCACGAGCTCCACATGCCCGTCCTCAACGAGCATCACTCTTCAACCCTTGCTGAAAACAGAAACACCTCGGAAGGCCACCTCATCAACAAGGGCAGGAGACGGCGAAACCGCGGCGCTGCTGCCGCGGTAGCCGCCCAGGTCGAGACAACGGCCGTCCCCAGTTTTCTCTTCTGGTCGTCCAGGTATCCCACCTTTGTAAGCCATGCGAGGGTGTCACGGATGTTGGTGCTCCCAATTCTCCCCTTTATCTCGATTCGCTTCAGGGTATGCATGCGTGGACGAGTACATTGTAGGATGAGGGCTTGGGCATGACTCGCGGCTCCGCGCTACCTTCAGACCCAGCGAAGCAGGATGTATCGTCACCAATCGTTAAGCGCTGCGAAACAGAATATAGGCAGCGTTGAGCTTCTTAATTGCATCGACCGCTTACTTTTGTGGGGGAGAGAGGCAAAAAATCATGAAGCATGGTTAGCGAAAAGGTTCAGAACAAGGTGCATGGCAGAGGGACCAGTAACCCACAAATGTTGAAACCCACAACGTTCCTCGAACCGTTGCCTACGGGCGCCTGATGAAGAAACTTTGACAAGCTCGTGGTCCTTTTTGCTTTCCGAGGCGTGGAGGCTTATGCTAGCCGGGGGCAGGAACCCTGCAAGACTAACGGGCAACCACTCGGCGACGCCGTGGAGCTGACTGGGATCCTTCCCTTTTGCCCCTCATCATCCGCCTCTTGTCATCGTCGGGTGCTCCGAATGCCGACTCCAGGCTTCGGGAGGCGAAGAGGGTGGAAATGGCTCGCTTGTCCTCTCAGGAGAAAGATACGTCGGTCACTAAACTAGTGGCCGGGCAGCTGAAGGCACGAGAAGCATAGGCGAGGCCGAGACTAGGTGTGCCTGGCTTGCCCACTTGCGGGCCCCCCCGGCGGCCACACGTTGCCCTTGGACCAAGTCTGCGCTAGGGATCGTGGCTCTGTCGCGAGTCGGGATGGAGGAAGCAGCTGGCTGTTGGTGATAGTGGGGGCTGGAAGGATGGACAGGCTCGGTCCCTTTCCAGGCCCCTCCTTGCGCTTGCTTGCTCGCCTCGGCGCCGGCCCGCGGATTGCGCGTTTTGCCTGCTAACGCCGTTTGGTGTTCTGGGTTTTATCGGGGCTGCCGCTTGCCGGGAGAAGGGCCCGCGGCAAGCCTGGACCGACGATGATGATGATGCGCCGCGCCGCTCCCCCTTAACCGCGCCTCCTTCGGTGGAGCAAAGCGCTTGCGGATGATCGGGGGTAGACGGGAAGCCCGCCATCTGCCGCGACAGATGAAGAAAAAATGAAAAGCCTCGGCCAGAAGAGGGCGCCGGCGCAACACATCGCCCGTCTAAGGGTCTAGAAGCTTGGGCGCTCTCGAAGATTCATTCCCGATGCCTGTCCGTCCCCCGGTTTTCCTTGGGTCTCGCGCTAAAGCGAAAAAACATGCGTAGGATGTGGTTTCCTTTGGAGTCGTCGGATTCGCGTCGAAGATTCCCGATCGGCGCAATCTCCCGCGTGCGTCGCGATAATCGCTGCACACTAAAAGACATGCAAGATGCCCGATTCGGCTATATCACATCCCATTCATCTCCCTCGCTCTCTCCCTCGACCAGATGGCTGCTGCGGGAAGGATTGATGTCTCGGCGCCGATGAGTGAAAAATGCGAGAGCACGCATCCTAGCACCTTTCAATGCCCGCAACGTGCACACAGACGGTTTGCTAGGAAATAAACTAATTTGTTTGGCAACATCGAACGATGCGTCACCACTGCCGCTTCAAGACACCATGCCTTTGTCCATCCGCCATCATCCTGTTCGTCGCAGTACTGTAGCAGTCCCGCGTTCCCGCCTGCGCCCCGACCCCCGTCTCACGTCACAACGAAGGGGCCAGACGGCTATGTGTGAAGAACAACAGAGAACCTGCATACCTGCATGCGCATCATCTTCCTCAGTTGGCCCCCCGGCCCCCAAAGAACCTCGCTGCCTCACGTCATGCATGCAGCAGAGGACGCGAATGTCAAAATGTCTCGCATTCCCGAGCAACGTTGCGCCAGGGCCACAACAGCGCGGGAGCGGGATCCCGCAAATGAGAGGAAGAAAAACAAAGAATGGTCAGAGAGCGCACCCGCCCGTCCATGGCGCGTGTGTGCGCTCGTACAGGTGAATTGAGATAGGACCGCTCCAGAAGGCGCCTCTCAAACGTCATCCCTCACTTCATTCCTCTCAACGGAGGGCGCCGACGCTCGAGAGAGGAGAAAAAAACGCCACGCGGTTTGGTGATGATCCTCCTTCTTGCTCTCCCGCTCTCCCGCCATCATGCAAGTGCAAGAATGATCGCAGCAGGGTGTGTGGAGACGAGAATCCTGCAGATGTGTGTCGCGCATGCGGCGTCCAACCATTGCCGCCCAAAAGAAAATACAGGGCTAACGCTCGCGCTTACGCACGCTTCCCCGGAAAAACAGGTAGCATCAGCGAGATCCCTTGCAGGTTACCATTTCATGCGCGAAAGGGAAATCAGCGGCGCCGGAGAGTGGGCCAAGGCGTGCCTAAATTTGGTGAAGCAGGAAGTGCTCGGCCGGGGCCGAAGGACGACGGGCAGCAATGGATGGTGCCTGGTTTAAGCTCTGACGGTTGCAAGGGTGTCGCGGAATAGCAAAAAAACGGCGCAGAAAATAGAGAGAAACTCAAAAATAACGTTAGTGAGGATCCGGAACAGGAGTCCCTCGTTGCTGCGCCGCGCAGACTTCTAGCCCTTTGCCCTATCTCTCGTGGCGCGACCGGGGTGCTGGGGCGCGAGATCCAATCGTCGGGGATGCGACAGGGAAGCGCGTCCCCGTCAACAAGCGAGTGCCTCGACTGTTTTACACCCTCTGCCGCGGCGCCGGGTGGGTGTCCGTATGGCGGATGACAGCCCCCCTCTCAGCGCGGGTGTGGCGCACGCCGGCACCATGCACGTTGGAGAATTCGAGCACGAGGGACGGTGCGGGATAAGCATAAAGAGAGCTTTCCGGGGTGGCACAGAAACATCAATTTGGCATTTGGGACCGAAACTGATTCTATTGATCTTGTTCCGTAGTTGCTCCCCCAGCACGCTGGAACGTCGAGGTACATAGAATAGTATGGCGGCTACGAAGGGTAACAAGAAGACAAAAAAAAATTCACAGCTACCAGGAACCGGACCGAAACTTGACTTACCTGATCGAGTGCTCATCCCGAGTATCATATACCAAGGTTCAGGGTCTGGGAATCCGTGTCCAGACATCGGGGTCGGTCGCGAGTCGAGAAATCTTGAGCTCAACAATCGTGATCTCAAGCGCCGTGGCGTAAAGCTAAGAATTTTTGACTTCAACAATCTAGCACTTGGGGGGTGTAAGCCATGGTGTCGGCTTGTCGTGTCTCCTGTCGTTATGTCAAGAGGCTCTGCGAAGGTTCGAAAGCATGATCTTCCGATGCTCGAACGTTGGCAATGTAACGTAAGTGAGCCGTTTCGTGCTGCAATTGCGTCAGTGGCGGGATTAGAAGACGGAATGCGGAGTGGTAGAGACTCCTGGTAGCTGTGATACGAATGGGTGCGTCCGTCCGGATGCGCCATCGGAACATGTATAGTGCAGGAACTGGTCGCACAGGCAAATATGCAGGCACGGCCAGACTTACGAATTCCGGAAGGTGAGCGGTCTTGAAAATTGACGCTGCAGTAGTTACAGGCGGCTCGAGCAGAGAGTCATTGATTCACCTCGTCGCCCATAGACCGGAATGGACGGATCAACTAGCACCATGCCGTGACCAGAAGCTGAGTTGAGACTGGTGGCACAACATATTCACTATATTGCCAGAGTCTGTGTAAGCATCACAAGCCAGCCGATAGCGGTTTCCATGTGAAAGAAAAACTCGTAAGATACCGAGTCCCTTTCACGGACGTCGGATTTTGCTACTGCCTGTTCGAGCAAGTTTACGCACGACACGCCAGGATCAGCAACGAAGCAAGGAGAAAATCGGAAGCCCGGTATGTCGTGGCAGAGCCGAGACGATAGCACAAAGAAAATGACTAGTTTGTCGTAGACGACGAAATGCCACGATTGCAAAAACACCGACGCGATTCAGGCAGCAGGAAGGCAGAAGGAAAAAAAGGTGAAAAGGAGTAGAAGACACTCGAAATAAGTAAAATTTGTTGGCCTGACTGAGTAATCCTGAAAGGACTGTCGAACGTCTGCAGGCTCGTATTCCTGGGCAGAATGTTCGACTGAAGAGCCGTGCAGAGTCTCAACGCTCACCGGTGCGTTGGGAGCAGATTGATGTCCAGCCATCAAGGAAATTGCCGACAGAACAATGGCGCCCGAACGAACGACACGTTGGACGGGGTAATGCTTCAGGTTGTCGTTTCGAAGTTGTGTGTTGTCGTGTCCAGTCGGAATTTTCCTGTGCCTCGCGAGCGAGCAATGACGACGTCCAAGGCGGGCGCCGGCTATTGCTCCTCATATGGAAGCATTCTCGCCGAACGTGTGACCTCACGATTTCACCGCTCTGCAGGCCAGCACAGCGCTCCACTGGCAGTGCACCGTAGCATCGTCGACAACAGGCAAGAGCAGCGCAAAAGAGGTTTTCGGGCTTCTTGATGATCTGAAACATGCATCTGTGCCCGTCGACCAGATGAGTCACAGCTGCAGCGGTGAGGGTGGCTGCACAGCCATCTATGACGCCGGCGCCGATCATGAAACGGTCTCTCGGACAGGCCGTAGCCGAAAGCTTGAGCGGCGCGGTCGGTCACGATGGCAGGAGAAGGCAGTGCAGCGCTGGCGTCGGACTCCGGCGCGCCAGTTGACCTCACTGCGCGCGACATCCTTGCTGAGCTGAGCGGCGGCTGGAAGCGGCAAGTCGCGCTGCACGCTGCTGCAAGGACTGGAGCCCCGGACGGACCGAGCGTTGTCGGAGAGCGCTGACGGCGGGCGGCATCGATTTGCAGGCGGCTGCCGAAGAGCGCACAGCGAGGCGCAGCTGGGGAGATGGCGTCGACATGCAGGTGTGAAACGGCAACGGCAGAGGATAGCTATCGATAACGCCGGTGCTATGGGTCGCTCTGATAGGCAAAATCTGGGGCGGCGACCACTCGAGCCTAGTCATACGCTAGCTCAGTCAGCGGCGCGGAAGACGCGGCCGCTCCGCATCGCCTTCGCCCCAGCAGGGCAGCCAGATGGAGGGATGCGCAAGGCGACGCCGAGATCTGCAGTACGCGCCACCGCTGCAACGCTGCCCTCGGGCGCTCGGGCCCAGCAGCAGCAGCACAGCCTCAGCAGCCCGCTGCCCGCTGCCCGCCCGCCCAGCCCTCACGCCGCCATGGGGCCACGCTCCGAGCAAACGGCCGACCCTCCAGCGCGCTGCGCCGCCGTCCCCGGGCCTGCCTCCGCCGCCGCCGCCGCATGAACATGGCCTGCACAAGCGCGGTCATGCGATGCCTCAACAGCCGCCGTGCTACTTGTATTCCTGCTGGCAGGCCCTTCCCGGCATCACATGGCAGCGCTGTCTGAGATTGCCCGGTCCGGCCGCCGTCCAGTGCCGGCGCGCACCCCGGTTTCGGCGCGCTGATTGGCCAGCCACCCTGACACCATCTTTTAGCAGCGAAGAACGACAACCTGTCGTGCTGCACAGCCAGCTGCGCTGACGGCCTCCACACAACCCTGACGCCAGAAGCAGCGAGACAGGCCGAGCGCACACGCCGAGCTAGGCCATCGTCTTCCCCGAAGCAGCAGTCAGCGCCGTCCCAGCGCAGGATCAGCTCCCAGCAACATGGAAATCTTCTGGAAGGCAACCCCAAGCAACCCCTCCAGGAGGCCGGCAGCATGAACCCAGCAGGGCCATCCCTTGACGCTGCAGAAGGCCTCGTAAGACGCGCGCGTTCCGTTTCAGGGCCGGCGCGCGCGCTCTCCAGGCGCGGTGCTGGGCAGTGGAGACGCGCTGCTCCGCGCCTTTCGTAAGAGCTGTGTTGGCAGTGGGCCGCTTCTGGCTCGTCGCCGCCGCCACGCTGGGAGCGCGGGCAATTTCTTGCATTTGCGCCGCCCAGGAAACGCGCATGCAGCGAGCTGGGTGCTGCTGCTAGCCCGAGTGCTGCAGCTGCTGCACGATTGAGCAAAGTCTGATGGCATGCAAGCCTTGCCGAAAGCGCGCTGCACGCACCCAGCCCCCAGCCAGCGCGATGACCACCCAAGCCGGCCACTCCACCAGATCCACCCGCGACTTAAAGGAAAAGGCCACCCCGCCGCTAGCCCTTCCCTACCCTTCACCTCTCACCCCTCTTCGCCCCCTCTCATTCGTCGGTCTCTCTCCCTCAAGACAATCAGGCGTGCTAACCATTTCCCTCGCTGGGACCGCCAGAGACCTATTCTTTTCTATTTCGTTTTTCGCTTTCACTTTAACGCTGTCCCATAATCCGTCGCATCTTTCCCGTATTACTCATCGAGCTCCGCCGCAATGCCCATATCCTTACTGCCTGCCTCCGCTGCCGCCTTCGCGCCGCGGAGCGCCCCCACCGTTGTGCTGAACTCAAAGGTCGAGCCGTGGTTGACGCAGACGCTGAAGCGCATAAACCGCATTAAGCGCCCGCTCAACAGCGTGCCCCAGCACTTCCGCTGTCTCACCGAGACGCTGTCCGGCCCGCAGGCCCTCTGGTCGCTATGCTCCATCATGCTCCCCAAGGCGCCCGATTCCGAGCTGCGCAGAGACCCTGACCCGCTGGTGGAGGCCATGTTCAACTACCAGCTGATCCACATTGAGGCTTATGTCGTGCACGTCGACATGGTGTCGCAACACGAGGTTGCGTTCAAGCTCACCCAGGACACCATCGACGCGCTTGTCGAGTACCACAAGGATATCTACTCGGTTGATGTGGCAGCAAATACCTGGTCTTGGGCCGAGAAGGAGGTTCAGTTGAAGAAGCTACAGGAGGAATTCGTCCAGGCCGTCAACCGCTACGTCTTCCGCACCGGCGTGCGTGCCCTGGAAGGTCTTGAAGAGGATGGAGCTGGAGAGCTGTTGGACGGCAGGTCGGAGGAGGTCAAGCATGCGATCATGGGACTGTTTCTTCCGCTTCTCCCGCCGCCGCCGAGGATCGTCGACGTTGTCCGCCCCCCTACCATCCTGCCGAGCTCGCCTTCCGGCCACTGGTGGCACTCTCCTCAGCAGGGTCCTCCGGTTCATCCGGCGCCCGTTGAGTCCTGGAGGGTCATCCCGTCCACGCCGAGCCCGACCATCACCACCGGCGCCGAGAACTCGACGTTCTGGACCACGATGGGCATGAACGACATCCAGTTGCCGTCGCCCACGCCGTCCTACAGCCAGCCGCTGTGCACCTCGAACCAGTACTACAGCCCGCCTCAGGCAACGGCTCCGATGCCCGCCATCTCGTTCCCGAGCACGTTGATCAACCAGTGCGGGCCTACGCCATCGCACACTGGCTTCGGTGGATTTGGAATGGGCTACAATGAGTTCACTCCTCAGTTCGCAGCTGCCATGTAGACGGCCACACCAAGGTCCACACTGACAAGGACAGCCCGAGAAGCTGGTGATCTGGCCAATCACAGGTTCTCCTGTATTATTTCTCCCCGCAGGCTTACTCGGACGGCCATTGCGATGAACTCAACGAGATGAGATGCGACTCTGTATGACTTGATGTCCTCACGTCATAATCCACTCGGGGCATATGGGACGGCGTTATGATCGATTCAGCGGATTTCCTTCCTTCATTTCCTTGGTAAATGTTTCCTTTGATATCCCTTTTTGTGTGCTTTTGCTGTCATTTTAGCGAGCGTGTTTCGTCGTTTTGCAGTTACGCACCAGCCGAGCCTGGTTTTCTTTCCTTTTTCCTTTTTGCATCTCTGGGAGGTTCGCATGTCAAGCATTTTAAAAAGACGGGTTTCATGCCTCACGGCTATCGGGCGGGTACACTCGGTTCACCCACTTTTCCTTGTTTTTCTTTTTTCTAATGTCGTTAATGGGCGTCTTCCTGCGTCGAGCAAGATCGGCCAGCCCATCTCTCGACGCAGCGGCGCTCTTGCTCCCCACATACTGACATTGACTGTCAGCTGGACCTGGTGGAAAGCGGCGACACAAGACATATACCACATCTGGCATGTCGTATAGTGTTCCCCCGCGTGTTGGCGTTGCTCGAGGGCGGTGTGAGGAAGTTGGGCGGGCGTAGAAGTCGTACTGCCTGTGGCAGACGGCCGGGAGGAACGCGGCTCTCCGCTTGCGGATCAGCACGCTCTCCACGCCTCGTCCCAGCTGCCTTCCCGGCTTCGAGCCTCGCTGGGCGTGGGCTGGTAGGCTCATCTCCCCTACCCTCTCAGCCAGCCTGAGAAAACCGAAGCGCAGGGCGCCGAGGAAAGCGGATGCTGGTTAGATAGGACAGTGCTCAGCGTGCACCAAGCGTTGAAAGTAATAGAACACTTGAATATCGCATACATTTTGCCGAAAGCGTTGGTGATATTGGCACGGCGACCGGGGTGGCATGGCCAACGGGCGCTACTCCGGTCTTGTGACGGCAGCAATAATAACGTCACGTCCGCCATCATCAACTGGCGCACCGCAACAGCGGGGCCCTGGAGACTTCACGCGCCCCGCATTATTACTGTGACTTCGCCCTGCAGCACGCCCCCCGCGGCCAACCGTTGCCGACGAAACGAGCAGCTCGCCGTTTCAGCCGCAGCCGCTTCGAAAGGAGGCTCAGCGCCGCTCGCCTGCATCTCACAAAGACGACGCGATCTTTGTTGCCGCTGCCCTCGCCCATCGCCGCTGCCAGCCCGGCGCCCTTGTTGCACTCACCGCCGGCCAACAGCACCAATGCGCCTGATCTCGCGATGCCTCTGACCTCTCTAACGACGACCCGACCCTAGTATTGCCGTTTCTCCATCGCTCGAACCGCCGCATCCTTCGCTCTGCGGCCGCTGGAACATCGATGCCGCCGCCCACGTCGAGGGCGAGCCCGCAGCCGACGGTAGGTTGAGTGCACCGGCCGCTTGGCGCATCGCCGCGCGCTGCTCGCTGCTTCCGCCCGCTGACGTCTCCGCTGATGCCGCCCACAGGACGAGGCGCAGCCCAACACACCCCCCAGCTACCTCTCCGCCCTCCGCCAGCTCGAGAGCCCCGTGTCGCCGCAGGTCATCAATCTCGCCGCCACACTGACCACCCAAGCCGAGAACGAGGTCGACGAGGACAACGTGAGCTTCCTGCGCCGCCCCGTCGACCCCCAGGAGGAGTGGCGCCAGCAGAACGCTCAAGCGGAGGATGAGCTGTTCGAGGGAGTGCGCGCTGCCCGGGAACGACTGCGCGCCCGGACCGCCGAGATGCAGCATGATGAGCATGATGAGCGTGATCGCCAGTCGCAGTCGCAGTTGCAGCGTGTGTTGAGCCGCCTGAGTCGCATGGATGACTCCCTGTCCTACAGTGACCGCGTACCCTCCCGGAATGCCCTGTACGATTGGAGCCCGCCCGATGATGCCGCTGGAGACCACGAGGAACTACAGGAGATACTGCGGTCATTAGGCCAAGAATCATCGACTCCCTTTCCACGAGGCGTGTCCCCGCATACCGCCGCGCGCTACTCCCGTCTGCTCGGCCAGCGAACTACCCAGCCTTCAGAATCGTCACTACGCTCCACACAGTCAAGACGGCATCCGCGCTTCTCCGCGCGCTCGCGGGAAACAATGCAGCGCTACATCACGGAACGGGACGCTGCCATAAGAGGTTCCCAGGACAGATCAGACCTCAGTAGAATAGAAACTAGCCGTTACGGCTGGCATCCGAGCAGCCGGTCGAACGAGACGCGGGATCGGGCAGGGCTGGACTCGTACAGACGGAGCTATCTGGAAAACCCTTCCAGCACCCCCGCGCCAACGTCTCCCTGGTTGGAGCAGACGATTAATTATCTTTCCAAAATCCGAACATCGGATTCCTATGAGGACAGTCTCTACCATGCGGCAGATGCGGGATTTGTCACGAAAGAATTCTTCGGCGAAAACCACCAGGACTTTATCCTCGATGTCAACACGATCCCTCGGCCCGCAGAAACGTCATGGCTGGCACCCGGCGCAGTGTTTTCTGGTTCGCAGCACGCCACTACCGTCACCTCAACCGTCACCCCCTCAAATATCCCTACTCCTACGTCAACAACCCTATACCGTTTCCGCAACAACGACTCCCCCATGACATCAACCACATTTGATGCAGCGCGACCCTGGATGAATAGTCCCATTCCACCTCACGCTCGCAGAGCCGGCGATGGTTCCACCCAGCAGACACAACAGCAAGACCGGTGGCCTGTAAAAGTAACCGTCCACGCTGTGGATTGGGAGAACATGACCCTCGCCGCCACAATGGAAGCCTACAACGTCCCATCACACCCTCCCTCGTTTCCCGGCAGTACGCTTGACCCGGCAGCAAATGGGGCTCCGCGACCTGGAACTCGCACCTCAAGCATAACAACATACTTAGAAGGAGAAATCCTCGATCTAAGAACTCACACTCTTCTCACTGAATCTTTCAAGAGTAGCCTATCAACAGACGCCACGTACTGGCGGAAACTACCACCCTTTGGCCACCTTCGCGACCACGACCTCGTACACCGGCTCGTCTCACAGGAATATGTTTCACAGTTGGCACAAGAATGGATTCTGATGCGGTGGAAAGAGCGCTGTTTTGTGAAATCCACGTCCTCGGCACGAAGACGAGCAGCAGCCGCCCATGCTGCATCATCCGCCAATTCCCACCTCGCCACGGATTCGACCAATGCCAACTCTTCTCAGCCCTCACCCTCGTCGAGAGATTCTCCGGCAGTAACGACTGATCAGGACAACGACGCGGGAGAGGACGGATGCGGGTTGACCATCAGTGGGTTTTATTACGTTTGTCTGAGGCGGAGCGACGGTGCGATTGAAGGGCTCTACTACGATCCGCAAAGCAGTCCGTACCAGCACCTCAAGCTCAGTCCTGTCGGCGGAGGAAATTTTCCTGTTTGGACATTCAGGTGATGAGCAGGGGTGAAGTACTGGATGGGATAGCTAAGGACGGTGCAAGCCAGAGAAGAAAGCATTTCGGAGGAGCGATGGGGTATGACTTAACACGGCGCAAGCAGCAACTCTTCTCCGGAGGGTCCGGTCAAACAAATTACCTTTGTTTGTGATTAAGGATTTTAGTACTTTTTTGGAAATTTTCTTGGGAAAGCGAAAGCAAGCATTGTCGGGGGGCAAGGGGGTTTCATTTTCAAATGGAGCAGTTCACAGGAGGGCCCAGGGGCCGCCTTCTGTTTTTTTTTTTTCTCTCGTCCTTTTTCTGCTGCTGCTGTGGGCCTGGGACCACCACTACTAAGGGAAGGGCGTTCTTCCGGAGTTCAACATGAGAGAGGAAGTCATCATAAGTGCGTCAGTCACACACCGATTATCAACAGTTCCATCGAAATGGAGGTTCTGGACTGTTTGATGCCGTTTTCTGGTCTATGGGGGGACAAGTCTTAAATACCAACTCCTTCTTTTAACTCACTTGCTGTTCTATCTGCATATTGCACAGTGGCTTGAAGGCCTGTATCGGTCATGTACATACTGGACGCCGGTGTCACAGTGGGTATCAAAATGCTTAGGCCATCACAGCGGATCTCCACAGGTATCTAAGCTCATGGCCGTCAAGTATGCTTTCGCCCGTTGCGGAGTAGACCAAGCCTCCTTGCCTAAAGACAGCAAGACCCTTTGCCTTTACCTTACCGGTCACAGTCAACATCGATGACCTCGAGGCAGGAGGAAGTTTGGTTATGGAATCCAGGCACTGCATCTTGAAAGGATCCTTGTCGGCGAGATTGGATTAAGTTCGCCACAAGGCTTGTGTCTCTCCGCACAATTGACTTGGCCTGGAGCACCGTGTCTGACGTAGGATCCAAGCTTCTTCCCCAGGTAGCGCATGCGAACGATCTAGTGCACCCTATCGCCCGTCCTCCAGTAACCGGAATGGTGTTGGCGATTGTGGGCGAGCTTGAAGACTTCGTGTTCAAGGGCTCAAGTTAAAATGCCGCTACTGACCTCCACAATCTCCAGAATTTTCTCTAGCAGAGAACGAGGACGTAGGGAGACGACGGCGCGGACAGCAGCGTGGAAGGATGGTGGTGTGGACGGCGAAGTTTAACAGGCAAACCATTGAAGGTACCAAGCAAATAAGAGTAAAGTCTATCAAGAACTATTGGATAACTATATAAAATCACTATGGCGATCACGCTAACTCTCCTTAGTCACATACGCATAAGTCTTCCCATCGGTATTGAAAGGCGAATTTGTCATTGTTTGATCGAAGCTACTTATGGTAAAGCAAAGTATAATATGCCCCCCAGTTATTCACTCTCTTTGATCGAAGGAGAGCCATCGGTATCTTGCGTAGGGTATGCAGGAAATCTAGCTGACGCGAGCTCATGACTACACAGTCGGGATTTTGAACTCGTGTCATCATCCAGCCGTCGAGTCAACCCCAGTCACAGTCGCTTCCTGCTCAGCCAGTATGCAAACAGCTGGAGGTTTGTGTTGTCATGGATAGACGTGCTGAATATGGACCATTCGCTGTGGTTCAGCTTTCGGGTAGCGATGACCAAAGAGCTTTACGCTTCTCATATGCGGAGAATATGGCGAATAGTGACCTAATAACCAAATCAGGCGCAACGAAGCCAACTGTTCGTTGGATACATGCAGATTCGACGCGGGAGCTGCGGGTCCAAGGCATGCTAGAGACACAAGGACATTATAGCCTTCGGAATATAGCAAGCGCCAACTCGTCATGAGGCTTTTGGAGTATTACGTCGTACATTTTGATCTGTGTTAATTTAGCGTACGGAAGCCAGGTAGACTCGAACGAGGGAGCAGCCGTACCTGAGCCGGCGGCCGAGTAGGGAAATAGCAAGGGAATTCCAAAGCCCCAGAGGCGCGCCGTACTAAGGTCTTACAGACCAGATCGACAGGAATGCAGGACCACCAAAGCATTATTCGGGGAGGGGGATGGGCACTTGATGACGAGCTCAGAGAGCGTTCTTTATAGGGTCGCAGGGTTTCCACCAGTGTTGGACACAATCCTCTTGGCATCCTGCTCCATCTCCGGGAAAGCCGTAATTATCTTGCTTGCTAGGATGTCTCGGAACTGGGCAAATGCCTCACTCTTGCCCTTCAGCTTTTGGTTGTTCTTTTGCACAAGCTCGGCAAACTCGCGAGTGTAGATGTCGGGGTTGCGGCCGTTCTCGACGTAGGAGATGATGTCCGGAGGAATGTGAAGGGCGAGGCCGGAGGCTTCGCGCGACAGTTGGAGTAAGTTGCCGAGAAGGTTTGTGCTTTGGTCGGGTTAACAGGCTGTAACATTCAGTAAACTATGGTCGAGTTCACGTACATCTCCCGTTTCATAGCATCCTCGGTGTTTGTGCCCTGGTAGTCGTGGACCTGGACGACGAGGTGGTAGAGGTTCTGGATGACCTTCTTGATCTGGCCTGCGCGGGGAGGTCAGGATATGCATTACGCGCGGACACAGCATCACATACCGTCGACAGGCTCAAGCTTCGCAGGCACGTCGGGGGCCATAGTGGATGCGGGCGGTTGCGAGCGAAGCAGAGTCGCGAATGGAGCTCTGGTGTTGAGCTCGAGCTGGCGCGCGCTCACCGCCTTCACGGGCCGATGGACGCGCCGACGGGGGAGCGCGCGTGCCCGTACGGAGGTGACGGGTCCAGGTGAAGCTCCACATGATGATGACGATAACTGCTAATCACCGCAACTGCTGTGCCGCTGGAACTATCTGCTGCCGGTACCCGCGTCGAAACCACGACCTCAGCGCCCGGATCCATTCCAGCGCTCCGCGACTCCTGCTCTCACAGTCCGCAATGCGCCTCGGCGGAGGTTGAAGCCATGCCGCAGCTTCCCACGAGGTCGTCCAGCACGCCCCAGGTCCCGCAGTCCAAGCCATCTCGCCCTGCTACTGGTCCGGATCCGCAGAGCGCTTCGCTCCCAGCCAGAACCGCCGTCCGCCCCGAGGCCGCCGCGCGCGCCAATACCGACGCCGCGTCTGACAAGGCCACCGCCGCCTTCGTTCGCCGCGTGCTCTGCGCCCACCAGCTGTCGTCGAACATCCTAGCCGGCAGCGAGAAGGGCAAGCCATCGCAGAAGTCGCTGGACGAACTGCTGCCGCCGCTGACGAGCTCAAACGAGGTCGACCTGCAGCTGTATGGCATCATCGCCGTCATCATCAAGGAGTTTGTGCACGGCTGGTACACGAAAATCACACCAGATCATGTCTTTGTAGACGAGGTAATCCAGATCATTGCCCATTGCACGCGGGCGCTGGAGCAGCGGCTGCGCAAGGTCGACCTGGAGGCCCTGATCCTGGACGAAATCCCGCGGCTTGCATCGCAGCACCTGGACGGTGAGTAAGGCATGATTATCGCGGGCGGCTACAGAGGGCTGATCACACACGTCGTCACAGCATATCGGACCGCTCACCGCGCTTCTGAGGACAGCCCGCTGGCCCCAGGCTACCGGCATATTTACCACACGCTGCGCCCGCACCCTGCTCTGACACCAGTGCCGTCTGAGGCCGACCCCGCCACGATCCTGGAGCAACGCGAGAATGAGGCGTGCTGGCGGCAGCTGCTGGTGCAGGGCGTGCTCGCCGTGCTGCTGCCGACGGAGGATCTCGAGAACGCGTGCCTGCGCACTCTGGTGGCGGAGATCGTGTCGGAGATGATCATCGGCGGCGCAGTGAGCAACAAGGTGTGCGAGGCGTGGATGCTGTGGGAGGCAGTGGAAAAGATCGCTGAGGTGGTGCATCCCCGCGCCATAGAGCCTCCTGCGGCGAAAGCGACAAGTCGCCTGGAGCAGTTTGGGCTGCTGAACGAGGCGGAGCCACGCAAGCCGCGGTCAGAGGCGGGGTGGGCGATTGGCGAGCTCAGCAGCCTGTTCTGGACGGTGTGCCAGTACGTCTTCCTGGCGGCGACAGCGATGCGGGCCGTGGTCGCGGCGCTGGCGGCATCCCCGTCGCTGCCAGAGCGGGCGTGGGTGGTGTCGTCGCCGATGGAGGGCAGCCGCCAATCGCTCTCGAGCGTCGGCGCGGCGGAGGAGCCGTCGGCCGTGCTCAGCATGAGCGCGTGGACGTGCGCGGGACAGCTGCTCGAATTGAAGGCGCGGATGCCGTGGCTCGCAGGCGCACTCTCGCTGGCGCAGTGGAGTGCCGTCAGCGGGCCGGGGCGGGTGGGTGGCACAAACGGACCATTGGACAGGTGAGTCTCGCTTTCATTCGACCCTTTCGTCCCATGTCGCCGTTCCCTGCTTAGCGCCGCATGCGCTGCTGGTCACTTGACCTGCACCCCCCCGGCCCGGGGTTTCATACCCTTATCGCGCTGCATGCGCCCCCGGCCCAGAGGCAATGCAACGCACGCCGACCGACCCGGCCTTGGCACTGGCAACCCGCACGCCAGAAACCACACGTCCCGCGCGGTCTGGGCTGCAGCAGCGTCGCCTTTCCCAGCCGGCCAGCCGTCCCGTATACGCGCCCGGCTGATCTGCCTGCCTACCACTCGCATGCTCGGGACCGGCCGCGCTGCTGCATGGGGCTGCCTCGGCCAACCTTGCTCAATAGCATTGCTGCAAGACGCCTTCGCCAGAGCGCCTCACTCACCCTAAAAGCTTTTGTGGGCAGCACTGCACCACTCAACACCCCGGTGCATCAGGCGATCCAAAGTCTCACCGACTCGCCTGCGCTGCTTGTCTCACGCCCCGACGCCTGGCCCAAAATCGCCCCATCACCACCTCATCCTCCGGCAATTGCGCCGTGGGGCCTGGCAGGGCTGCTCCAAGCATCGTCATCAACGCCAATGAACGCAATCCCGCTCTTCGCCGATCGCCAAAACCAAGCCCCATCTCGATCTCTGCGCACAATTTGTCCGCTGAGAGCCCCCTGCCTCGTTGCTTTGCTGCCCTACCACCACCTTCCCCTCCTTCTATGACTTGCTTGAGCAGTCAGCATCTTCAAACGCCGGATCAGCGGACACTGCAGGCTAACCATCCCGATTCCCTCTTCTTCTGAAACCGAACAGGCTCCTATCCCACGAGATCAAGACCCGTATTCTCAATCCGGCCTTGTTGCCCCCGCTCCTGCGCACCCTGCGCACTTCGATCTTCCCCAATAACGCGCCGGGTCCTCCGCGTATTCCGCCCACGCCGGACGAGGAGCTCGCTATCAAGCGCCGCGCGGCTAGAGCGGTACTGGACGCCACGCCGCCCTTTGTCAGGTCGAGACTCTTTGGCAGTGGCAGCGGCAGCCGCGCCGTCGGCGGTTCCGGCGGGGTCGAGGGAAATGACGAGGACGACGAGGATGAGGAAGAGCAGGGAGAGGACGCGGTGCAGCAGCGCGAGGTCGAGCGGCTGCTGGACGTCCTGGGCGATCCGTATCTGAACAAGCATCTAATTTTCGGTATCATCGAGTTGATCGTGGTACGCTTATTGCCGGAGATGGGCGAGCTAGGGGTGGATGAATTGATGGACGAGAGATTGGGTTAGAGGCATGCGTCGGTTGCGTCAACGGCAAGTCAACCAATACTTCCGAGTCAATACGGCCTTCTTAGAGATAGACACGAGATTGTTGTACTTGATGTACCGGTGCGAGCTGATCTTGACCGATTGTCGTTGATGTTTAATTATCCTTATTTTTTTTTTAATTTTTTTTATTTTCTTCTTCCCTTGACCGGTAGCGGCACCCGCCGCCGTCCGTCCGTCTACCCGCCCTTCCGCCCGCCTGCCGTACCGTCGTCCACGCTTCCCGTCTACTTTACTTTTTTCGCTCTGGTTTCGGCTGCTGTGTCTTGTGGTACGCTAGGCCGCCCATTCTCCGTGTGGCATATGACGCCATTAATCGCCCTTGCCCCTTATGACCCTATAGTTTGGAAGTGCTATTGACAAGTGAAATTTTTAATGCTTGCTCGCGAAAGCCTCACTAATCTGAATCCTCCTGCCTCGGTTGACATGGGTTCGGAATGTGATCTACAGCATTGATTGTGCTCGAAGCGACGGAGAAATTTTTTATTTCAGTTTTTTTTTTTTGCTTTCTCGTCCTTCCCGACGTTGCTTTGCCGTAGCTGAAAGAAGGGAGGAGGTGGGGGGGAGGAGGGCTGAGGAGGGGCTGACGGGACGTTGGAGGAGGCTGATTGCTTGGCTGGCTGGGCTTGGGCGATCTGTAACGACTGATTGCTGCGCCGCGCATGTGCCTTTCGTGTCGTTGGTGCCCCGCGCCCGCGCGCTTGTGGGAGGGGGGGAGGGGGCGCTTATGGGGTGTACCCCTCTCTCCTCTTTCTCTCTCTCACACACACACGTACATGCCGCCGCAGCAGCTGAGGGGAAAATTTTCTGCTATTGCCGTGCGTCCATTGGCTAGATCTCTTGATGCTTTTCTTAGTCTAGACATTTTTCAGCCCTGTCGACTCCCCATGGCTGAGACTAGTAGAAGTCAAGGTGGTGGAGAGGAGCTAGTGATGGCCGGGGAGAACGATAAGCAAGACCAGGCGGCCTGACTTTTCAATAATCATTACAAAAGTCTGTGTGCAGATGATAGGCAAGAAAGTGACTTGAAGGATGTCACCTTATACGCGCATACTTCAGTACACGTATCAAGACATGAGAGGACGTGCTCGCATGTCCAATACATGTGTGCGCGTGGGGTGGGGAAAGAAATACGTACAGTACAGTATACCAAGTATACACACGAGCATTGCCACGCAAGCAAGCCCTCTCTCGCTCCCCAAAGAAAAAACGGTGAGATAGAAAAAAACAAAAATGCGATCAAGCATCAGATGCAAGATCGGATGCATCGTCATCGTCATCATCAGCAATCGTCGTCATCGGCAAATCCATCCATTTGCTGCATTGTCATCATTCGGTACTGCGGATGAAAGAGAATAAAGACAAGACGACACGAAGCCAAAGGAACATTCCGTCCAGCAGCAGCAAGCAGCACGAAAGAAAGAGACAAGAGCCCCGCTTTCCTGCTTTGCTTGGCTCCCCCCCAGTGGTTCGTGATGGGTTGACGAACTGGCTCCTCATTCCTTCATCCCTTTCCCTCATATTTTTTGTTTCTTGGTTTTGGGCTGGGTTGTGGAGCTAACGTATGCGCCATGCGCGTTGTATGTCGCACAGCAGCTCGCATTTTTCAGATTCCAGCAGTTCTCACTCGCTCGCGCACACACGCAAACGCCTGCCCGCATATGCCTGGCCCGCAGTAGCAGCAGCAGCAGCGCCAGCGAAGGGGAGGGAAAAAACCAGGAAAAACTTGCCTAACGGCAGGAAGCTTTGACGGCAAGATGCAACCTACGATACGACATCCCTGTTTCTTGCTACTACTACAGAAGATTGGTCAGCCCACTTTGAAATGGGGGAGGAGCTTGCGTGGATTTCGATTTTCCATCCATCATCTTTTTGTCGCCTTTTCTTGTCTCATCCTTATGATTATGTGGCGTAAGCCCTGCATACCACAGAGGAAGGGAGGGATCTGGGATGGCTTTTTCGCGATTTCCCACTTCACCCGTTTTCATTCGCTTGACGCACTCCGGCCTTTTTTTGGTCCTTTCACATGGGGGCGAGCTGAAAATCGTAAGTGCCGTAACGTATATGTACGACTCATTGGATCGGCGGACAGCTATAGTATCTTCGATGGGCCGGAACTACTTGTTGGTTGGGGGTTGGGGCAAGGAGGAGGAGTCAGGAAAAAACGGGGAAAACTCCGTTCAGCTGGGCTCCACAAACCGAAAGGGCACCATGACAAATCATCGGTAATGAGAAACGGGATACTACATGTGGGAAAGGAACAACGTTTGACTAGTTCCGCGCGCCTCTTTGTTTTTTTTGCTTTTTTCTCCTCTTTCTTCCCTTGCAATGTGGAGACACAATTGGACGTGCCGATCGTGGCTTGTTTTCCCAGCCGGTAGCCCTGCAGCGGAACTGAGGGAATAGAGACAAGAGCTGTCCGCGTTTGTATCTCATGTGGAGAAAAACAGCGGGAGTGGGAGGGGGGCGCGGGCTGCTGCTACTGGGGGGAACTACCTAGAACAAGGCCTAGCCGCGCGAGCGGTAACGTATGTATGTAGGTATGAGCTGGCTGGCCGATGTGGGCTTGCCAGCCAGGCCCTTCTCTTGCCCTAGCTGAGGCGGGGGATCGGGCGGTGTGTAGAGAGAAGGAGGAAGAAGAGAGAGAGAAAAAATAAAAAATAAACATCAGTCCGAAAAGGCCAGATATGGGCTTGTTTGCGTTCTGCGTCTCCCCAAAGCAGACACGTTCCGGGGCTAAACGGTGAGTAGTCGTCCGTTGGCTTAATCCTGCCCAACTATCCCCCCCAACCACCCCCCCAGCGCCTGCATAATGAATTTTTAATCCCGTCGTCTCATATCACCGCGTTGAGAGACACAAAGAGGGACCATCATCTTCTTCTCGTACGCGTGAGATGCCGTGCAAAATGTGGCTGGCGGGCGCGGATGCGGCTGCGTACATACCGGCTGGCCCGCTGCAAGCCTCCCCACAACCGCTCGCGCCCCTTCCCCCCTCCGAAAAAAGCCGTCTAAGCCTCGTAAGCCTGCCCCCCCGTTCTGCCCTAATCCCTCGCCCCTTCCTTCCCTTCGCTTGCCGCATGCGGACTGTGTTATACAGAAGTCCCAAAGGAGAAACCGACGGGGAAATGGGGAGGGGAGGCAGTGCCGAGGAAATAAGATGGGAACAAAAAGTGGACAAGAAAAAAGCAGGGTTCTGCGGCTCTCCCGTTCCAACTCAGTCTCTTGTTCCCCCCGGCCGTATCCCGGGTCAGGGTAGGACCAGCCCCCCAGCCGCTCCTAATCTCGCCCAATGATGTCGATAATGACGATGGCCGTAAACCTTGTGGTTGTGGACAAAAAGCCAAATGTCAGGGGACACGTGCATATTTTTGGCATTTGGGGGCCGGGCACGGATGAGAGCCGAGAGGAGGAAGCAGAGATATAAGGGCATCGGAATTCGGGGAAGGATCGAGACGAGCAAGCGAGAAGGTTAGTCGGCGGATAAAGATGGGGGCCCAAGGCCGCCGAGGCAGAGAGAATGGGCGAGAGGGGGGTGGGCGGGCGAAAGCGACGAGCAAGCATATCATAGCAGGCATGGCATGGGCCAGGCGATGGATCGGGGCTCCCGGCAAGATGGGGACGGAGGGAAGGTGCGATGATGGGATGGACGACGACGACGACGAGGGGGCATCCCGTCTGTCGCGCGACTTCGGTTGCGCAGGATGGAGCCCTTGTTGCCAGCCTTCATGTGTAACCGCAGCGCCGGGTTTCGCTTCGCCTTCTGCTGCGTGTTTGAGAGAGACTCTCTACCATCGGCTCCTCCCCCGGCCGGGAGTTGGGCAGCGCTCTTGTCCTACTGTTGTCCAACCGGAGCCCCCTCGCGTGCGGCCCATCCTTACCCTCGCACGTATAGCGGCCGATCTTCCTCGCACGCTTTGCCGCGCCCGCTCTCTCCAGATTCTCACCGCTGTCGTACCACACCACGCGAGACTGACTTTGTGTGACGGCTGCAAAAAGAAAAGACTCTGGTCGGTACCGTTATGCAGCCAGCCGCTCGACGCGAGGCGTTCCTCCCGCGGTCGAGAGAAGTGAGAGTGTTCAGGCCGGATCTGCGACCGCCCGCATGGCCTACACGCCCCCCAGGGTGGTCGGTGCGCCGCTGTCGCTCCCCGGGCTTTGCCTGTGAAGTAAGGAGACTCGACGCCGGTTCCCGTTCTTTCATGTGCGCTGCATGAACCTCGGTGGGGACAGCATGGATGAGTGACGTTGTAGCAGCAGCAGCAGTAGAATAGCAATACCAAGACTTGGATATAGCGAGAACGCAGTCAAACGAGCTAGCGCAACCAAACCAGAAAGAGAATGAGATGAAGGCCCGCGCGAGCGGTTCGTCCAGAAATCTTTTTTTGTGTTGGCTTCCCCTCCGCGACACCAGCTAGCACACCGTCTGTGAAAGAGAGCGCTGGGAAAACTAGTCGACACAGGCCAGAGAGAACCAAGAAAAGTAGCTACAGAAGGCGAGAGAGCTGTACCGGAAATTGGGCCAGGCAGATGGTTGAACAAACAATATGAGATCGTCGTGTCCCTCTCCAACTCCATTGTCGTCCGTCCCCGTTTGCGAGGTTCCCGTGAAATGAACTATCGAATCCAACTAAAAAATAATACCGAAAAAATATATGGGAATACACACGGTCCGGTGCCCCAGCAAAGCTGTACTCTGATGATGTATATCCTCATACCGTTTACCGTCCTGTATACCCGTCCGCTCGTTATGACGCCGGTGAAAATCAGCAATTTCGTAGATATCGACCGATTCCAGTAGAGACCGAGAAATTTTTGCAGAAAGTGGGTATGTGGTGTTCCGTATGTAACTTGGTGGGAAAAAATGGCCAAAACGCCCTCCAACCGAGAGAGAGCCAAATGTCCCTTAGCTCTTTCTTCCAAACTCCTGCTCCGGTATGCGGTGCATTCCACCCGGGAGCGACTCGCCGCCGCCTCGCTGAAGCTTCAGCTTCTCCATCAGCTTCCCTATCGTGACGTACTCCTGCGGCTCGACGAAGCCGCTCGGCTGCTGCTGGAAGAAGCTCATGACCAGCTCCAGTGCTCGTCGGGCATCTTCCTGCGTCGGCGAAGAAGCAGAACTGCTGCCCGGGCTGATGGGCGACACCTGCTGCGTCGTCGTAACAGGGGTAATGGCCGGGAGTGGGGGCGGCTGCATCGAACTGGTTTTCAGCGGAAGACCCGAATGCATCGTCTCCTCAACGCCGCTGAGAGGTGGGTCCGATATCGGCGAGTCGAGTGCGGCCGACGTGACGTATCGCGGTGTTTCTGCCTCTGATGATGATGGAGGTGAGCCGTACGGATCTATTCCAAGTGCTGGGAAGGTCTGACTTCGCGACCTCTGGAGTCCCTGGCTGCCCGGCGGCATGCGTGACTGCTGGGACGGCATGAAAGGACTGGGTCCGCAGGCAGAGTCGGGCGTGAAGAAGGGCGACGTCGGACTCGTGGGGCCGGCCGAAAAGGTCGAGCCTGCCGCATCAGTGAACACACTGGAGAGGGATGTGTTACTCTGCGAGTGAGGGAAAGGACGGTGGCCGCTGGAAATGTCTCCAAAGCTGTCAGGGCTCTCCGTCTTGAGGTTCTCTTCGCTCTTCATCGAGCTCAGCGTTATCGACGACGGCGACGCGACGCCGCTGGGCGACGTCGGCGAGATTCCATTCGGCGTGTGCGTCGTCGACCCGGAATTCGATGCTTCCGACTCTTCAGCGATGGAGCTCTTCCGTGACTTTGTTCCTGCTCCCATGAGGTTGTTCTTCTGCTTGAACTTCTCCAGCCAAGTGTTGCTATTCGCCTTCATATGGCTGTCGGAGTTTCCGACCGACGTTGCAAAGAAGCGCGCCTTCTCCTTGATCATGGCGTCCGTCAAAGGCAGACCCGACCTCTGGTGGTTGCGGGCCCAGTTTGACAGCGCTCGTTCTATGTCTGGAAACTTTCCCTTTGACCTCTTGATCGGGGAGCGGCTCCCGTCATCTTGATACAAGTACTTCTCCTTCTGCCGCAGCACCTTGGACACCGTGCTGCACACGAGAGGTTAGAGAGGGGGGCTCGGCTGAGGGGTGCGGCTGTCCATACCTTCGTTCCACGCCGAACATAGCTGGTGAGACAGACGTCAGCGCGTGCGCGCGCGCGGGGTACCGGCCAAACATGACTCACCTCCTATCTCGGTCTGCTTGACCGTGGGGTTTTCCTCGTGGTAGAGACACATGCGCCGACGGTCGTTGTCCGTCAGCGTCTTCCTGGGAGTGCCCGACGAGCGCGTCGACGTGGCCGAGACTGGAGTAGGCGTGGCTGAGACGGGGACGGGCGCGGGCGCCGAGTACATGGGCGGCGGGGCATAGTTGGACTGGCTGGTCAACATGCTCGGCCATTGAGGCATGATGAGCGGCTGGAGCTGCTGGTGGGTCGTTCGCGGTGGCGGTGGCGGCATGCCCTGGGACATTCCCTGCGAGTACATGGGCTCCATGGGGAGAGGATTGTAGAATCCATTGTAGTCGTGGACGGGCGAGTGGTGCTGGGACTGCGGATAGTGGGCGCTGCTGTCGACCCACTGACCGGTGGCGTCGTGGTATCCTTGGTCTGGATGGGGATGGTGCTGCTCGTGCTCCATGCCCAGGTGGCTCATGGCGACTGCGGTGGGGAGGATGGAGTCGTGTCTACGCGGACGTCTGGGTGGTCAAGTAGGGCGGGCACATGGGCGGGGAGTGGTGTTCCTGGGTATTCAGAATCGGCAGCGTGCATGCATAGAGGACGGTTCCTGACGAAGCGAAACACTTGGTACCACGGCGCAAGGAAAAAGCAGAGCGGCGCTGGGTGAAACAAGACGGGGCTGCGCTGACACTCTGCTCTCACATATGCGGCGGTGATGGGCCGGGTCCTGCAGGGCGGGCGCGGCGGGAGGTGTGGAGGTGAGGTAGGGTCTGCCCAGGCCGTCTGGTAGCCTAGGTACGGTGCGCAGCGGTGCGGTGCGATGCGGGTGCAGAAGCGGGACGAGATGCGCAGAGGCCCCTGTTTTGTTTCGAGCTTGGGCATAGGATGGGGAAATGGCTGCTCGTCCATCGTTTAAACGGGCATGGGCACTGCTGGGGCTGGCGGGCAGCGGCGCGATACGGGCCATGCCAGGCTAGGATCGGCCGGCGCTGCCCTCAGGCGCGCCCTCGACGGGGCGCGGGCGGGCGGCGGGAGCCAGTGGGAAGGCGAGGCGCCGCTGCCAGAGCTTGACTGAGATGCCTTGCCGGCTAATCAACGCCTGAGGCGTGACCGCGCCGGCACGCGAGAGATCTGTGTCGCGCCGCCGTTGTTGCGTGCCTGCGTGGCGGCGTGCAGCGAGAGCGCATACGACGGGCAGCAAAAGGGCTGACGAAACCCCGGCGCGCGCGCACGAATCGAAGATCGGCTGCCCTGCCCTGCCCGTCGCACATCCAGCCCTCGCGACGATAGCGGCCGCCCAAGCGCGGCCGCCAGCGCTGGCCCGGGTGTCAGCAGCGGAGCCAACGTCAGTTTTGGCGCCCGGGGCGACGCCCGCGGCCTGCTGAGTCGCTGCTTGAAGGCGGTGGCCGAGCGGCCCCTGCAAATTGGGCCTGGTCCACGAATCACCAGCGGGGAAAAAGAAAAAGCCGCAAAAACCAAGCCGATCATCTTCGTATTATTTCCTCTCTCCAGCGCGCCCCAATGCCGGCCGACGTCCTGGGAAGCGTAAGACACCGTCGATAGCGCCGTCTGGCTGGTCCGCCTGCACGAGCCTGTCATGGCCAAGAGCGCCGTGGGGTTGCTGGTCAGGCGTCGCCTGTCGATCAAATATTGTAAAAATCCCGAGGCGCAAACTGGAATAAATACCAAGGGCCTCCACTTCCCATAACGCCTAAGCACCAATCCATGCCCGGAGCGCCGCCCTGACCGGGCCCGCACGCGACAATCAACAATTGCATTTGATCTGCTCCGAAATTTTCGGCGCCACACCCGCTGCCCTGGGTCCGTCGGGCTGCCTGCTGGCGACTGCGGGATCACCGCTTGACGATGGTCACTAGTCGTGCCGTTAGCGTCCACCGCGCCCGCCGAAGCCTGCCGCACTTACAGATGTCCTCGTCCTCGAGCTGGTGGCTCAGTCCCACCCGCTGCGGCTGGTGCTTGACCGACTTGCCGTACACAATCGCATGCTTGAACTGCTCCAAGATGCTCTTGTGGATTTGATTACACTTGCCGCCGGCCGAGTCAGCAGGGTGGAAATCTCCGGGCTAAGCGCCAGACTGGGTGACTTACGAAATCCTCCACCGTACACGCCGATGCCCTCAGCACAACGGGCTCGGTATAATCCGGCAGCTTGCCCTTGGGCTTCGTGTACACGCGCCGCAGGTTGAGCTTTTCCCACATCTGCTCCAGCAGCTCGTCAATGTTCCATCCGTGCTCCGAGCTGATGGGACACGCGTTCGGAATCCGGTACAGGAGGTCAAGCTCCTCGATCGTGATGGCATCGATCTTGTTTAGCGCGTAGATAACCGGAATGTACGCCCTGCTCTTGGCCTCCAGCACGTCAATAAGGTCGTCAATCGTGGCGTCGCAACGGATGGCAATATCTGCCGACGTAATCTTGTACTCCTTCATGACGGCTTTGATCTCCTGCGGTGCGGAAATTTAGCGGAGTGCGCTCTTCTTCAGGAAGGAGCTTCTTACGTCATGATCGATATTATTCAGGGGCACTGTGTTAGTGATGTTGATACCACCGGTATCCTTCTTCTTGAAAACAATGTTGGGCGGGCTCTTGTTGATGCGGATTCCGAAGCCCTCCAGTTCCGTCTCGATGATGCGCTTGTCGGTCAGCGGCTTGTTGACATCCAGGACGATGAAAATAAGGTGGCACGTCTTTGCGACGGCGATGACCTGACGACCTCTTCCTTTGCCATCCTTGGCACCCTGAATGATACCAGGCAAGTCGAGAATCTGGATCTTAGCGCCGTTGTAAACAACTTGTCCGGGAACGGTTGTGAGCTATACGCAATGTCAGTCTCGCCCTCGCGGATCACCCACACGCAACACTCACCGTGGTGAACTCATATGCCGCAGCTGAGCCGAGTGTCAGCTATCATTTTCCAGATACTTTGAGATGTAGGTGGCGCACCTTCGGAATGCTGTCCCGTCAACCTGCTCATCAGTGTCGATTTACCGACTGAGGGGAAACCGATGAAGCCACTAATGATTGCGTCAGTTTTTGAACCACGTGCGCATATCGGTATCTTATACTCACACACTAGCCACACCAGTTCGCGCCACGTCGAAACCAACTGTCACCGGAGTGAGCTCCTCATCCAAGGCACAGAACATTCAAGGGCGCCATACCACCACCGCCGCCGCCGCCGCCACCTGACGGGGTCATAAGCTCCTTCTTCAACTTCGCAAGCTTCGCCTTCAACTGTCCTATTGGGGCTGTCAGCCAAGCCGTCGGCCTTGCTTGTGCGCGTGCGCTGGTGCGTACCCAAGTGGAACGACGTTGCCTTGTTCTTCTGGGTCCGAGCCATCTGTGCGGCGTGAGCAATGTGCTGTCGCGGGATCATTGGGCTGGCTGGGACGCACCTCGGTCTCGATTTCCTTGATCTGTTGCGACGCATGTTAGCTGCTGCTGCTATGAAAAAGCTTCGCTGCCGCCACGCACCTTGTCCACCGTTGTCGCCATGATGCCGGTTTTTGCGTGCTCGACGCGGCGTTGAAAGAGATGCGAGAAGGTAGAGGAGGTTCGATGGATTGCTGCGGGAGCTCGTTGGGCGGGGCAGTCGCGCGGACAGTTGGTGGTTGCGGGTTGTCGATATGCGCGAGAGTCGTGGAAATTCTTATGACGTGCCAATCAGAAAAACGTGGGGCAGATCTTCGGTTGGCGGAGGCAGCGCAGGCATCAAGGCACCACTTCTCGTCAGCGCGGCGAAGGCCGGAGATCGGACGGACGCCACCGGTTCGCTCCAGGAGAACTTTCTGCACCTGATCTGATAACTGCCTCAGGCTCCCTGTTGCTGTTTTCGAACAGGCATGCACAGCACTTTCCCTGTTGACATTCGCCGGTGAATCACGCAATTCACTCTGCTGCTGTGCTCGGCTCCTTACTGCAGCCAGCGTACGCGTCTGCTACCCTCACTGATCGCAGGTGGTACCTGATAACGCTCCTTGAGCCTATCCTCTCGCGCTTCACCGACAGTAGCCGGCGTTACGTACCTCGGGGCACGCTTAGAGGTGGTCGCCGACCTCTCCTTTTGCATGCGCGACTCGTTTTTAAGGGCGCCCGTTTCCCTCCCTTGGTAACCAGCTTCACTGCATTCATTTTTACAATCATGACTGCTTTCGACACCAGCGTTGCCTCAGTGCCCAGCCCCGGGCTTCCCAAGACGCAGGAGCTGGACGCGTTCCATACGCTTGTCCAGGACCTGAGCCGAGTCCTCGGGCCTTCCTCCGGTATAGACTCAGAAGACGTCGATCCCGCGGAGCTCCAAGCCCTGATGGAAAGGTACACTTCCAGTCCATCCGAGTGGCAGAAGTACGCCTTGGGCGACTACAGCCGAAACTACACTAGAAACCTAGTAGACAAAGGAAATGGCAAATCAAATCTGTACGCGTTCCGCAGCGCCTGTGATTCGGATCCCCCAGAATTAAGGCTGACCGACCCCGCAGGCTTATACTAGTCTGGACTCCCGGCAAGGGCTCCCCCATTCACGAGTCAGCCGCCTACACCCTTTGTACCCGCGCGCTCTACTGACGGGTTCATCAGCCATGCGAATGCCCACTGCGTAATGAAGGTCCTCAAGGGTACGCTGAAGGAGACCCTGTTCTCGTGGCCCGATCCAGACCTGGCCAAAGAGGGGAAGCCGGCACCCCCGCAGGTCAAGAAGGAAACGCTCTATCATGAAAACGGAGTCACGTACATGTCCGATCAGCTGGGGCTCCACAGGATCTCCAATCCGGATCCCGAAAACGTGGCCGTGTCGCTTCACCGTAAGTGCACCCTGTCCCACATTTGCCAGATGCGGCTAACGCGGAGGGCTTAGTCTACACGCCGCCCAATGCCGAGTACTTTGGCTGCCAGATATTCGACGAGAAGACGGGGAAGGCCAGTCACGTCTCGCAATGCAACTTCTTCTCTGTCGTTGGTCACAAGCTCTGAGGCTGTGGCCGCCTCTTCCTGCCTAGGCCGGAGCTAGCCAGCGTAATGATTCCCGCCGCGTCTTTATCATTGGAGGGCACGGGAGTTACGGGTCAGGTTTCGGGTCGACATCAACGAGTCGTTGACTTTCCCGAGTTATCGTTTTCGGGCTTTCTTTTTCTGGCGCGGATATCCCCTTCTCGTCCAGCGGAGTGATCTGATTTCAAACTGTATGGGCAAGCATCTTTAGTCTGTTGTTTCATTGCCTGCCGTCCTCAACGGAAATTATAAGCTATGTACCCACTTCTCATGCTGTTGGTGTCCAAGCGCCTGACAAAGTGGTGCTATTATCAGATCGCCTGAACGGCTCGGGTTGATTTCCCGAAGCCGCACAGTTGTTTGTATCTTTCAAGCATTGCGGAGCGCCTGACTACACTCCTCGCTTTGGTTGGAGGAGCGAAAGCACTACCTCTGGTGAAGCAGCAGGATGAACCGGAGTTGAGAGTAGTCCGGATAACGGTAGCCGCCGCAGACGCAGGCAGGCTACAGGCCATTCACGCGGCTCCTTCGACAAAGCAGACGGCAAGGCGGGCAGGAAATTACAGGATACGTCCAGAGCCGAATCACCATGACCGCGCGGGAATCGCCGGTGCGGAGGGGAAAAAGAAAGCAGGCTTGACTGGTCCTCAGACGACAGCAGATTCCTGCGATTCCTTCATTCTTCAGGCAGCGTGCATGAAGAATAGCGTCATCGGACAGCGAGGGGTGACCGTGTGTGGTGTCTCAGTCGGCGGAGTAGCGTTGGGCTCACAACCCACGGCCGGATCCAGGCGCCGCTAGCAGCCGCGCTCGACATCTCCACAGACTCCCGTCCCGCGGCGGGCATTGAAGTGGAAGGTTCGTGCGCGGGGAGAGAAGGATGGCTGAGCCGCTGATTGCAGGTTGGGGTGGGAGCGCACTGGCATGGGCGGGAGCTACTGGAGTTTAAAAACGGGAGGGCTCGCAATGCCAGGCAGCCACAGCCGCGGGCCGTCTGGCAAAAGCATCGTGGATTTTAGCAGCTGGCTAAAGCGCAGGGCCGAAGTGCTATGATCATAACACGAGACGAACCGTGCCGTGGAGGATAATGATGTGATCTGCCGGGAAGACGGGTCTGGGGGAGCGCGACACGCGAGTACGAAGGTGATCCACACGCGCGAATACGTTTCCTCTCGACGCTGTTTCAAGGGCCAGAGAGAGTGCTTATTCCGCGGCTGCTTGGCGGTGTGCGCATCCTTTGAGGCTGAGCGCGACTTGGTTTCGTACAAAGGACGGCGGGCTCCACCTGGACTCTCTCCCCGGGATGCGAGCGATGGGATGCAAAGCTACGCGCGGCCGAAGGCCTAGGCCTGCAGCCGGCAGCCACGTCGGCGCGGAGTGCGGTTGAGGGGGCGCTGCGGCGCGGTGGCAGCAGACGGGATGCCAAGGACACGGTTCAGATCACCGGGCGACTCAAGCCTCGCGGCCCTGAACGCGCAGACGACACGACGACAAGACATGACGGGGCGTGCAGAAAGCCGTCACTCGACACGAAAGAATACCCAATGCCACTGGCGCTGCCGCCGCACGTAGCGCACCTTCAGTCCTTCTCCGCGCGCTCGCCGACTGCAATCGTTGCCGCTTTCCTCGTCTCCTCCGCTCTCTCCGCTCTCGCTCAGTCGCCCGAGCACTCGCTGCTCATCGCCGCCGTTTCGTGGGCCCTGCTATGGACATACAGTAGTGCGCGCATCGGTCTCTGGACCGGTTGGGATAATGCGCTCAGGAGGCGGTACAGCTGGACCGCCGGCGCTCTGCTTGCTCTTGCCGCAGTCTGCGAGCAGACGGCACACGACCAGGAAGGCATATGGTGGACCAAGGTATGCTGGAAATGGCCCGTAGAGAAGACCCGCAGCATTGACTCGACATGCAGGCGCTCCTTCCAGCAACGCTGTGTGCGCTGCGCTCCGCCGATGTCGTCGCCCGCAGCTCCCCTTTCATGACCATCGAGGACCTCCAGGGCCCGGACGCCGGCCGCTACGACATTTCGAACCGGATGCTGGCCGTGCTGACTGTGGCAGGCGCAGGCGGGCTCAGCGTCGCAACAATCCTGCCGCATGTGCTGGCCCTGTCGCTGTGCAGCGCGCTTCTGACCAGCATTGCGCTGCTGGTCATCGAGCATGCCATAACCTCGATCAGGGACTACAAGCCAAGCATGAGTAACGGCCCGTCGCCCATCATCCCGATGCGGCCTCGTTCCAACACCGTGATCCGGTCTGACGCCTGGTTGGTGTCCCTGAGGGATACGTCGGCCGTCGTTGCGCCCGCCTGCTTCGTGCTTGCCTTCATCGTCGAGCGCAGTTTCAGGACCGACACGATATACCACGGATTGAATAACGATGACGCAGTCGGCGTCTGGGAGCATCCGGGATGGCTGTGGGCGCTGCAGTATGGGTTGCAACTAGCCTCTATGTCTGCAGTCAAGCACTTGACGCTCTTCTCGATGGTGAGTTCGGGTCCCATGCAATTTCCCGCCGCTAGCACTTTCGCACTATCTCCCTGTGCGTGCTGCTTATACCTGGGTTTCCCGCCTTATCTTCAACCGTCCGGCGTCTCACCCATTTCGGTTTGGGCGCCGCAAACCTGCTCGATTGCGCGTCGGTTCATGCCAATTCCCCGATTTGGGCGCGCGAGCATGATTGCACGCCTCCCTTCGGTCGCGCCTGGAATGCCATACCTCGTGCTCTTCTCCCCCACCACCGACCCGACAAGACACCTCACGTCGCGGATGCTGATACGATTGCTTCTCTAGATCCGCCAGGCTGGAGCTTTTCCTACTGCCTGCTCGACGGTGGCTGCCCTTCTCGTTGCTCGTTCTTATGCTGCTCCGTCCTTCACGAGCTTCTGGTTCGCTTTCATCTACAGCGGTGCCGGCGCTCTATCCTTGTTCAACCCTCCGGCCGGCAGCATGGTGCTAGCTAAACAGTTTCTGACCGTGCTATCGGTGGTCTCCTTCGTTTTGCTTAGCATAGGTTATTTGCGCCAATCGGTTTCGAAGTTCGACCCCCTCTACGGCGCCGCGCCCCATGATCAAAACACCGAATTTGCGCCACCAGGCGATGCCCTCCGCCCGCTTGCGCTCCCTTCGCCCGATGTGCACCCTATCGAACATTTGGTCAAGGGCGCAGAAAAGAACTGGGAGCAAGTATTGTCACGCCAATCGCAAACCCTGGGCGATGCCGTGGCCGAGTACCGACGGCGCTATGGAGTTCCGCCGCCTCCCAACTTCGATCGGTGGTTTGATTTCGCGAAGAGGAAAGGCGTCCCGCTTATCGACGATGGCTACGACTCGATCTATCATTCATTACTACCGTTTTGGGCGCTGGAACCGGCTACAATCCGCTCCCGCGTCAGGGAAGCCATTGGCCATAGTGAAAATGCTCTTATCGGGTTGTTGATCAGGGACGGCCAAGCTACGCACGTCGAAGGCGGCCAAGATTGGCAGAGAGAGGCGACGTTGGGTATGATGAAAAGCTTTCTCGCTTTCCTTCCGGACATGGACCTTGCTTTCAACATTCACGATGAGCCCCGCGTCGTTGTACCGAATGACGAGCTGTCCCGCCTTGTGGAACGTGCCAAGAATGCCCGCACGTCTGTGGCTTCAGCCATCGAGCCGCCGAAGAATCAGTTCTCTAAGCGTCCGAAAGACATGAACAGTGGTAAACGAATTGAGGAAGTCAAAACGACCCGCTTCAACCGGTTTGCGCATCAAGGAACTTGGACACATTCTCGCCTCTCCTGCCCGCCAGAAAGCCAATCGCGGAGCCTCGACGAACATCCAAAGGATAACTTGACCGCGTATGCCGCCGGTGATCTTGGCTTCATCTACAATGCTTCAGCCTTCTCGGACATCTGCAACTCTCCTTCGTTATCCTCTACTTTCGGTTTCTTCGACCGGCCAAATGCCTTCAATCTCGTACAGGAGCTCTTCCCCATCTTCTCGCAGAGCAAGATAAGCAGTTATCAGGATATCCTGTACCCAAGTCCGTGGTACTGGTACGGGAAGGTGCCGTACGACAGAGAACGGGAACTTGCATGGGAGGACAAGGCAGACAGCCTTTACTGGCGAGGTTCAACAACCGGTGGATTCAGCCGTAACGGTGGCTGGCGCCGCCAGCATCGCCAACACGTGGTTTCTCGCTTGAACGAGCCCGGCAAAGCCAACATCATGGCGCTGCACGACGAAGGTAACGGCCCCGTTTGGGCTCCCAAGACGGTGTCTAGGAAGGACTACGCGGAACTCATGGACGTCCACTTCTCGCACATTGGCCAGTGCGACCCTGGTGACTGCGACGCCCAGCGGGAGTACTTCAAGCTGGCACCGGCAGCGGACCAGCAGGACGCCTGGTCGTACAAGCATCTTCTCGACATGGATGGAAATGCTTTCAGCGGACGCTTCTACGCTTTCCTCCAGAGCAAGAGTATGGTGTATAAGATGGCCGTCTTCCGCGAGTGGCACTCGGATTGGCTGCAGCCGTGGCTGCATTATGTTCCCCTCTCCCTGCGGGGCGACGAGTGGCTTGAGACTATCCGTTTCTTCTCGAGCAGTGATGGAAGCGACGGCAAGAAGGTGGCTAAGAAGATGGCGGACGAGGGGCGCGACTGGGCGGGGAAGGCGTTGAGGAATGTGGATTTTGAGGCTTGGTTCTTCAGGCTGCTGCTTGAGTGAGTTTCCCACAAGCCACAATCCTCCTTTGTATGTTGAATTCTAACGACGTGTTACCAGATACGGCCGCCTCATCGACGACAACAGAGATACGATCGGATACCCCGGCCCTTGAAGACCACGCGCTTGCTTTGTTTTTCTCGTCTTCTAATCTGGTTAACTTTCGTATTCAACACGATAGAGTCGGTTTTTTCATTTTCCTCACATCGCTGCCGGCGCGCACAGCATCGTCTTGGCGTTATCTTGTTCTATTCCCTCCTTTTCTCTGTACTATCTCCCGACGTTGGCTTTGCTCGAGGCAAGAAAAATTGTCTCGTAGGTTTTTTTTTTTGGTTCGTCTTCGTCGCATTAAAGGAAAAAACTGTATAACTGGACCTGATGGGAATGACCGCGCATGGAAATGGCATAATTTTCTTCTCAGTTGGATTGGGCGAATGATGACAATTCCTTTTCGTTCGGTTTGTCTATTGGCGTGCGATGAAAGTTTTGCCGTAATGACAACCGCCGATGCGTTGGATGGTCTGTGATAGCGTGTGAATGGGAGGGGATTTGTCATGATATCAGAGTAGTATGGTTTGTTAATGTTACTTCTGCTCTTTATACCACCTTTCTTGTGACTCGCGTTCTACTTTCGGGCCATGCTTTAATAAAGTGAAAAGGTATAAAATGTATGTGAGGTGAATCACTGTATTTTTCACGTCCTTTTCACGCTGTCGAGCCCGAGTCCGCGCTTTACGGCCAACTCACATCATCACGCCGGCTTTCTCTCAGTTTCATCACCTCATAGATAGGCACTGGAGACGATGGATCCATGCGTCACATCCGCCAGCGCCTGCTTTCCACCGTGCTGCACGCAATAAGCCCTTCTTTCCGTCGTCTCTGACTGTCTTGCGGAGACCACAATTTATTGAATTTTCGTTCTCCCTAAGAGAAAAAGAAACCCAAGGCTCACGTCTGTCCCCCCTTTCCAAAATAGGAAAAACAAAAGAGAGGTAGAAAAAGTATAGAACCAAAGTTATCCTCTCACTGTCTCTCCCTCCTCTCTTCAGACTCCCATTCTGGAACCCTCTGATATTCGATATTTCCCCAAAAAAGAGCAAAAAGAAACTTAAGAGAACGAGCACAAACGCAGTACCAGTCTGTAAGTACTTATCCCATCACTGTGCAGCAAACGAATGAATCAGTAACTCACGCATTTGGGTACGCAAGAAAACGAAAAACTAGTAGGTGAAAGTACGAACCAGTAAGATAGAAAAGAGGAAAAAAGGGCTTCATATCATACAATATACAGAGTAGTACAACCTAGAAATCCCGTGTGCCATCAGGTAAGCTTAAATCAGAGCTCATAGAAAAGAAGAGAGGATGGCGATTTGGTTGGTTGATCAGTTGGTCGGCGGTGAAGAGAAGAAGAAGTTCAAAGTCGTAGCAAGCCAAAGCCGCAAGCATGCTCCAGACCAGCAAGAAGGGGAGAAGTAGAGCGAGAGACCAGACGAAACGAAAAGGGCATCTCCGGGTAACAGCCGCAAGTCAGGAGCGAACGTGTCTCGAAAACTCCGCAAAAGGCAGGAGTAAAGAAGAAAAAAGGGGAGAAACAGCTGACATGGCCGTCCACAAAAAAAAACCCCGCAAACTGCTACCGCTCCACCGTCACCTTGACGCCCTCCACCCCCTTCAACAACTGCTTCACCCCGCCGCCACCGCCAACACCAGCACCAGGCGCACCGGCACCAAACCCACCACCTCCCACCCCCTTCCCATCAACAACAACAACGCTCCCACTCCCACCATCCCCATCCACCACCACCTCAGCACCGATGACACTTCCCACGATCCTCCTAATGACCTCGAGTCCGACCTGCTCACGCACGATCCAGTGGCCAGCGCCCTCGCACACGACGACGGCGCCACCCTTGCTGAAGTGGTCGCCGATGCCCTCGAGTGCGAGTCGCCAGTCGAATGCGACGTCGTCCTTGCCGGCGACGAGCGTGGTCGGCGCGCGCAGGGCGCCCTGAGGCCCGCTAGAGCTATCGAAGAGCGAGGCGCCGACACTTAGGCTGGAGCGTCGGCTACCGCGGCTAGCGTAGCTGCCGTACAGGCCTCCAACGCTGGAACGGCGGCGGCGGTGGCGGGCGAAGCCGCCGACACCGTCTTCTCCCTGCTGCTGTTGTTGCTCGGCGGCTGATTGTGTTTTTTCTGAGCTTTGCGTCGGTGGCGGTGGAGGCGGAGGGCTGGAGAATGATGACGCGAACTTACTGCTTGTGGGCGATGTGCCGGTCGACGAACCGACGAGGGTCGAGTTGGAGCTGTCGAGAACGGAGAGCGAGAGGATCGTCTGCAGGCTCTTGGACCAGTGGCCCAGGATCAGGCCGTCGCGGTAGTAGCGTGTCTTTTGGAACCAGGCGTGGCTCGCTGAGGTGGCGCGGGTGTGGACGGTTGAAGGGTAGGCGGTTGGCGTCGAAATGTCGTTGACTGCTTGCTTTTCCGGCACGGCAGGAAGCGGTATGGAGAGGGTGGTTTTGCACTGGGAAATACCTGGACCGAGGGAGCTGGCAAGGGCTTCAGCAGCTTCCTCTATGGAGCTCCTGCCGCTGCCGTCGCTGGGAGTATTGGTAGAGGCAATGGAGTGGATTTTGCCGAGGAACCAGCTGCCAGTGAAGGAACCTAGCACTTTGGCTAAGAAATCAGGGAGAGTAAAAGCAAAAATATAATGAGACTTGCTGAGCTGTGAGAGCAACGGCCGAAGTGTTCGCCAAGAATTACGGAGAAGGCGGAAATTTAACGGTTGCTGAAGCCACGTGTGACACATGCGGCGGGCAGAGGAGATTCGTGCTTGAGCATTGGAAATCCAAAGCCTAGGCTGTTTTGTGATGGTTATAATTAGCAATTTGCGTGGATATCAAATCATATAAGACAAGTTTGGAGAAGTATTTTGAGAGTGCATGAAGTTGCGATGAGCATTGAATCAAAACATCAAGGAAAATCTGAACATAGTATAGATTTTAGGAATAAATAGAAAAACATAGCAGTCAAGAGAGCATAAAAACAATCCCAGGGACACACGAATGGTCATGAAGAGAGTACGTCCACTTACCAACACGATGCTTACGATAACGAAGTGGTCCGCCAACTGCGGTGCCTCACTAGCGAGCCTGCAGGCAACTGCACCACCCCAGTCGTGGCTCACGAGCACAACCTGACCCCTCTCGTCGACAGCTCCACCGACGGCACCGCCCTCCTCGCCGCTGCCATCCACGCCGTACTTCTCCCGCATGCCCAGCACGAAGCCCGTCACCGCCTCCAGCACGTTGTACGCGTTGTACTCGGCCAGGCTGTCGCTGCCACCATAGCCGGGCAGGTCGAGCGCCACGTACACCGTGTCTCGATCGAGGTTCTGCTTCTGCGAGAGGAAGTCCTTCCACAGGGCCCAGCTATCAGGGAAGCCGTGCAGCAAGACCACGAGGTTTGGGCGTGGGCCAGCATCCCAGGCCGAAGCGACGTAATGCAGGGTAACGGGGGATTCGTCGGGTGTGGTGAAGAAGGCGTGAGTGAAGTTGGGGATGGGAGGCTTCGAGAGGTCCCAGATGCGGTCGCGGGCTGGACGACTGGCCGTTAGCTTGTGCGTGCGAGTGGGGTTTGTGACTTATCTCCTAGCGTGATGCTGTGAAGGGGGCTGAGGACGAATTGAGGGTTGACGGAGGTAGATAAGCAATGAACAGGGACGAACCGGCAGCCAGCTCCTTCTCGGTGACCTTCTTGTGGCGGCGGCGGAAGAAGAGTGCATCGCGGAGGGCGGACAGCATCCAGACGAAACCGACCAGCAGACCGTAGCTGAGGGTGAAGCCGCGCCAGAGCGAGCGGGCCAGGTTCGACGAGGATGTCGACCCCTTCGACTCCATTGTCGGATCACGAGCCCTCCGGGTGTTGGGACTCAAATCTCGCATTCCGGTGATTTGCTGGGGGGATGGTTGGCTGGGCAGAAGCAGGGGGCGGTGGAAGAGCTACTGTGTCTGCACGGTGTATCACTCTGAGGTGGCAGTAAGGGTGGAAATGGATGATAGTCAAAGCCGAGGGCGGCACATGGCACACTGGGATAGCAATTACTCCTTCGTTCGGGGGCGGCAAAAAGAAGCTTTCCCGCTACGGCAGTATCGCGGCTTGGGCGGAGCGAACAAAGCTAGTACGCAGGGAAACAAGTAGTGGCGGTGCGAAGGGGAGAAGTGCAGCAAGCAAAGGCGGGGGCGTCAAACCGCTCTTAACATTTTGGCGCGCAAGCCGCTAGAGTAGGGCGGAGCGGCGTCCAGCGGACCACGCGCGTGGCTCTGCCCGAATTGGCAATCGTCGGGTCTCCTGCGTGTGCTGCTGGCGCGGAGCAGAGAGGACGTTCCGTGCGGAAGTGGCGGCACGCGAGACTGGCTGGGTTTGTGGTGGGTGTGGTTGCAGGCAGAGGGCCGCAAGCAGGACGGCGGCGGGAGCTGCTGCTGGGAGCTCCCGGCGGCCGATGATGCAACCCGCCCGAGCACGGGCCCGCGTCCCGCGTGTGGGGAAACGGCGCCCTACGCCTCCTTCCCTGTGTGCGTCTTTGAAACGTGATCTTCGCTGCCGTGCTCGCTGCGGAAAAGTCCCTCAGCAGCAACATACGCAACCAACACCGTCTCGGGCGTGACTGCTCCTGCAGGCACCGGCAGGAGCTGAGCCCCCTCAATCGCAACTCATCCCCGATCCCATCGATGCCATTGCCTAGCGCAGGCCATGTCACTTACCGTATCAAATCCATGCCTGCGCTGGTCACCCGCCAGTCGACCAGCTCGTCGATCGCCATGCTTACGATCCGCACGCCTCAAAACGGCCACGAGCCATCCGGCCAGCCACGTCTCGACAAGTAGTGACCCTCCGCAACGTGCTACGCATAGGGCCCGCGTAACCGTGTGTATCTCCAAGCCACCGCCGTGTGCCACTGACTTCATCCCGTTCAGCCCAGCACACCCGTGTGAATTGCGTGAAAGAACTCACGGGACTGATGCAAGGCCCCTGGATTGGTGTGCATGAAGGTAAAACAACGGGCAGCCGGCGCTGTTCCTGTCTCACGCAGTAGCAACTGCCCACGAGACACGATTTGGGCTGCTGATTGGCCGGCCAAGTTCGTCCCGCTGGGCTCCTCTCCTTTATGCTCAACAGCAGACGTCATTGATGAGATAATCTTTTTTGGTTGTGTTGAACAGATGCTTGATTGAATGACGGCATACATCTGCCCCTGCAGGGCGAGTCTGTTTGAGCAGCGCAAGACTTGGCCATGCCCAACGCCCATCCGTCAGCAGGGGTGCGTGCAGAGTGAAAAGCAATCCAAGGCCTCACGTCTCAGGTGATCACTTCGCTCTCTCAACTCTACACTGGTTGGGCTTTTGTGCTGTGAAAATCTTCCCAGCTCCCGGCCAATCACTATCAATACGGACTGTTTCTCCCCCCACGAATGCATACAGATAACCAACACAAGACGCCCCACAGCTGGCCTTTACCAATCATTGAGCGAGCCACGAGCAGCCGAGGTGCACAGAATAACTCATTCGCATTAGACCCTTGGAAGGCCATGACAGTTACCATACAAGACAAAACGAGAATACAACACTGGCGCCTGGACATGCTGAACAAAAGCCTCGGTAGAAGCATGCCAGGAAGGAGAGGATATCGGAGAATACAAGTAGCCACCAAAGCGGATTCGGTACAGAGACAGGATATAAGCAGTGAAAGTGGCTGAGCATGAAAATCCAGATGTTGCCATGAAGAAAGGTGGATGCATAAGGGCTATGCGACGCAAGCCATGCCGAACAAACACCAAAACATGAAGGAGACTTATGTATGATGCTCGGGAATGGTCAAGAGATAGAGAATCAAGAGAAATACAGGAGTGCTGTCGACGGAGAAGACTACGTAGGGGCGTTGCTTGGAAAACACTAAGAGGAAAGGCTCAGCGCGAAAGCGCCAACAATCATCACTTCGTAACAAGAGCAGGAAGGGAAGATCAGGGATGTTCAGTCGGGCTCAAAATAGCCTCCTTAACCTCCGCCTTTTTCTCAGACGTCTCTGCCTCTTCGGCTGCGGGAGGGTCGCCAAAATCCGGCTCCGAGAATAGCGCCTTCGCCGTCTCCGTTGTAGCGCTTGCAACCTCTGGTTTTGGAGCGGTCGACGCCGCCGTGGCCGTTTCCTGGGCTTGGCTGACGCCTCCAGCTCCATTGTCTTTTCGGGTCTTATCCAGTCCACGGGGGCTTCCGCTGCCCGAAGAAGGAAGGCTATGATGCTGAGCATCGTGATGGGGACGAGGGACCGAATGTTCCGGCAGCTCCCGCTTAGGGGCGTTCGAGGCGGAAGCTCGCCTGAGATGCTCGAGTTCGAGAAGGGACGAGCGACGGAGCGTCTCAAGTCTTTCTTCGGGATTCTTATTCACAGCGCTCAGTCAGCTCTCAGTTGTACAGGCGGAAAGCTTCAAACATTATGCTTTTGAGGAGACAAAAGCAGGCATAATAAGAGCTTCTCCGCCCACATCGTCTCCTCGTTCGTTCTTGACATCCTTGGCAGACTTGACCGGTGCGAGATGCGTAGGCAATTCCGGGGCGGAAGTGGTGACGGCAGGTGCACTCAAAGCAACTGATGTTGCAGCCAAGACCTGCGAGGTGGCCAACGAGCGAGAGGATGGCCGACGAGGGGGAGAACGCGGACGACGAAACAATTCAAGGTTCTCGGAACGAAAGCCGCATTTGGGGCATCCCCAAACAAATGTGCCGCTTACCCATTCAGCTTGCGATGGTACCCCTTCAGCGGCTGGCAGCTCGCCGGTCTCATCTCGTTCGCCTCCCCAAAACGTCGGTCGTCGAACGGGCGCGGGCGTTACAGGAAGACTAGGCCTCTCAACTGCACTGGGGAAGTCAGTCAAGATCAGGCTTTCACGGCGCCCACTGGCGCCATCTCCCGTGGGCGATAAAAGGTCAATGGGCTTGGCTAAGCCTTCGAGGGAGATGCTAGCAGGCTTAGCCTTCTTCGTCTGAGCGCCCATTACGGCGCGAACGTATTTCTCAATTCCAGGAACGCTATCCCAAGCATTGGCGCTGCTTTGTCCAAAGCTCTGCCAGGGATCTTCAGGAGTCTTCGGTGTGGCAGGCGAAGCAGAACCCTTTGAAGTTAAGTCTTCTCTCTCAGACGGGGGCGCTGGAACATTCTCTGCGGAAGCGGCAACCTGTGGCTCTGGCTGAGGCGACGGAAGGTCTTCCGCGAACACTCGAGTGGGTTTCGGCCTTTCACGCTCCTGTTCCCAAGGAAAGATCGCTTTCGGCACTACTCGTGGAGTAGGCTTCGACTCTGGCACATCATACCACATGTTCTTCGGAGGCTCCGGGTACGTAGCTGGGGCTTGGAAGAGCTGTCGGTCCTCGCTAAATGTATAAGTCTCCGTGGGGAAGTTTGCAGCTTCGGGCCGCGACTCTACTGGAGGGGCGGCACTGGAATATATTAGCAATGCTAGCATCTACGTCAATAGAAGGCCTACCGGGTAGCATCCCACTCCATGTGGGGCGGTGAAAACCTCCTCTCCGGCTCTGGCTCCGGATGAGGAGGGGAAGGATGCTCAGCAGACTGTGCGGGGTGCGCGGGTTGCACAGCATGCTGGGCAGGCTCGGTAAGCGAAGCTACAGCCGTCTCTGCAGTCTGAGCCGGGGTAGCTTGCTGTATCGTGTTGGGGGCGGCTTGGAGCACCCTTTCGGCGTCCACTTGTTCTGCCTGGGCTGGGGTTAACATTTCGGGGATACACGGGGCCTTACGCGACCTACCTTCTCTCTGAGATGCCTGTCGTAGACAGCCCACCACCGCGCAGAGAGCTCGCTGTAGACACCAGCGCCGCCTCCATACCGGGAGTCCCTGGTCCATGGCTTGTTCTTGCCAATGAAGTGTACCAGACTGAGCTTGCTCTTGTAGTGTCGGAACGCTGGCTCCCACTGGTACTGGGCGTTCGGGGTACAATTGTACAAGAAGCTGAGCCTGTGCCAGCCCCTGTGCTCATAGTATTGGTTGAGCAGGCCCTGGTCTGCACCGTCAAAACTGTCTCCACTTGTAGCCAGAGTCTGCAATGCCCAGTAGTCTCCCATGTTGGGGCTCAGGACCATCACCCCACTGTTGAAGCAGTCCGGCCATCCACTGTCGGGGGCGGCGGCGAAGGGCGCCTCGAGGTCGAAGAGCTCGTCGGGAGCCCGCAGGGCAACTACGTCAGCGTCGATGTAAACCAGCTTGCGGAACTGGAGCTGGCGCCAGAGCGCGATCTTGGTGAAGGTGTAGGCGAGGTCACCGCGATCCATGAGGTAAAGATTGGCAGGCTTCGGGTTGCCTACGCGCGGCACAGGAATCACATAGTCGTAAAGTTTCTGTCGTACCGGTCAACAATTGCGGTGATGAGGGCCAATGGCAGGCCAATGGCTACCTTGAGCTCCGAAACCGAGTCTGCAGACAGCGTATCTAGCGTGATGAGAGCGGCGAGTTTCCTCGTCGTACCACCATCGCGGAGCGAATGCGCAAGTACGGCGGCACCTGTTGGAGTGAGCGATATGCGCTTCGGACTCGGGCTGCGAGCTTCGCGGCGCACCTGGCATGTATGAGTCGCTCATGACGAGCTTCACGCAAGTTAGCGCAAGACAGCGGATAGCAGCAGGACAGACAACTCACCGTGCAGTACGCATCCTCGCCTTGGGGCGCCATTGCGACAGTCGATCAGGGAGAGCGGTGCGGGCGGCGACTTGGGCGGAGGCGGGCAGAGTGGGCGGTTGAGAGAATGTTTTCCCCGCCGCAGATCCACGAGCGTTGGGTGCACCTGAGCAGCAGAGCAAGAGGCGTCCAAGCAGGGCGCGGAGGGCGGAGAAAAGCTGGGGGCAGAAGAGATCACGCGGCTTGCTCAACGCGACGCCATGTCCGCGAGTTCGTACCGCGGACGTGCGTGCGAGGCGTCGATGCGGGTCCCTGTCCTTGCCTGTGCCGTTGCTAGGACGACTTTTTTTGCAGCGCTGACTGACAAGCGCTCGCGAAGCTCTGGGCGGCGACGGAAGCTTGGGCCGGCCTCAATGATGCAATCAATCGTCCCAAGAACCCTCCGCCGAAAGTCGCCCCGTCACGCCGTTGCAATCGCAGCCGCCCGTTTTATTTCCCTCGCACCCGTCCGACTGTACGAAATGCTGTGCCCGCTCTCTCCGCAGCGCGCGACCACGGGTTGTATTGCCTGTGAAGCTACACACGGACCCCTGGGCGCTTAATTAATCTCAACGTGCTGCAGCAGCAGGCATACCTCGCCACCATCCTCGAAACGTCTCTCACACAAGCCGTTCCGAGGCTTTGCGACAGCTCAATACGTTGAATATTCGTTGCTGACGGCAATATTTGCCTACACCCTGGCAGAGGATATTCTGTTCATGCAATGGCGCACACACCAACGCAATCCAGGCACACTCTGCAACTACAATCCAGGCCAGTGCAGCCTCGTGATTCAGGCGCGGGAGGCGATTCGCCACCGAGTCTCGAGTCTCGTTTACGCTCGCTCACCAGATAAACGGCACCATCCTCGCCCGTCTCTCCACTGTCTCGCTACCAAATTTCGTCGCATACCATTCCTTCGTTCCAGCAGCCGTCACACCCAAATTCACACCTACAAAGACCACCGCACACAGCACTGTCTTGTTGACCAACTGTCCCACCGGCGCAGCTACAATTGACAAGGCCAGGTAGATGAGGCACTCGAACGTGTAGTGTGGGCACACGATGTAGCGGAAAGCCCCTTGGGTGGGCAAAGTGTACTTTCGCAGGCCAAAGAGGTAGGCGTGGGCATTGTGCTGCTGCTTGGAGGCCCAAAGAAAAAGCAAAGTGCCGCCGACCAGCCGCAGGCCCAGCAACGGTGGCCTGATTTCGCTGCCGTCAACCGACGCTTGCAAAGCCGGAGCCCCTTCGACCCAGATGGCAATCGACATGGCGCCATAGAACAGAAGACCCAGCAGCCAGTGCGTGATCCACATCTTGGAAGAAGAAGGGCGCGACAGCGCGGCGGACTCGTACAGACGTCGCGAGCCTTGTACGAGCATAAGCAGCCAGGCTAGTTGGACTTGTGCCACAGACATGGTGGCTGTACGATGGCCGGCGGCCTTGCTGGCGATGAGTTTCAGGAGGGCGCCATCAGTGGCATGCTGCTCCGCCCAGAAGATGGAGCCGAGCACGGACAGGACGTAGAAGTGGGCGAACCAGGCGTGCGGGACGCGGTACGTGGCCAGGTGGTCGAGCAAGGCGGAAAGCGCATTGCGCGTTGGTGAGGCTGGGGCTGCGGAGGTGTTTGCTGCGCGCGAACCGTAGGCGAGGAAGCGAGAGCGAAAGGCTGGGACGGCGTCGACGGCGAGAACCTTGCGCGTTGGGCGTCTGCGTCAGCGAACAGCGGTCTGCAGCGGTGGGCAGGCTGCGCAAGCGAAAAGGACACGGTGGATTACAATCGAGGCTGCGGTGAGGAAAAGGGACCGCAGAAGAAGGACGGGCTCGAGGCGGGCGACCAGCGGGTGCAGGAGCGGGGAGGCCATGCCGGTCTCGCGCTGGGGCTGGGGGAGTGATAAGCTAAAGGCTCTGCGGTGTTTCGTGACGCTGTTCAGCGGGCTGTCAGAGCGTTAATGCCTCAACGCATCCTATTCGCGCCGGCGCGCTCTCGCAGCAGCCGTCGCAACCGCGCTCTTCCTCGCGGGCTCAGGGGCAGGGTGGCGATAAGGTGATCCCGCCGGTGGGCGAGGCCAGCGTGTCGCGCGTCCGTCAGGCACCGCGGGTATCACGAGTCGAGGCGGTTTTGTGCAGCAGCCTGCATTATGTCAGCACCCGGCCCGTGCTGGCCGCCTCCTCTCTGTCTCCAGCCAGCGGTCGCGCTTCCTCGCCTTCGCCTTCCCACACCTCCCACGCCTGCTCCGTACCGCTCTTTCCTCACCACCACCTCCCTCCCCGCCCCCGACGACACCCACACGACGCACCGTCCATCCCACCACTCCTCCACGTGCTCCCACGCGGCAAGCTGGCTGAAGTGCACGCCCAGATCGCCGTCCGACAAGCACTCGACGCGCACCGGTCTGCTGAGCAACTGGCGCCCACGGTCATCAGGCTTCACCCGGGCCCCCTCCAGCATGAGGCAGGCATCACCTGTAATCAAAAGTCCGTGATGAGCAGTAGCGCTGCTGTCGCTGACCACTTGCCGCCGCCGAATCCATCTGGCAACGGAGAGCCGCAGTCGGTGCAGCCTTCCCTCCATCGAATCCGGTCCCCAGCGCCTCCATCGTCCCCCCCACTCACCGACAAGGACAGCAAAGCCTCCCACGTTCGCAATGGGAACCATGGACGAGATGCTCATGCCGAGCAGGATGAATCCGAGGCGGAGACGGTCGTCTTGTCTGGGCCCGAGCATGACGAGACGAAGAGGCCGAAGAAGGTAATCAAGCACGAACGCAATGACGATGACGAGGAGATGCGCGACATTCCATCGGCCAAGTCTCTTTCCGATGGCCCAAAGAACCACCCCACTCGCAAAAGTCCTTACCCACTGGCCCCTCCAAATGGCGTCCCCGAATCCAAGCGTAACGGTACCAACGGCCGCGAGCGTGCCCAGTCGCACGAATACGGCCATTCCAGTCGCAAGGCTTCTTCAGCTTTCTCCAGTGACCATGACTATCCTCACAAGAATGTTTCATCCGCCCGGAATCACTCTCACTCGCCCCCTCTCGGTCATGACTCACGTGCAAGAAGCTCATCCGCTGCCGATACGCGGAAACGGAAAGTACGAGAAAATCAAGCTGATTTGGAACCGCCCCGGCAACGGCACAAGACCGAAGCTCTCAGCAAAAACTCCAGGAATCCAGCCTCGCCCATCGCTGCCGGCATCAAAGTTCACAGGAGATCAGCTTCCACCCAGTCTCTTGTGCAAAACGCCCATGGCCGTAGGCGGCGTGAAAACACCCGCCAGGACAAGGATTGGGTCTCAGATGACAGCGAAGAATCAAATAATTCCTCGCCCCATCCTCAGTCCAATGTCCCGCCTCTTTCACGGCCACGGCGAGGAGCCACGAGGTCCATGACTTCTCCGGTCCGGAACATGCCCCCGGCGAAGAAGAAGGATGCGTTTGGCGCCACGCGGTTGTTACGTTGTTGCGAGAAGGGCGACTTCAATGCGGTCAAAAACGCCTACGAAGCATCCCCAGACGAGTTGGACGCACCAGATTATGCTGGCGTCACTCCGCTGCAAAAAGCTTCGTTGAATGGGCACGAAGACATTGTGGAGTTCCTTCTCGACAAAGGCTGTGCAACTGATGGTCATGACTGGTTGGACCACGACACACCACTCATCGACGCAACGCAGAATGGCCATGTGGAGGTTGTCAAATTACTCCTATGGAAAGCTCGCGTGGATCCGACGTACGAGAATAAACATTTCAAGACGGCACTTGCACTTCTGGACACAACCATCGACGAGGCTGACGAGATCAAAGCTGAACTGGAGAAAGCAATGTCGGAATGGAAGAAGGAAAAGTCGGAAGATGAGTCGGAGAGTCGAACGCCCAAGAGCGTGGAAGAATCAGTAGGGCCAACTCTGCTACCGAACGAATACAACACCGAGGTTCTCCGCATCAAATCCGAGCAAGGAGACAAACGAGCTGTGGACGAATTGCTCGCTTCTGGAATCATGCCAAACGTCGCGTGTGGCGTTGCAGCGGCACGTGGTGGACATGACGAGATTTTGAGTTTCCTGCTTGCAACTGGACTTTCTGCCGATCACCGCGACCCTGCAAAGCATAACGAGACGCCAATGCTGGTTGCGATCAAGAAGGGCCATCTCAACGTCATTCGGCTCCTGTTGGCCCAAGATGATTTTGATCCAACGAGGAGAAATCGTGACGGGCTGACGTATTGGGAGTTTGCCGATGAGTTCGACGGTCCGAATGCGAAGGAGGTCCGCGATTTACTAAAGGAAAAGTACGACGAGCGGATGAAGACCAAGCCGAGACGGTTACGAAGTCCGGAGATGAAGCGAACGGATCCCCGGAGCCCGCGCAGGAAAACCATCGATCACGACAACTCTAAACGAACACACGAAAGGGAGACCAGGGGGAGGACATCCGAAAAGAATGCAAACAAGCACAGCACAGTAGACAACCACGCCAAACCCAAGAAGCGTTTGATTTCTCGTAGAGAACTCAACAGGCAATCGCGAGACAGCACGTCGGAGGACTCAGACGAGGATGAAGAGGAAGTTCGCGGCCCAACCCGCAACGTGCGGAGAAAGACGGGGCACACTTCGAAGGTCATCAGAAGCTCACCGCATCCATCGTCACCGGAACAAGAGAGATCCGAGGCACGTCCAACACCAAGCAAAGCCGTGAAAGCTGAACCCAAACCCGAACCGGTGCCTGAGGCGGAGCCGGAGCCGATCAAGGAAGACACACCGGAGAGTGTGAGACAAGAACGCTGCCTTGAGGCGGAGCGGAAAGCGGCAGCCGAGAAAGCCCGGAAAGAAGAGGAGGAGAAGGAAGCGGAGAGAAGAGCGGAGGAAGAACGGGTTCGGCTAGAAGCGGAGAAGGCACGATTGGCTGCCGAAGAAGCTGAGCGTGCCCGACTACAGGCCGAGCGGGAGCGGATACAAGCCGAGCGCGAACGACAAGAACGGTTAGAGAAGCTCCCGCGGGCGTTGAGACGGGCGTGCGAAAAGGGAGCAGATCGGCCACTTCGCTTCAACTTCTCGACGAAGGAAGGCGGCATCGAGTACAACTTCCTGCCGGTACATGTTGCCAAGAACTCGGACATCGATCCGGATTGCTCAGAAGGACGGCGGGATGAGCTTTGGATGATGAGCTTTCAAGTGGTTGGCATTCTCGGGCTTCCGGAACTCGACGTCAGGAAAGAATTCGAATCGTGGGAGTGGAAGCCCGTGTCGACCAAGCAGCTGCACGGCTTTCTCGAAACGTACGACATTTCGCAGCTCGCGGAAGACTTCCTGTTCGAGCGGCAGAACTGGCCGGGGTACAATCCCGAGCAGCAGAGCACGAGGATCCAGGAGGAGAAGGCCAAGTTCTTGCAGCTGGAGCCGCTTTTGTGGGTGCGGTACGAGGATTTCGTGTCGGCGACCAAACTACCAAAGTTCCAACATCTGGAGAAGCTGGAAATGCGAACGGCACGGGCAAAGGTCAACTCGACTTCGACGCCGCCGCCGACACCGCGGAGCTGGACGGAGGCGTTATTCGGCATCAAGCCAGGACCGGACTTTGAGAGGAGAAGCAAGAGCCGGTCAGTGTCAGTGTCTTTGAGTTAAATGGTTTGGCTGGAGTTTGGCGGATTTGGGTGGGCAATGCATCTGGGAGGCGCCATGTAGGGGACCTGAAACTACTACTGTTCATGTTGTGTATGTTCACGAACGCGCTTCGTTGCAATGTTATGGCAAATCCCGAAGACCGAAAGTTCCATATACCCTATAGCCGATAGTAAATACATACTTGCTGTCACGGTTGTGTCATGGCGGTCGGAGCTAGGGGGTATTGATACGTTACTTTTTATAGCGTACCAGCGAGTAAATATTCTAGGCCGCTCTCAGCCGCCCTTAGGGTGCCGCAGAAGCAGTCGACACGTGATGGGGAGGTGGCAATTCGTCTGGTTTGACTTCAGTGTTTGGATGAGCGTCGGCCACGGCTCCAGTGCAGCAGGCCAATGGGAGGTGCAGAATCCCAAGGAAAATCGCTGTGCAGCGGCTGACGGCCGCCAAGACCCCTGCTGTTCCGACCTTCCTCGTCCTCACTCGCTTCCTTTTTCTCGGGCGGGCTGCGTCGTTGGTGTTGCACGGCCTGAGGCCAAATGCGGGGTTGCTTATCGGCGACCAGTCAAGCGGCAGAGTATGCGGCTGCCTGCACGCAAGCAAGGGCGATGACAGCACACGCCATCTCAGGCAGCGACTTTTTGGCACTGTCATAACCAGTCTTCGTCCAGCCTCATGTCCGGCTACCAGCTGTTCCTCTCTGCGACGACGGCACACTAGCCTCCATACCGAGGGTGCGTCATGGCCACACCGAACCAATCTCCCCCCGCCACTGCGGCGGCGAAGCAGCCGCGTGTCTCGGATGAGTCGGCAGAGACGACTCCTTTGCTCGGGAGTCCTCTACCGCCGCCCGCCTACCCGAGCATCATTCCTCACGACGACGACAACAAAGACGCTGGGCCGTCGCGGAACCAGGCGGACTACGACCTGGGGCCGTCAAAGGATCTCGAGAACGCCGGCATCCACCCCGCCGCCGTGCACCTGCACCACCGCCCGGCCAGGCCGTGGTCTCAGGGGAAGGTGGTGAGGCTGCTGTTGATCGCAGCAGCCCACGCCGTGCTGATCTGGTTGATATTGACTGCTACATGGGGGGGCCGCTCGTCCAAAAAGGTACTTTGACTAGCTGATAATGGGTCCACCTTTTCTTCCAATCCATCGCCCCGCGCTGAAACCAGATAGAGCAACGTGCACAATGACTTGCCGTATTCGGAGACGCCTCACATGCCATATTACTGCCACGAGCTGTCGCGTTCGCACACCACGACCCACAGCTTCGACGAGCAGCTGGACGAGCTGCGCATCGTCGAGCAGATCCGCCAGCACCGCGATGGCTACCACGACATCCACGGGCTGATCAAGCTCGTCCCCGCGTCCGACGACAGCAGCAGCAGCGATGGGATCCGCGTGACCGTGAGCATCCAAAGCAACTTCCCAGACGACGACGACATCGCCATCGTCAAGACGGACACGAGCCTCATCCTGCAGAGCACCCGTGCAGAGAGCCCAAACACTTGGCACGAGCGCGCCTGCACCGTCGTCGACGTCACCGTGGCTGTGCCCGCCGGTACCACGCTCGCCGCCCTCGCCGTCAGCGCCAACTGGCTCTCGCTGCACCTGCACCCGCTGCTGGACTTGACCATCGCCGACGGGTTCAACGTCGAGCTCGGCGCCGGCAGCGTCGCGTCCGCCGTCGCGCTGCCCAGCCGCCGCACGTACATCTCGCCCGCCTACGGCTCCGTCCAGGGCGTGTATGCACTGCTCGACTTGCTTGAGATCGACGCCGCGGCGGGTTCGGTTGATATTGAGGTTCGTCCTGGCGAGGCTGATCCTGAGAACCCTGCGCCGGCGGTATTTAATGCGCGGTCGAAGGCGGGGTCTATAGCGGCGCGCTTCCCGACGAACGAGGAGGAGGATGATGGTGCGGGATTGCCGGACCGCGATTACCAAGTCGATGTCCAGACGGAGGCGGGTAGTATTATGGGTCGGTATGTGCACGGGTCGCGGTCGTCGTTTGAGTCGAAGTATGGGAGTATTACGGTGACGGCGTTGCCGTTTAAGCCTGCAGAGGCGTCGGTGCTGCGGGCGAAGAATGAGGCGGGGCAGACGATGTTGGATTTGTTGGTGCCGCTAAAGGAGAAGGAGGGGAAGGGGAGAAAGGAGGAGGAGGGTGGACCTTTTGTAGACTTGACGGCCGAGTTCACGTCGACGGTCGGATCGGTCAGAGCGGTTTTCCCGCCCGAGTGGGAGGGTACGGCGGATGTGGATACGGCGGTTGGAAGCTTGCGGGTTGCTGGGGAGGGGTTGGAGATTGTGAAGGAGGGAACCCACGGGCCGGTGGGGAAGTGGGTGCAGGCGGTTAAGGGGGAGGGGGAGTCGACCGTTTTGATTAAGAGTAAGGTGGGGAGTGTGGAGTTTTTGGTGCAGGAGACGGTGTGATGGGTGTGAGTATGGTGAGGGCTGAGGCGGATGTTTGGTAGATGGGCTTTCGGGGGATGGTTGTTGTAAGCTGCCAGTAGGGTGCTTGTTCTTGAGTAAGTTGTGGGTTTGGGTATGCTAAGCATGTCTTAGCTGGAGAGTGCTCTACGTCTCCATGTTACTGATATGTTATTCGACAAAGATTTTCTTGTAGTAATGCTGATACTGCACGTAACCACGACTATCATATAAATTACATTGAACATGTTCCATTCTTTATTTCTGCGAAGGGCAAAGAAAGGTGATAGATCTTCCGGGATCACTGGTGGTCTCAAAATAACTCAACACCACTCACAACGGTCGTCAACTTTCCTCATCGTTAAGCAAGAAAAGATTAGACAGTGCGAGCAGCTATCTAAGCCCCCCATCCCATAGCATGAGTCCCTATTTTGACTATCCCAATCTGATCGTCTCGGTTTTCGTCACCACTGAACGGTGCTGAGGAATGCGCATGATGCCAAATCTTTCGTAGAAACCACCCTCCTCGTCCCAGACCATGATCAGGATCTCAATTTCATCTGGCCTTTCCCGGGGCCAACCAACTGTCAATCCTTTGCATTGAATGTGCTGGCGGGAAGTCGACAGACACATATCATCTTTTGTTACGAGTTTTGTTACCTCGCACTCATGGACCCTCTCTATACCATCTGAAACAAGCATCGCCTGCCATTCGCTCCGATTACCATGAAGATTCTGATCAACAAACGGCAACCTCTCGGATGGGCCAATGCAAATATCGATGACTCTAGCAGTAATGTTCAGGATCTTGACAGAATCAAGAAGCTCATGTTGCGCTCGGAGAAGGTCCGGCAATTGGGTGTGGTGGATGATGTCCCTGTCGTATGTCTCTACTGAAGCCAATCTAAGGCCATTCTGTATCGTTTCGCTTCTGTCTTGTACTTCAGGTTTTAGCCAGCCTGTCCAGGACCAACTGGGGAAACCTCGGCGACGTGGGACAGGTTGGGAAATTCCCCAGATCAGTGATTCCGACAATGAGTTTTCTATCGATCGCCAGCGGGCGCCAGGGACTAATGTCACATTGAGTCCGCCGATGTGTCGGAAATTTTCCGTGTTCTGGGACCAGGTGGAGAGAATTCCACTCATGGCATTGAGGGCATCCTCCGGATAGCTTAAATCTCTTGAACAGTATGCGGATACTGTTTGCCAATAATTATCCCGGCCGAGAAAAACCCATTCAGTCCCAAGTCGTGTAGGCTCGCAAGGAGAGATTCGTTCGCTCTGGGCCACGACGTGGCTTTGAAGATGCACTTGGTCATCCAAGAAGATGCATATCCTTCTTGACAATATACCCTCCTGCAAAGTCCAGCCTCTCTTCGCCCATATCGAGTCTGTAGTCTGCTGAGCCGATCTCTTGAGGTGCGATCTTATGTCATCGATGTACGATAGCTGCCTTGCCCCGACACGAATCGAATGGCCCACTGATGTAGTAGCTGACCGAGGGGTGCTGCTGACGCCTGGAAGTCCGTATTCCGGACCGCATCCCGCAGCCGCTACGATGGTGAACTGGGAAGAAAAATATATTCGATGCATCGAGCGTATGAGCGCATGTTTATGGGATTCTTGGATGCAGTATCGATCCACCCATAGATAACGGACTCCCAACTCCCGACACACAGTGATGGAATCCTCTATAGTCAACGGGAGACGGTCGGGAAGCTTTCCATCTGTTGAGCACGGCGCCCCAGGTTGACCCCAGACATACGAGAGCGTTGCGTATTCGGGGTGTGCGGATGGAAGAGGAACGATCTCTCGAAGCTCGCAGTCGATGACTCTCATGCCAGGTAGATCAAGGGGAGGCACATGTGGCCCAGAGTGACGACGACAGTCGCTAAGCCAGCGTCGCAAACGATCAAAGTCTACGGTGTGGCGTGGTAATCCAAATTCAAAACCAATTTCGCCTGGTTCGAGATCTCGATTTTCCACAATAACCCGAGGCGTTGCCGTCCTAGTCGATATTGCCTCATTCTGAATGTAGTGAGTTTCCCTCCCGACCAACCAGACGGGATGGCTTGGTTCCATAAGACGAGGCTGCCGTGAACCTAAGTTGATCCGAAAATCCACGCAGATGAATTCCGGGCTGACTCCTTCCAGAGAGAAGCGCTTATCAAGCTCATCTGTCGGTTTGACATCTTCGAGTTTGAACAAAGAGGCGATCGCGAGGCACAAGCGGCAACGGCTGTCCGGTCGAATCTCGAGTGTTGATCGAAAATTTAACACCGTTCGCGTTTCCCATTGTTTCTCATCTGGTATGGGCGCGAAGGCGGCGTCCCAGTCGACGGAGCGGCACCGCTGGCAGAGGTATGATTCTTCCATGGTACGTGGAAGCAGATACCTTGCGGCTGCGGCTGCGAGAGCGGAACACTTGAGTAACCTAGGGAGGATGGGAGGTGGTGCGGGGTGGCGAGGCTTGATGTTGCAATCACAGTCAGGCTGTCGGATAGCCCGAGGCTGAGCTGTGTCACCCGAGTAGGCAGAAGCATTCCCTGCATGCTGGCCCCGCACCAGAGACTATGCTCCGGACCAATCAAAATCACCTGCTCGGCAAGTCAGGGTGTGGGTAAGGAAAGTGGATTTTTGCTGCCGTGGGCCGGAAAGCGCGGGTATATAAGGTCATTTCACGGAAACAGGTATGATGCGTATAAATTCACTGGCAACCACCTGTTAAATGATTCCTTCAGAACGACAGCTTTCAATTACCAGTATAAAGCAGTATGAGGGGCCATAGCTTGCCTAACATGTGCGTCCTGTACAGTCCCCTCTCGCAGCCGATGGCTAGCTTGGGTTTGTTTTTTTTGTTCATGTCATGGGTAGTTGAAGCTATCATCCGGACGAGAATGTAGAATTTTTAATTCGACATTCTCGTCCGGATGATAGCTTCAACTACCCACATATGTCATATGTTATTTTTGTAAGGCAGACCTGGGGCATAATTACGCTATGTTCTGGAGCCCTGCCATTCTTCATGCTAGCCATCGGCTGCGATACCCCTCTGTAGCTTACGAGTTGCCGGGGATGCATTTTCGTGCTGAGGATTACGGGTACGACGGTGGTTTGCTGCAAATTTTAGAATTTGGGGGCGATTTAGAGCTGCATGCAGTGCTCCCACTAGCAAGTGAAGAGGAGCTTGTGTGACTTCACGCAAAATGTAACCAACAGAGACACTGAGCCAGCGACAATAGTCAATAGTAGAGAAACTTACATATAGAGTGCACACTAAGAGCAAAGCTTTCACGGAGGGATGCTCGCTGTTGTCTCTGATACTTTTTGTCATGGCCATAGGGGAAGGTCGAAGATCAATAAAGTACACAAAGGCTATGACGAGCTGCACGCCGGTCAGCTCTGCGCCAAATTTGAAAGCTCAAATGTATGGTATAATCTCAGGGGTAATGACTGTAGACGCATATGTATATGACGTTGAGAGGTAACAACGCTAGAACTATAAGGAAGAAGGTTCTCCAGTTGTATGGTCTCAATACTTCTCATATTCCGAATATGCCAGCCTCGCTCTGACACCTCCACCATCCGACCTCGCATAAGCCAGTGCTAAATCAATACTTCACTTACCTTCTCGGTCTTCCGAGCAAAGATGAACCCCCCAACTTATTCAGATGATAGACAGCTTTCTGTTTCTGCCGTATCGTCCTTGACCGATGAAACTGAAGGTTCCCGGGCAATCGAGCTGTCTAACATCAGAAGGGATCCACCTCTCACTTCAGAAGCATCGGAACCGTCTCAACGGGTATCTGCGGAGTCCAGAAGGGCCGCATGTCCAGAGCCGGGAAGTTATCTTGGGCTACTCGGTCATGAGGACGCCAGTGAAAGGCACTTGGCTGAGGGAATTGAGAGTCTGGCCAATACTCTTGGTTCATTCGGGACACTTGTTGAAAAGAACGAAGCTACTCGTCCAAGATCAGGCCTGTGGAAGCGTCAAATGCTCGTTGATCGCTCGCTTCGGGGCATGACAGGGCTGATGACGGCATACGCAGTTGTTCTAACTGTATCCTGCGTTTCACTGTTGCCTGCCTTCATTCGGAACATGAGCATCAACCCCAATTCGTCCTCTATCAACATTTCCCATGGTCAGTGCTCCACCATGGCACATAAAAGCGAGGTACTTAGGAGAATCGTTGGCTACTCCAGGTGATAATTAACGCCTTCTTCAGGTTCTCAAGATATTCATCAATGTTGCCGCTACCACGGTTCTTGGCATGTCGAACATTTATCAACAGCTTATTACTGCCATCAATATCAATGATTTGCCTTACGTGCTTGGCAAGTATGGCGACGCCAGGGTCGGAACAAATTCTCCATTGGCCATCAACTACAAACGTAATGGCCGGATCCGCTCATGGATTTGCTGGTTGCTGTTAATATGCACGTCTTTGGTAAGATCAGTCCCGAATGGGTGCAGTAGAACCGCTCAAAGCTCACAGTTATCAAATACTTACATTTCAATAGCCGGTTCATTCCCTGGCGAACTCCCTCACGGTTTTCTGCATGGATCGTCCCGCTCTCAAAATCGAAAGAGAAGCTGTTGCCAATTCCACATTCATCCCTTTTGAAGTGCATCCACAGACCTGTTTATTATATCTCAACTCCACCAAGGGTAACTCTTCCCCTTTCAGTAAGAGATATTATAGCGAGTTTGTGGATGCTATAATTGCTGTTCGGCTCTGTTCGCTGCAGCTTTCATCAGAATGTATGCTTGATGTGGGGGATAGCCACCGTCGCCGAGTTACACATGAGTGTCATCAGCATTGCGAGAATCCAGAAGTCTCGAGCACCGGTCACGAAAATGGTCACTGCCGGAAGTGTACCAAGTTTAACACTACCTCAGAACTCGAGACGTCTTCCACTCCTGCACGGGCAACGAAGCAAAAACGGCCTTTGATATCTCATCTCGGGCAGATGGGACTCGTTCAGCTGATCGTGCTTTGCTCATTGTCAGCAGTAGCACTCGCACCCGCAATGCTTATCGTTGGCATCCGCATTCTTGAAGGAGACTGGAAACAATTGGCTGAAGGTGATGACACGCCAATAGATGTATACAACCTTGGGGTTGAGTTTCTGGTCATGTGCGCCACAAATTTCCCCCAATTCTTCTTCTCGATTCTTTACCTCAATCTGATATACAATCTCACGCTCATCAATATGGAGTACGAATGGGGAAGAATGGAAACAAAAAGCAGTCGCTTACGCTGTTCACTCGTCGTTGGTAAACAGTTCGACCAATCATACTACCTCAGCCTGCCGAAGAAGGTTCTCATTCCCACGATGAGTTTCAGTGCTTTGGTACACTGGATCGTCTCTCTGGCGTTTCAAGTTACAGAAGAGCGTTACTACACCTCGACTGGCTACGAAACGCAGAATACGGTAAGTCGCGGCTTCACTTCGATTTACAGGAAGTACTGTTAACGGTCAAATGTACCAGATTGCCATCAACGCGGCTGCATGCGTTGGCTGCACTGGCCTTTTACTTCTCTTCGCTATACTGTGCTGGGTAGCTTTGAGTTATAGGCGCAATGGTTTCATACCTTCAATGTTTGGCTCAGTCAGGGTACTCTGCGCTGCAGCCGGTGAGCTGCATGACATTCCGGAAGATGGCCACGTCAAGCGGGGTGATTGTAAGTTACCTCACCAGCCGGAGTTTCGATTATTCTAACATTTCTGCAGTGGGAGAGGGCCCATTGTACCGCCGTGCGGGGCTTTCGGGTGGTCTGGTGGGGGAGATTGTGCCGGAGGAGCTGTACGCAGGGTGTTCTTCACAGGCGGAAACTGACAGCGCGTAATAATTGTCTATTCACAAGCCAACCGCCAAATCGAGCTTAGTTTGTTCTTTCGCTGCCGCTCCTTCCTTTGAAGACCAATCACATGACTCACGTCGTCAAACGCTGGTAATATAAGCAATCTCTTCTGCACCCACCCAACCTTTCCTTCTTCCTTACCACTCTGCACTTCGACTTGCACATGCAGTCCGTGAGCCTCGATCCTGAACTCTTCGAACTCTTCCAAGCCATCAATGATCCACTCCAGCGCTTGGATCAAACCCCACAACCTTTACTGAACACGGGTGACGGCTCTCACCTTGGACAGACCTGAAGATGCCAGACCAGGGCGGTCGCCCCACACTCCAAAAGGTACCGCCTGTCACCCAGCGTCACTTCTGCTCCTTCCGCTTACCGTTGCACAGTCTCCAACCTCACCTGCTCCCGACAATGGCCCTGTAGATGGCAACATGGTTATTGCCCGCCCTTCCAGTGGTTCCGTCAAAGGCCTGCTGGATTTGCCGGCCGAGCTCTGCCTACGCGTCTTCGATTTCCTCCCGAATCAGGCCCCGGCGGACCTGGCCGCCCTTGCACGAACTTGCAAAACGACCTGGTGGCCAGCAGCGAGAGTTCTGTACAGGAATATCATACTTAGTCCCGAATTGGACAGAGACAAACACAACTGCAAGAAGCTCCTGAGCTTCTTACGGCTGATCCACACCCTCTTAATTAGTGATAAGCAGTACTTGACCATGGTGGAGCAGATGCGCATTGAGATCGCGGAACCGACTTTCCTCAGCGATTTGATCAATTACACCTCGACAAATGCCAAATACTTTTCTGACCTTGAGCACCTCAGTACGAGCATCAGCATGGAGATCGACCAGACGATGGGAAGGATTTGGAGTAATGTGTTGGATTGGAGGGATGCAGTAGACCTGATTCTCCAGAGGTCCCCGAAGCTACGCCATATCGATATTGTTGGAGATGTAAAACAGACTGAATGGGAACTCCAGCTCCATCTCTACCGGAAACTAGAGATCATCTACCTGCATGGCACTAAGGTACTCACTCTGCAAGGGCTAGCTGACTTGGCCCTTATCCCAAACTTGAAGAGCTTGCAGCTATTTTCAGTGCGAGGTCAGTTACACCACTGGCCAGTCACCTTTTCAGCTGTCCCACAAGCACAATTTCCGTCACTAGTGCACTTGAAGATCCTGGGCTTTCCGGTCATAGCAACATATACTCCCGACCTTCTCACGATGGTACCAAAACTACGGTCTCTGGAACTCCAATGGATTTACGACCCTCGAGATCAGACATTTGATTCTCCCACGCCGCTCTCATCCATTCTCAATGGTGCACACAGCTCACCTACAAGTCCAAGGCCCCGGCTAGACAAGACCCTTGAAAGGTTGCGCGTATATCCGATCTGGCCATGTATGGACAATCGGAGGTACTATGTACAGTATGCCAAGAAGTGGGACAAGAATTTCTTCGGTTCTCTCAAATTCCTGCGAAGCTTAAAGCTGCTGGAGATTCCATTCATAGTACCTGTCCACAGGATCATTCATTCACTGCCAGAATCTCTCGAGGAGCTCCATCTGACGGACGAGAACTTATTTCGCTTGGATCTCGGCGAAGATCTCGAACGTATTTCTGCAGTCTTGTCTCAGCTGGGTCCGACGGCTGGTCTGCACAACATGAAGGCAGTATTCCTCAAGTTCCGCCGCCTCGACCCCAGCAACCTCTGCCAACACATCATGGACCGGATGAAGGGCATCTGCCAGGAAGCTGACATCAAACTCAATATCGTACTCAACTACGTCCCCGAAACGGAATGGGGCTTGAAGGAGAACTGATGATAGGGAGGCACCTACCAACTTGAGCTTTCCGACGAGATCCTGATATACACGAAAGACTCAAACAGCCCATTCCAATCGACAAGGCCCATTCAAAACTTTCCTTTGTTTTCTTTACTGATTTCATCGGGTATGCCTTGCACATTCAGGTTTACACGGCGAAAAATTTGGCTCGGAGGGCAAAAAAAGAGGCACCCACATTCGTGAAAATTTCGAGCATGGCTGCGTAGACCTAGGACTCTGACGGAAGTGGCGCTCAAGGTATCCAGTATTGCAGGTCATTTCATTGCACTTTAAAAGGAGTCAGCCCAAAAGTATGGTAGCAGGTAGCACAGGATAACAATGGAGTTCAATATTCAACGGACAGAAGCATTTTCCACGTGCAAGCGCAACCATCAGCGTTTTAACGACTAAGTGTGCTCTCTTACTATAAGAGAACAAGCACCAGGAGAGGTATTCTGCTTACATTACAATAGTTTCATGAACCCCGTCCAAAGGCCATGCGAAGTGAATACGCCATCGGGATCAACAGCCCTCTGGATCTCCTTCAACCGCTGCACATTCGCCTCGCCATATCCCGCAAAAACCTCTTCAGCCTCCCCCTTCCGCGCGTAATTGATGTAACGATACGGATGAGCCACTCCCAGCTCCTTCGCCGCCGACTCGATCCGGGCAATGGTGTTGGCCGACATGGTGAAGACATCCGCATCTTCCTCCGCGCTCGACCAGCCGGTGGAGACCAGGAACACTTTTTTTGAGACAAAGTCAGCGCATCCGTGGACTTGGGAGTTTCCGCAGAATCCTACTTACCGAACAATGGCTCGTCTTGGTCGATGCCCAAGGCGTTGCCGCCTCGCTGCCTCATCGCTGCGATGGCGTTCGTTTGTATAGGGTAGCAGATCAGGACAGGATGCAGGCCCGCGACTGTCTTGATGGCGGTTATCTCCTCCCTGAAGATTTGTATGGCTTGGCTGAGTAGGGCACGAGAGGGAAGGCTGCTCGTTGTGTCGAACAGGTGGCTGGAATTGGCATTTGGCGTCAGTGCATTACGTGACAAGGCTCTCGAGCTCACTACAACTTACCGAACGGTGCCCATTTCTCCACCGGGGCCGACCACGTTAGGCATGGTGTCAATTTGGGTGGTTCTGGAGAGAGCGGGGATCTGGTTGATGGCCTGGAACACAGCTGGACTTTTAATCGGCTTGGCATACCGCTGGGCGCTGTCGACCATGAAAGAATCGCTGGTTTGGTTGTATCTGAAGTAGATCTCATAGCCCATATCCACATCACTGGTGAGCTTCGGGTCCGCGAAGAGGTCGAATACCCGGTCGAGCACCTGCTCGGTCTGGTCGTCGCTGTACACGACTCTGGCGTTGAGCACGGGTCCCTGTGGGAAGGTGCGGACGGTGAAGGTGGTGACGATGCCGAAGTTGTTGCTTCCACCCCGGAGCGCGAAGTAGAGGTCCAGGTTCTGGCTCTCGGAGGCAGTGGTGATGGTGCCGTTGGCGAGAACGACCTGGAGTTATGGATGTCACTTTACCCGTTCAACCTTGAATTTAACAAAAGGAAATACATGACGTGAAAGGCCTTACCTCGTACTCGTAGACGTTGTCCAACGCCCACCCATATCTGTTAGACAGCGCAGACCTACCACCACCGAGCGTAAAGCCCCCAACGCCAACAGTCGCAACCAAGCCGCCCACGAAAGAGAGATCATACCGCTCAAGCGCTCGATACACCTGCAACAAAGTCGCGCCACCCCCGACGCGCGCACTCGCCTTATCCGCGGCGACTTCGACCGCGTTCATCCGGTCAAGGTCGATCGTCACGCAGCCTACCGAGTTGGAGTCGTCTGGGTGCCGCGAGTGGCCGCCGCCTTTGACGGCGAAGCGGCACCAGTTGCCCACCAGGATTTCGAGCACTTGGGCTACCTCGGCGGCGTTGGAGGGCTCGACGCGGCATGCCGGACGCACTTCCTGCTGCTTGGCGTCCCAGATCGTGAAGTTGCGGTCGTTTTCTGGATAGTGGAGAACGGAGCCAAAGGACGTGGAAAGTTGAGAGCACTGAGGGAAAGTCAGAGGTGATCGTGAGAGCGGATGAGAAACGTACAGCCCGATCGCAGCCGTGTGAAATGGCGTCATTCGGGTAATTCTGGATTCTTAACCCTTGGAAATTGAGTACAGAGGCATTGGTGAAGGCGATTCCAGCAAGGATTAAAGCGAGTGAAAATAGCGTTGGAGGCATGTTTAAGGGAGAGGACTTATTTCATGTATAATGTCTTTTCGCTCGAGATTCCAAGAGAAGCTGTCATTTTGCACTCACATGGAGTAGTATTTATAAGGAAGCTTATCAGCTGTATGAGCCGGGGTCTGTCTTTTGAGGATCCGGCAACTTTGCTACGTAACCGACGTTGTGACTATGATTGGGTGAAGCCAATGTTGGGGTTGTAGGTATGGGTGTTGACGCGGTAGAATGCCTTTCTGGCGTGAGATTTTCTGGAGATATGCAATACTAACCGCCGTTCTCACGGAATTAAGCACTAATTGTATGTCCAGATCCCCGCTCGTCATGATAGTCAGATAGGCCTGTCGGCCGAGCGTTAACTTCGGCTATTCTTGTATAATGGGGGTCTTGTCTCTCATAGCCTGTGAAATCAGGTCTGATTGAGAGGGTTCATCTTTGCTTCCCAGCCAAATGACGTAATTCAAGAGGGCAGAGATATTTGGGTCGTTAACTCGAAACACAACGAATTTTCAAAGTGCGCTGAATGTTCTGCTCAAATATTTGATCTTTTTGGGTGACCATTGTGCGAAATGAAATCCAGCCTTGCGTTATTTATAAATCACCTGCTGTAGTCAATCCTTTTCTAATATCCACCTCGGTAAGCTGCAGTCTCTCTCAAATGCATTTGTTAAACGTGACATGAGATAGTACACAACGCGGACTAAGTGAATCAAGTGAATCTCACAGGAAATACAGTACTCGATCTTCAAGAAGAGCTTCACTCAAAATGAGGCACTGAAAGTAGTTTGAACTGAAGGATTTGGATAAAATGGAGATCATGGAAAAGTCTTTCTTCCGATACGCCCAATCTACTACCAGATATCCATAAATCAAATGCCGTCCCGCGACACTTCAAGCTCGTATCCCTTCTCCCACTATCGTGAACTCTGGCGGCGCCATCCTACAGCATCCTCCGGTATCTGCGCGACGAGATGTAGATGCGATCGGACGAGTGCTGGACCGTCTTCTGCTCCCCTTGCTCTCTCTGCCGCTGTTCAGGGCTCACAGTTCTCTTCGGCGGAGGTGCGAGTCGCTTGTTCGTAGCGCCATCGAAGCGGACTAGTTTCTTGGGAGGAGGTCTGTGAACGATTGACCTCTCGCTTGTTGACGAGGATGAGCCTTTCGAGTGCGTGTCGCTTCTTGCAGCCTTGTTCTCGATCATCCTTCTTCCTTTCTCCTTATCGTCTTCCCTCTTCTTCAGTGGCGGTGCGGAGACAGGCTTTTCTTTCACACTAGGCTCAGGGCCTTTCGGGCTTCGTCTCGTCAGGGTGACGGTGATGGTGGTGGTGGTGAAATGCATTTTTTGGTAGGCTGTTGGGCTAGAACATTTGCCAGTGGCGAGGGAGGCTGCTTAAGAGTTGGAAGATGGAAAGCAGGAATTTAAGCAAAGCCATCTGACACCTCCTCTTTTTCTGCTCCGGGGGAGACTCATGATCGGACGAGTCGGAGGGATGGGGCGGCTTTTAGTGCAGCATGTGATTGGGAAGGTGCGGGATATCGTTGTACGCTGCCGTCTACAGCTATGGAATTGAGAGGAAGATGAGCGGTCATTTGATCTGTTCTTGGTGTGACGTATTTGTGCTATAATGGTGTAACTGACAGATTTAGCCGGGTCACACCGAGTAGGAACAGGTCAATCGGAGAGACGCACGTATTACTACGGAAGACGGCTCAATGTTTTAGTACACCTGGGAAGGCTGCAAATACTGGTGTAAGCGCGAATATTCCTGACTTTGTAAGATGTACAAGGACTTTCCGTGTGACTCCTTGAAACGCCGCAGCGGATTCTCGACTTACAGTACTACAATGAATCGCAGCACCAGCCGTACCTACGGCACACCGTGGAGGGGGCCATGGGCTCCAATGTTCATTTTTAGTACTGTATCATACAGGGTTCTGTATAAGCCGTCACCATGTGGGATCCTGACCTCCGTGTTACCATCCCACCCCATCCCGCCTCAACACTCAAATCTCCCTCCTGGACCCCTACTCCTCATCTTGCCTCACAACCTTCCCCACCGACCCACCCCCATCCAGGACTATACACTGCCCGGTGACATGACTCCCCGCCCGACTGGCCAACCACACGACCGTGCCCGCGAAATCCTCACCCCGCCCCAGCCGCCCGTTCGGCCGCGACCGCGCCAGCGCGCGTTCGCCGCCCATGCGCGCGATCAGCGGCGCTGCCAGGTCGCTCGGGAAGAAGCCGGGGGCGATGCTGTTGGCTAGCACGTTGCGCGGGCCCAGCTCGAGGGCGAGCTGGCGCACGAGGTGGATGGCGCCGGCTTTGGCGGCGGCGTAGGAGAAGCTGGTGTTTTGTTTTTTGGTGAGTAAGTGAGAGGAGGAGGGGAGGGGGAGGGAGGGGGATGAGGAGGAGGTACGTACGTTGCGCCCTCGCCGAGGGTCGTGGGGCCGATGCCGGAGACGGAGGCGGTGACGATGATGCGGGAGGGAGTGGCGAGGGTGATGTATTTTGGGTTCGTGAGGAGGGGCGCGAATCTGCGGGGGGTGAGAGAGGTAGGTGAGCAGATGTGGTCTACAAGGGGGGGGG